GCTTATCTATGGGAGAGCGGACAGGATCCCGAGTTCTCTGGTAGGTATGGTCGTATGTGAGAGATTGTAGATGTAATTTAGTATAGGAAGCTCTTCCATGACAAATCTTCAGCTCACTAGGACATCAGGGGTGATGTACAGATGAGAAGTGGCAGAAGTTGCGAACGATTAGAGTAGATTATATCCCTAAGTACCGCAGGGGAGATTTTATTAAGTCTAACAATAGCAGACATTGTTCAACTAGCCGACGGCTTCCTCAACATAGTCACCTTCCGGAAATCCATGTGCCTTTCTTCATACCTCAGACTTGCTTTTATCGGGTGGTCAAGGAGTCCGTATAGAAAACATACAGGATAGGATGCGGCTCAAATTAAAATACAATTACTCACCTCATTAGTCAGGAACAGCTCTTACGTGTCAGAATTCACGGAATAGCCTCGCTGGTTGCCTTCAGCTGGGCACGAGACTCAGCCACCAATGCCCTGACATTTAAGAGCTATGTGACTCAATTATTGGTGTGGTTCGTATCTGGTGACGATATCGACGCCCGAAGGTTCAATCATAATAAAGCAGCTGGAAATTTTACTTAGCCTCGCTGGGCAAATCGTGAATGAGCGGGCAATGGATGCCAGGCAGCACGATATTCGACAGCCTTGCTTTATGAGGAAGGAGTATTTATAAACCTGCCCTCACCCAGACCTGCCTTGTTAAATCACTTGCATTCCGTTCTTTCCTTTCATCTGTTTCGAGCAACAACAACAAGATCAGTACCAAGTCCTCCCCCCAACTACCTATTCATCCATCATGGTGCGCAAAGCAGCCGCTTGCCAACCATCTCAAGACAAAGACACAATGACTAACCCATATCTCAAACAGGCATCCGTTCGTCGTCCTGAGATAAATCGCTATGAGACCACAACGGTATACACCCATCCAGAAGCCAAAGTCGATATCGTCCTCATTCACGGCCTCAATGGGGAACCAAAGTCGACATGGACCGCAAACAACGTCTTCTGGCCGCTAGATCTCTTGCCAGCGGCCCTCAAAGACTCGCACGCCAACATTATGGTGTACGGATATAATGCAGATGTCTCTTCCAATTGCAACGATCGGACGCCAAGCAACAACTTCATATATCAGCACGCACAATCTCTCGTCACGAACCTCACATTCCATCGAAGAAGCGAAGGGACTTTCAAGAACCCTATTATCTGGGTTTGTCACTCCCTAGGAGGTATCATCGTCAAGCAAGCTCTGCTCTACTCCTCCGATACCCATGAACCTCACCTCCAAGACCTCCGATCCATATTCGTTTCAACCTTTGGGCTCATCTTCTTGGGCACACCGCACATGGGATCGGATGCGGCATCTTGGGGTCTTGTGCTTCAAGCTATGGTTGACGCTGTGATCCCCAAAAGGATCATTTACTCAGAGCCTGTTCTTCTGAGGACGCTCAAGAAGGATAGCGAGACGCTTGCGAATATCAGCAATCACTTTTTGGATATTTATCGGCGTTTTGAGGTCCATATGGTCCATGAAAATCAGAAAACCGATATCAAGGGCATCAAGTACGTATAACCCCCCTTACCTAAGGTTCATCCGAATATCAGAAAGATTGGCCGCCGAGAGGCTAAGGGACGAAAATCTTATGCACTTTATGCCAGTTTAGATGGGCTTAGGCTACTTTATCTCGTCCCTTAGGCTCTCGGCGACTCACTTTCCTGATATCTCGTTGACTCCATGCACCCGTTATTTCGTTCCAGCAGACTAACAGTGCCACAGGGTTACCATTGTAGATGCGAATTCGGCCGGACCTCTATTGCCAGGAGTGACCTACTACGGCATCGAAGCAAATCACTCCAACATGTGTAAGTTCGAGAGCACAAGCTCCCCGGGATTTCGGAATATCGCCACTACTATACAACAATGGGTGGATAAAGCCCCTTATCTGATCCAGGGAAGGTGGCTTATTGAGGAGCAAGAGAGTCATAATCGTGCTGTCGCAAATGCCAGAGAGATCATGATCATGTCGCCATTGGCAGTATCACCTTATCCTTCGTACTCCCAAAAAGAAGATGATGAGAGTGGAAGCAGGGAGGTTCAGAGGATCATGGGGGGACGATCTTTGCCTTCGTACCACCGTATGCCGTCTCATCGACAACTGCTTTCTACTGGCGAGAGTTTCTCTACAGCTCTGCCAAATAGTTTCTTTGGGGGTACCCTTCATCCTCCATCGGCTGCTCACGGAGGCTATAGATCACAGCTAACATTACCCAATCCCGCTCCCAGACCAAGCACGGCAAGCCCACAGATGCCTGCCTTTCAACGAATCGGCTATTTGCCCCCGGTTGCAGCTGGTGCATCTGACAACGTCGCTTCTGGTCATTCAGCCTGGCAGTTGCAACAAGAACAAGAGAACTGCCAAGTGGCTTCTCAACCAGAGGTCCTCTCTCCCCCGAGACAAGATATTCCCGCTGAGAGTACAAACATGACGAGATCAGGGTCTGGAAGCTTCCAATTCAACGTGTACCCCTTCCAGACAAGACAATCACAGCTCGCACACCTTCAGACTTTGTGTCCTTCGGAGATCGAGTCGCCACCGCCCAAGAACAAGGATGATGGGACATGAGGATGGGGAGGATGAACACTCAGCTTTCGGCACAGAGCGCGAACATTCGGAGTTAAAGAAGTCAGGGCATTAGAGAAGGGCCGTGTATTAGTATTTCTTCATTTGCTTGCTCCCGTATAAAGAAAATCATGTGGAGGCTTATAGAATAGTTTTAGTCTTAGATTGGCGTTAAGACCAACAATTAATATTGCGTCGTCGCATTTGTCGAGTTATCTCTGTGACTTATTCGCGCAGTGACAAAGACTTGAACCTCAAAAGGTTTAAAGCCAACATAAAAGCCACCCAGGTAGGCAACAGAAGAAATGCCCTCTAAGGCTTAGACTACTAAAGTAAAGTAGCCTAATTACTGGTCTAAGCTAGCATAAAGTGACCAAATCATTTCGTCTCTTATGCCCCTAGGGGCCAATTCTTCTGACACCCTGAGGCCACCTAACATTCCAACATCGGGGATCCCTACTTGCGTGTTGCTCTGCCTGCATTTTCAACGTCACGCATGAGATGTTTTTCGGTCAGTATGCGACTATGTCTGAACTAGAATATTCGTTCACTAGGTAGTCATCAAAGAAGTTCATCGTGCGTGGGGACTTGGCAAATCATTATAAATTCTTCTGAGGCGCAGTAATAAACATTCAAACCTTAGTACTTCACAAAGATTACAAGAGGCACATGATATCCTCAGGGGGTGACTACAAATCAGGTATTGTACCTTCACATTCATCTTCATACTAGGCCTCCTTGCAAATGGGCCAAAACAGTTATGAACGTTTGTAACTTGGCCATGATAATCATCTAATTCATAAACAGCCAACCACCAGAATCAGACTCCCACTACCGCATAATACATTATTCAACCCAAGCCTTGTGCTTTATAGAGTCGCAGTCCTAGGAACACCGTTCTCATTGATCAACATCGGTGGGATCTCCACAGGGCTTCTTCCATTTCTGTAGCTCCATAGGCGACTCACGTCCTTTACCCTGATATTCTGGTCATCACTCGCCTCTTGAAGTTTCTTAGAGATACCGTGGACTTCAATAGCAGCGGCGGCATCGCCGGAACCGAATCCCTGTGTTCCAGCCCATGATATCTCGAATGCCTCTCTTGCACTTGCCGATGCGCTGCCTTCTTCACCTGCTTTGATGACTTCTTCCATGAACTCGTTGTCTTCGTCAGCACCGGTATACTCCCCAGTTTCTGCATCTTGCTTCAGCGGGAACATGGCGTTAAGGTAGTGCTGATTCATTTGATGTCCTCCGTGACGACCATCTGCTCGCGCAAATAGTCTCCCCTGGAAGCGCGGTAGTTCTCGCGATTCCATCTTGTTGGTGGCGAAGTGAAGGATACCCCAGATGGCGACAAAGTCTGTGCTGTTCGCGTAATGCTCGACATGCTTGATGCACCTATCTTTGGCCGCGGAAATAGATCGTGTCGACACGCCGGAAGATTCCTTTCTCACAGGGTTGCGGGTCTTGATGTTCACATCAACCTTAGTGTCTATGGGGCTACCGGAAGGGGAGTCGAAACTGGATTCTGTCAGAATTGTGCTCATCGCAGACAGAGGGTTGAGGCGAGACAGAGTCTGTGAAGATCTATGGCGGTGGGGGTTGTTGAAGTGATTGGCTGCGTTTCCAAAGGTGTAGACCTCCAGTTTGGCCATGAGATCCTGAGGTAGTTCCTGGAGTAGCCAGTCGAGAACGAGCCCACCCTCGATTCCTCCTTGGGAGTGTAGGATAAACACCACTTTAGATTTGCTTTCGTCGTACAGGATGTCTTTAAGGAGTCTAAAGCAAATCCTGACATCTCCGGTTGCATAGCCAAAGTTCCTCTGGATCAAGCATTCCACCACGTCGAATATTATGCCTGAAGTTTGGTTATGAATGCCTAGAATGGGTCGTCCAAAAGTCAATGCTAGTCGGTTCAAGTTTGACTGCATCCAATGTTGTCTGTAAAATATCAGCAATGGTGTTCTTTGAGGATATCATGTAACATACCCAACAGCAACGCCGTTCAAGAAAACCCACTGTTCGTGAGCGTGTTCAGGCAGCTCCTTGGCATACTTTTCTTCCGAAGTATAGGCTTCCTGCTTTCCGTTGAGCAGCTTGCAGAGCAACCAGTTCAAGGTCATGAAGCCAGCAATACCCGTTCCAGCCAACCATACTGGTAATATGATAGCGAATGGTAAAGCGAGAATGAATCCGAGTTGCAGAATAATCAGGACCAAGTGTACAACGATACAGAAAATGTTCTGAGATGAAGGGTACAGTTCATCAAAGCCTTTGGTAGCCACAGGATATATGGGCCATACGACCCAAGGTAGAGCCCATACGTATATGAAGAAGTAGTATATGTCTTTGGCGAGAAGCTTGAAAGGAGGGTCGGTGTGAGAGTAGTCGATGACAGAGTCCTCGCCTATTTGGGAGCGATAGTACTGAGTTGCGCCCATGCTTGGTGAGTATTCAGTCTGTTATCATTTGTAGTTCAAGTAGAGACGAGGGAATATGTTGGTGATGTAGGATTCAGGTCGTTATATTCGAGACTTGAGACAACTGACGTCTACTGTCGCGTGATGGAAGGAGAAAGCGATAGTTCCTTCAGATTCATGCGGCAAGGCTACCTTTTGTCGATTGTTCGATCTCACTTCTTAAAGAGTGCTCAGCCCTTTTTCAACCCATCTTGGATACCCGTTGGTAGGAATAATCCAGGCAACCCCATACCAATGCCAGGTCAGATGCCCCCCTGGAAGATGAAGAATGCGACGTCATCACACCAACTTCTGACCGGGATCATTGAGGCTTAGTGGGCTGGGCATAATATGCATAGCGATCAATGGTGACTTGAATGGAAGCCAAGACGGAGGAATATGCGAATTATCTTGGGCTGAGTGATAACGATTTATACACTTGCGATGATGATAAATTCTGTTGATTTCTGAAAGATCTCAGGTGACGGTAGAAACCGTAGGCAGTGGATGGGAGTGAAACTGTTTCAGCGCCTTAGCCGCTGATGTAACTAGATCTCCACTAACACGACCCCTGTATCATGGGACGGGAACAACCGTTCAGGTGCCGCAGGGTGTTCTAAGGTAGTAAGTCACACGGCATAAAACACCTCGAGAAGGAGCAATCCATATCAATTTATCTCCTAGAAGAAAGTTGTCTCTGTTTCATCCACAATCTGCACTTTGATAGATCCGTTCTTGGGGTCTGCCGACAGAGTCAAGCCTTCAAGTGCCTGCTCCAAAGGAAAGATATGGGTTACCAGTTTCTTTACATCAACAAGACCCCCTTCAATGCATGCGATACCCGCAGGCCACGTATCTTTGTATCGGTTGATAAATCGAAGCTGGATCTGTGGACTCTATTAGTGTCGTGTATATCTCTAAAAGGTCGAATCCATACCTCGGCCAGAGACAGGTGCATAAAAGGCAGGTTGTTCATAATAGATCGTCCAACACCAACAACCATAAGAACACCGCCACGACGAACCATGAAAGCAGCCGAACAGACACTGCTCTCAACACCTGTGCACTCGTATACAACCCTTGGCTGAACATACTCTGTTTCTCCAAACAGTTGTCTTACAGCCTTTGCGTTCTCCTCGTTACTCTTTGTAGTGTCGACTTGGTAGGTTTTCACTGTAGGGACCAGCTCTTTCGCAAATGCCAGTCGCTTAGGCTCCACGTCGGTGATAACAAGAGGGTGAGCACCTGAAGCCCGTGCGGATGCCAGAGCAAGAAGACCAATGGGTCCGGCACCGCAAATAACAGCGGGTGTTCCGATGGTGATGGAGGCAGAGTTGATGCCGTGGAGAACAACACTCAGAGGTTCCAGAAGAGCACCCTCAGCGAAGGAAACGTTGTCAGGAAGTCTTTTCAACGTCAGTTTGAGATGCCATGTACATTCTGGAAGGAAGCCTTCTCACTTGTGAATCCATTTGGCAGGATGGACCTTGTATCGCTGCAGAGTCCCAGCATATGGGTAGACACCCGAAAACTCAACATCTTCGCAAAGGTTGTATCTGCCATCTTTGCAGAGGAAACAATGACTACAAGGAACGCCCGGTTCGACGGCCACTCGATCGCCTGAAGGTCCACATTAGTACATGGCTTCCAAGATCCATTGTTAGTAGTTTACCCACCAGGCTTGAAGTTATCGACACCCTCGCCAACTCGAATCACTACACCAGCAGCTTCATGTCCAATGATACAATCGCCCTCGAAAACTAGAGTTCCAATACGTCCTGTCTTCCAAAAGTGAACATCCGACCTAGTCGATCATTAGAATCAATTAGGTCTCTCAACAGGCAAGACTGGTTCGTGACTTACCCACAGATGCCAGTGGCTTTGATATGAAGAAGCACTTCACCAGCCTGAGGTGCATATACTGGCGCATCGACTCTCTTCAAGTTGTGGTCGGCTGTTACTTGCAGAGACGGGTTTGGTAAGGGAGCTTGGATGATTTGAGCATTGTCAGGAGGACCGCTAGGTTTGATCTTGTGTTCTTGTGTGTGGTTTGAGTTATTTGTCAATGGTTGAGAGGCTGCAATGGAGCACATTGTGAACCGAGTATTAGATTCTTGGGGCTTTTGTAATTCACCATGAGGCGAATGCTAGAGATGAAAGACGAGGAATCAGTAAAAGGGAACCCTACCCTCACAAACACCGCCCATAACGATGCTGCCCTCGCATCAGCTGTTCTTGGGGGCATGTTGACGCTTAGCATTGCTTGTTCGAGAGTTGATGCCCTCACTTCCCCACACCATGCTTTAGTAGAACTGATGCTTAGAGTTGCCCTTTCTGGAAGGATAATTCAGAGTTGGCTCCAGCGACATGTCTTTAGACAGGATGGATTGTATTGTCATTCCAAGAGGAAGCAAGAAGTAACCAAACAGTATCGGTACCCTGTTTGCTGATGTGTCTGGGCTGTTCTGTTGCTCACTCATTCCCAAATCCAGCTTCAGATTTAAACTACCCCCACTGCAACCCCATATTCCCACCCCGCAAGAGTAGTCCAGCAGCATGGGGTTTAACCGCTTCGAATTTCCAGCTCGGGATATTTCCTGCAGCGAAATCAATATATCAGTCGTGGCCGCCACGAGAGACCGAGAACCTAATCCTTGGAGAGAACAGGAAACGAGTTGAACCAGCCATGGTAAGTGAGAGAACCGGAAGAATAGAGGAACAAGGTCGTGATGTGCTTGGAGAACAATCTCGACACAATTTGGTGGGCATCGATATCAGTTGCCTCTCAGCAAACAACAACCTCAGTCCCGGCGTCAATACCTCACGCTTCTCCCCAAATACCTGCTGCCCAAGGTTCTCGAGACTTGGTCTTTGGGTTCTCAACTCCTGATGCTTCGAAACGATCCTTGACGGTCTGCTCCTGGCCAGGAACACTATCGAAACCTCTCAGTCTGGGTCAGCGAAGGATTCTCTAACTGGACCGAGCAGATCGTCTGAATCTGGAATAGAACTCGATGTCATGTCTGAAATCATCTGAGTAACGGAATTTTTGTTGCTCGAATTTGAGGGGAAAAGGATAGTACCTGCCCAGTCAACTACTTTGGTAGGTAGGTCGTGCCTGCATTCGTAATCATCTTCAAATAATATATTAGACAGGTGCTACCATCAACGCCTGCCCCAGCCATACTTTTACCAACCCTTCTATGCGGGGTCCACAGCGGGGAGCATGTAGGTGAGTTCCTTCCTTTTCTCTTGCTTTTTTCCTTCTCCTTATTATGAAGATATCAAAATTGATCATCTATCATGATCAGCATTCGCATCGCAATAAAAACATGGCATTGGTGGGTTGACGAGAATTTCTAATGTCAAATGCCTATGGGCAGAATCCAACATTTCGGTAAGGAGCATCACCTCCTGACTTATCATATTAGAGAAACGTTACTTTTTTTCTTGAGGCTTTCATGACTCTGTCAAATTAGATGTGGATAGGGCAATATCGATGCCTATGTTTTCCAGTAGTCCGGTCGAGGATTAATATCGCGAGCCTATTATCACTCTTAGTGTGTATCAATATGAGCCGGATTCCTTGGTGTACTCTTGGCGTCTATCGATACTATCCTTGGATGATAGGAGAGTTAACTAGACGGTAACATGATTTCTGTAGGCTTTCGAAAACAACTACAAGCCCCAGCAAGTCTTTACTGAAGAGAAACAATTGCTTATTCGTTGTTTGTTGAGAAACGGAGGTTCGCCGATATTTTACCCACCCCCATTTCGAATGTCTCATGTACCTTGCAGCTGCAACAAACCAATAGTGAAACATGTCCACTCTGAGGGAGAACCAAGATGCAGATTATCGGAGCTAGTCCTCTGTTTTTGGAAGATATTGAAGAGGATTAGTTATGCGCTTTGAATTTCGCTTTTGCGTTTCAACTCGTCGGATCAACAGTCATGGCTTGATCTAGGTAAGCTAGAACATCAATGAAGGGTCTTTGACGGAACAAGTCCGTGGGCAACCGGGCTTCTTTAGTCTATCCGCATCTTTGTTTACAAGAGTTTGGAGCAACTAGATACTATGTATGTATACAATTTCAGTGTCTTGCTATGACAGACTCCCTCGGGGAAGAAGCCATCCGTGATCAATGGCATGAACATTGAATGCAACAAAGACGTCGGTCTGTCCACATGGCCTCACCAGGGGTCAACCGTCAGCCGTGTTCCATTGACGCTGATCTGGAACGTCGTTCCTGAAATCCCTGCCTTTCCCCCTTTCACTGATGATTTAGGCAATCCTACCGAAGCGGAAACAGTGCCCGCGGCATATGAAGATGCTCACGCGTAGTCACGTAGACAGGTCTTAGACAGGTACGGATAGAGCTAGGCGATACAGGGAATAGGAAAAAGGGGCTTCCCTGCGGCTTCAGGGTCCAGCGGTTCTTGCACTCGCCGCAACGTCCAGCCCGCTGGGACAGATAATTAGTCGAAAGCTCCAGAATAAGAAAAATACAAACTTCGAGAAGGAAAAGCGAAAGAGACTTGTGGAAAGTCTGTGTTGTTGGTTCGATCTGGTAGGGTTTCTAACTTTCCATGCCATGCAACTGGCTTCGCCCACTGACTCGGTAACTTCCAGGGCTGTTTCTTTTTGAGTTTTTCTTTGCTTCTGTCTTGATGATTTACATTAACTTGTCGCCCAACGAGGTATGGTTCCATGCATTTGGCCTTCTTCAAGCCTAGATCGGGCGGGCTTTGGCGCACATCATTATCATAGTGCTTTGACGGTCTTGGGTTGGCGTTTTCAATTTCTGGACTCTACAAGGATTCATTGAGCGTTTTGTCTTGCTGCAGTTTGCCAGAAACATTCTGCAGCATCTCGCACCACTGGTCACTTTGGGAGATTCAACTTCAGGTGGAAGTGGTGATGATATCCACCGACCTCAGTCAGGTACCTGGTAAAGGAACAGGCACTAGAAAGAGCCGAAGTAATGGAGTACGAGTACAACACAAACATGCGGGCACCTACTTGAACGGCGCTTCTTGGAGGAGAAGGAGAAGGAGGAGGATCTATGTATGATCTATCGTAAAGAGTGAAATCTAGTCTTGTTTCTCAAAAATACTGTCAGTGTAACTGTAACCCTGGACGGATACGTTCATGTGCATACCCATCCACTCAAACGTTTCAGCAACATTCTTGTTCTTGTTCTCTCATCTTTGGTACCATATTTCTCTTCTCAGTTCGTACTAGGTATTTCCTAGTGTCCCCAAATTCGATTGATGGATGGATGGTTGTTAATTAACCCCAGCGTCTTAGGTTCCCCCTGCATCAAAGATCCCTGTTGTCCCCTCCTTAGAGCCGGTCCACCATTAGGATTGGGAACTGGAAGGACATTTTGCAGCGAATAGGACCCTTGATATCGATGGGACCATGCTTGACAGGATGAATTGTTCTACGCAGGTACATCTGCGTTGTACTGTACTGTACGTATAGTAGCCCGTGCTGTACATGCCTCTGTCTGCTCTGTGCTGTGCTGTGCTGTTCTGGTGCTAGTGCTAGTGTTGGGTAGACTGAAATTCCTCCAGACGCCGTCGAGAAAACGAAATTCTTAGCATCAGCCAACTTTGTCACGTCACAATTCCTCCCGTCAACCAACAGAGTACCAGTCAGTACCTGCTACCTACCTACCTCTCAGTACTCTGTACCTGGACAGTAGTCAAAGCCAACCCCGACTTAACCGCCAACTGGTCCAATCCTTCGCGCGTGGCTTTTTTTTTTCGACCCATGCGGAAAGCCGGCTTCCTTTTTCTAAGTTAACTCTAACTAGCCTTGGCTTGGTGAGAGTAGGTTGGTGCAGAACGGTACGGTACGGTAGAGTGCCGTGCGCGCGGTAGGCCAAGAAGAGACACACCAGACCTGAGAGCTGAACAAAAGCCTTTTCTTAACTCGGCCCCCATCTTGACAAGATGCTTTCACCTTCATTCCCGTCTGCGTCCCCTTCTCCGAACGACAATGCCCGTCGTAAGACCCGACGTCGGCCCCATACCGAACTGAATATCAACACAAACACTTCCTCCCTTGCCTCTCCGTCGCACAGGGAAAGGGACGGCATTCCACAGCCGCGCACGCCGCCGCCTCACGATTCAGAATACCGGAGATCTAAGTCAAAGTCAAGACCAAAGAATACCAACAACCGGGCGCCTACAAGGCCATCCACCTCCAACGTTTACGCGCATGAGTCGTTTCTAGAGAACGCTACTCCCGTCGAGGACGATATGGCCGACCGCCTACCACCGACTAACAACAACCGCGATTCTCACGACTTGTCGCTCTCTCCACGAAACGTTACTCGAGACTCTCTTGTGGCTAATATGCTCATGTCCCTTGACCAATTTTCTATGGCACAGTTGAGCGACAAGTACGGCCCATCATCATCCAATCCCGGTTCGCATTCACATACCTTTGACGAGACCTCATCTCAGCATATCGCCGCCGAGCAAACCAGAAGCTGGGTAGCCTCCAATTCTGTCGCAGCCTCATCCCGATCCAACGGGCACCAATACTCCTATAGCTCGGACCTCGAGGGCGCAGACGATTCCAGTCGTATATCTAGTCGCGGCCGACGAAGTAACAGCAGCTCCAATTTCCAATCCAGCTATCCACGTCTTAATAGTGTACGAGAGGGTCACAGAGCAGGCTCATCGAGAGCCATGCATTCAAGAGGGGGCAAACCGGGCAGCAAAAGCAGCAGTACAGCTAGTGTCGATGCTGGATACGCTCAGGTGTTAGGGAGTCAACGTTACGGACGTGGGTTTGGGCGGTCAGCAAGCTTTGACTATGGTCCCCAGCAGCAATCCTCTCCAGCGCCAGCCCCAGTTATCGAACCGTCCCCGTTTCGAGTTGAGTTCCCGAATAGTTACATCGACGACGACGAGTACGATGCTGCCCCGACACCCAATGTCCCAGGCGGCCCACGCCGGCAACCGTCGATCCCTACGATGTCTAAATCCGCGTCTATCCCACCACCGCTGCCACCAGCCCCTCTCGAGCCTCCTACCCTTGATCACAAACGAAGCAGCCGGTCTCTGAAGAGCTCATCGGGACGCAAAGCTGCTGCTTCGCGGGAACCGGCACCCGCCATGCCAGCATTGGACCTTGATTCGGCACCTGCACCCAACGTCGGCTATGGTAAATCCAAGGAGGCCGTGCACAGCGGCCCAACGCCAACATCACATGCAGCTGCACCCGCCAAAGAGCGCCCAGGGTTTTTTAGAAGAGTGTTTGGCTCCTCGCGTAACAACTCACACAATAGCAACGAATCAGCAAATACCCCAGCACCCCAGCCAACTCCTACTGTAGATACCACCAAGGTGGCTGGTAACGCCTCGACGCCACCATCTCGAGATACGTCTTCATCACATTCTCATCATCCTGCCTTACAAAAGAAGCCATCTTCTTTCTTCCGACGACGTAAGAAGTCTGTCACTGAAGACACTCCCCCAATTCCAGCAATGCCTACGCCGCCTATCCCCACGGCTACACCCAACTTGGCACCACAGGATAGAGATCTGAACTTCCCGCCAAACCCAAGCCCTGTCAGCAGTTTACGCAAGGTTATGAATCCGTATCTTCGAACTGGCCAGGGTGCACCAGGTACTTCTGGCTCTCAAGGGCCATCTCCATCTCCCCTTGCCGATATCTCTAATATGACACCGGAACGAGATGATAGGGCAATGGACCAAGATGAGTATAAGAGGGAGTTCTCACCTGATTATTCGCCAAGCCCCAATGCTAGAATTAGAACCGTCAAATCCGAGTCCAACGATCAACTTTCGAAACGGCATCTGGCTGACGGCACACCTTCCCGTCCACCACCTGAAAGGCCTACGAAAGCTTTTGAATCACGGAATAACTCTTTCCTCAATCTTGATGGGGGTAGTGATATCGAGGATGAGCATGGTATAACAGGCCTCAAGTTTTCGAGTATATCCAAAACCAAACCAAAGCTGTCTGAAAGAAAGTCTCAGCGACCAGAGCAGTCTGACTCGGAGGATGAACCAGACCGCGCCAACCTGGCTCTGCCTATCGAAGGAGCTCGTGCCTCTAGTCCGGGATCAGCTTCAACTGGGACAGATTATAAGTCTGCTCTCAGTGCTCCTCCCAGCGTGAGAATTGAAAGCTCAGCAGATCCCAGTCCCAAGGTCCTTGGCACTTTTGATTCGATCAAGAACAAGGGTATTGACGAACCTGAGTTTGTCATTGGTGACCCAACTGAAGATGATCGCCAGAAAGCACAGAAGATCTACGATGGCAATGAGGACTTTATCCAGAAGGAGAAAGCTGCTTCATGGATGGGCGAAGAAGGCCCGATCCGACAACGGACACTGCAAGCCTACATGGAGTTGTATGACTTTACCAGCCAGAGCATTGTTCAAGCTTTGCGGCAAGTGTGTGAACGATTGGTTTTCCGAGCAGAGACGCAGCAAGTCGATCGTATCTTGGTGGCCTTTTCCAAGAGATGGTGCGACTGCAACCCCAACCACGGGTTCAAGGCAACGGATGTCATCCACACTATTTGCTACTCGATTATGCTTCTCAACACTGATCTTCACTTGGCCGATATTGAGCACAAGATGACCCGTAGCCAATTCATCAAGAACACCATGGCAACCATCTTGCAGGCCGTTGACGAATCAGCGCCTGATGCTTTCCAACGTTCGAGTATTCTTCCAGATAAGAACGGCTTCTCAAATGGAGACAACCAACCTACCGAACAAGAGAAGAAATCTTTCAGAAACTCTTTCAGGCCACCGGCTCGTGCTGACTCTGGTACTCTGCCTGGAGAAGGCATTGAAGATTGTGGGCCCTTAGTCAAGTCACGCTTTAGCGGAACCAGAAAGGCTTGGGAGGAACAGATAGAAACTGTTCTCAAAGGCATTTACAACTCTATCAGAGATGAACGGCTGCCATTGTTCGGTGCTGAATCTGAAAAGAACGCCACCTTGCAGCCTTCCAATAGTGGAGGTCTTTCTGTAATGGGAATGCTCAAGAGAACTCCGAGTGTCCTTAGCAAGGCTCCCTCGGAGAGCCAATTGTCTGTTCGTGGTCGTATCAATGAGAATGGCAAAGCCAACTCGGCTAGATGGGCTTCAAAGAGTCGATCACGCGCTGCTATGAGTCGTAACGGCTTCTCTTCCAGCCGGACTAGTTTTGACGACGGAAATTCGTTGTGGAGTCCCACAGGCTCCTCAGCTACTTGGAGCCGTTACTCCCTAGGCAGGACCCAAACATCCGTATCCCAGGATTCTTTTGGCTCAGCTCTTCGTGGCGATTACCAACAATCAATTGGCTTTGCTAACGCGCTGAGTCAAGCTATCATCCGAGATGAGGAAATTTATGGGGATGGAGCTCCCTCTATCATGAGCTCGGATCTTCCCGCCACACAGCTCCTTGAAGATGAGTCGCTCGAACTTGCCGGACCTCCATGGGTCAAGGAAGGAATGGTAACCCACAAGCATCATCTGGATGGCGTGGACAAGAAGGCCAAAGCCAGGAACTGGTCAGAGGTCTTTGCTGTGATCCAGAAGGGACAGCTAAATCTGTTCTCCTTCCAACCAAACAAATCTGTTCGCGCGAAGAACCGTGGCAGAAATCCCCGCGGAGGACCTGTTCTTGTTGGTGGTGGCAATTGGCAAGACAACGCAACGAATCTGGGCTGCTATAACCTTCGACAGACTCTCGCGTCCACCCTCCCACCACCTGGTTACTCAAGAGCTCGACCACATGTGTGGGCTTTAAGCCTCCCTAACGGCGCGGTTCACCTATTCCAAGTGGGCACACCCGAGATTTGCAAGGAATTTGTTACGACTGCAAACTATTGGAGTGCTCGATTGAGTACCCATCCATTGACTGGTGGTATAAGTAACATCGAGTATGGATGGAGCGAGGCCATCGTCAATAACGCATTGGTATCGGCCATCAACGAGACAGCACCAGGCAAAACTTCGCGCCCCGGAAGCAGCGCAGCACACCACCGAAAATCGAGTGCCAACAGTGGAAGCTTCCGAGGATCAAGCTTCGATCATGTCGCAGGTGCTTTCACCAACAACAGTGGACGTGGCAAGCTCCCAGGCGATCGTATTCACATTGCGGAATGGGCGCCTCCTACCCAGAGCATGCGTCCCAGCAATCAACCAGAAGCCGAACAACTTCAGACTTTGGATACATACGTCAAGGGAATTGAGGCAGAGCTTCAGTCGCATAACCGGCTCCGCAGCCCCATGCTTCTGGCATTTACTCCTAGAGGCAGCAATGCCGTGAAGGCCATGGCCAACTGGGAGCGCAAGAGCGCATATTTACTCCGCGAGATCGTCAAGTTCACAACATATGTGGACTGCCTTCAGCAAGCTGAGTCAAGGAAGCAAGAGATTTACCATGAGAGAGACCTAGCGCAACGAGCTGCGCGAGGTGAACTCAGCGAAGGCGACATGGACGTCAGCAGCGACGATGAAGGAGATTTAACACTGAGACCCTAAGAGGTCCATGTACGAACAAGCATACATACACATCAGCCTTTTCTTAACGTACGCTGCATATTGGGCATTGGCGTTCTCATTTTGATTTTACCATTTTTCCACAAGCACCCTAATACCCAGACGTTGCGATTCATGAACAATATTGACTTCTACGGTGTACAAAAACATGAAACAGGATTGGGGCTGATAGGGAAGACGAGCAAGGCGTTTGATTAATGCCACAGTGTTTGGATGTATACATTAATATTCTTCTTTGTAATGATATTGCGATGATATATGAATATATCACTGAATATGAAGACGGCACTCTTTTGACGTTATATCACTGACTGGAATGCATAGTATTGCAATGAAGTTTGTGACAACCGAAGGTAGTGGTTTCTGGAGGACGCCATGTAGAAGTGACAGGCTAAACTCCCGACTTGGAACTTTGGTTGTTCTTCAACTTCAACTTTAGCGACAAAGTTGCAGCAGTTTCGACGATGGGCTTTGACGGTGGGACAGCCTCTCTGGCGAATCTTCCTACCTGCGAAAGGTCAAGTCATGTAAATTCATGATGCCGCATGTTGTTAACATCAACACAGACGTACGTGAAGGCTATTTGGTATCTTTAGGCGATTCCGTTTCTTCGTAGATGCTTATGTACCGGATCCAACTCGAGTTCGGTGTGTCGTCTAAGCATGCGCGCACATGATTAGCGGGAATCATTGTGACAACGAGGGGATGTAAATGCGTTGATAACTCGAGGAAGAGCTCAAACCGTACCTATAGACTACATAGAGCGAGGGTCGGTTGGTAGGAGTAGCACGCTTCAGGTGGCTGTTGTTCGTCTGTTCTGCGTCGTTACATCGGGATGGTATGGATAGTGTTAGGTCACTCGGTTCATTCTGTAACCGGTCCTTGGAGCAAAGCTTTCGTTCTGATCAGCCAGAGCAGTCGTATCTTCATGGGCGGTATTGGACTCGCAAGTGAACATCGCGGTCTCAACTGTTGGGTCAACAGAGAATGTGTATCAAAGAACCTACCAACAAGATGTTGCCCTGAGTTAACAGGAGAACCCATTTCCTTTATATTTAATATAACAGCGATGGATAGCAGAATTTGGAACTGTGGATGAGGAAGGTGGAAGTTTTGAGTGCAGAACGGCAGGTGCGGCAGGACGGAAACCTCGAGTGCTACTTTCCCGAACAGCTACTGGCATTGGAGACGTCTTTCATCCACTCTTTCATCCACCATACATCTACAGACGAACATGCCTTTATTCAGCATCCGAACAAACCCAAGCATTGTATTGATCTTGAAATCAACAGTACTACTGAACTGCCTGTTCTCTAACTTATTTGCACTATTTGAGAATGTTGGATTTCTCTCCTTATCTCCATCACCAAAAACGAGACGGCGCTTCCCAGCTCTGGTGCAACAACCTCAAACTCACTTCCACAAAGCCACTCAACCTCGGAGCGCTCACCCACCAGTCCCGATATCCTTTATAGTTGCCACGAAAGCGCGCCTTACCGTTTCGACAGATCTCAGCCACGATTTGCTGGCGCTTGATGGATCTCCTATCGTCTTAACTGAAGCCTTTCGAAGTAAGTGCACTATGAACCGTAATCTCTCAGAGAGTGCTTATATAGGGAGGCCTTGGTATATCGGACTAACATGTTTTGCTTGCAGTTCTCTTCCTAGCTTCAACCAACGGCGAAGTCCCGCCGTATTCCTGTCCCAATAGCCTGCAAAGCCTTTCTCGGTGCTGCTAGACCGCGACAAACGCATTCCACACGACCTCCTCAACGATAAATCTCGATGAACATAGCCTGCAGCCTTAGGGACTTGACTAAAGTGTATTTATGGCTTCTTTCGGGTCTCTGTGTAGATGCGCTGGCGTTCCTGATACGACTCAGGGGCTGCGTTTCGTACGAGCATATATACACAACCCAAAACTCGAGCCCAGGAAGCGGTTTCAAACAAGATAGATTGAGGTTTGGTTGTAAAGCAAACTAGTCGGGTAAGAAAGAGCAATGAATCCACCAGGGTGGAAGTATGGTCGCCAGCAAGAGTGGTTTTACGACAGTATGTACACTACCGGCCTGCGAGATGAATTTAAAGATTTCCAAACATGTCCAGAGGCTATTTCAACAGACACATTCGTGTTGCGAGACCTTCTGCAGCACATATAGATTGTTATAGATATCCTAATATATACGAGTAGGTGGTTATATTCGAGTGTCAACAGACTACCAGCCCCTGAGCCAAGAAATCTTATTTTGATAACTAAGCAATAAAACATTTTCCGTGTCGTTCTAAAATAATCCAAATTCCTCTTCCATAGTCGGGACATACCAAGGTAGTAGTCTATCCTCTGGTGTGTGCTTGACCAGTCGAGTCCCCCACTCGCCAGTGATGGAATATCAAACACCTGTATGCAGGCCATGTCACTGTCACTTTACTCTACAACAAGATGCATTCCGTTAGGTATTATACAATCAGATAAATACGAATTACGATTAACATGGGAAATCGCCTCCATCATCGAAGGAAAACGCGACCAACTTGACAAGGGCCATACAGGCCGCCGTGATCATAAGAGACGAAACACTTTGGTCATCTTGTTATATCTTAGACTAGCACTTAGACTACTTTCATCTGGCAGCTAAGCATGAGAGGATAATTCATCTCAATCTTCCTTGATAAATCACGAATTTTGTACTTATCAACATCCGATCTGTTACAGGCCAGGTACTTCATCCCTAAAAGAAGCAGTTGCCAGTGCCAGTGTACGATAGTCGGGCCGCAAGGGGACCTCTAGGCAGTGCTGCAAACACGTCTAGTGATATCATTCTGTTTGTGGGGTGCCCCTGACAACCTGCTTTTTCTAGTGGTGTAGGTATTTCTTCCTCGGACCCTCTCGCTCTCTTCTTTACTACCATCATCATCACCACCACCACCGCTGCAGCAACAACAGCAGCAGCAACAACAAGGCACTCAAGGCACAGCATCATAACAGACGAAATACTTTCTTCATCTTATGCCGTCTTAAGAGTAATACTTAGACTACTTTGCTCTGCTAGCCTAAGCTTTAGACTATATTTCGTCCCATCGTCTGAACATCAGGCCGACTTTTCCCCCATATACCTATCCCTTCCTATCCCTAATCCTTCATCATCAGAAGTCACCATGTCAGATCATCTTGATCAGGGCTCTAGCCCGAACGGACCGACCGGCCGAGCCTCTCCTCTCTTCGTTGGAGAGATCCTTCGTCTCATTGCCGAAGAGCTTGGACAGCGAGTCAAGGAAGACATGCGATACAAGAATGCAGGTAACCTGGCTAGTCTTGCCGCCACTTGCAAGTTCATTGCTAGTCATCTTGAACCCATCCTTTACGCACAAGATCTCAAGGAAAAGAGATTCAAGGGCCTCAAGCACGCCGTACACTCCTGTAACGACAGACTCGCAGTCGCAATCCTGACAAAATATCCTCAGAAGCTTCTCAAGAACAACGTCAACGCCAACCTCGGCATCACGTCTCGTCCTCCGCGCCGCGATGACACCAGCTTCACTATGCTTCATGTAGCAGCAGCTCGGCAGCTCTATGACACCATCAAAAAGCTGTATAAGCTCGGTGCCAAGTGGTTTTATGTTAAGAATTTTCGATCGGCCCTGTCCCTGTCCGAGTCGTTGGAGGAAGGATTTGGACAAGCACTGCACAAATCATTCCCTGGCCTAGAGAATATCATCTACGGCATGTGGTGGGCTCCGAGTTTTGCCCCTATGATTCACCGGGACGAGAACACATGTGCCATTTTGGCTAAATACTGGCCTGAACACCATTTCTTCGTCGGCAAGTTCAACCATCCCACAAGCATCGATGGCGACGATCGCATGACGCTTTTGCACCTTGCTGTCTACCGTCACCCTTCCACGACTTCCTTGAAGCTCGTCCAAGAAGTGACCGAGGAGTACCCTGAGCTGAATTCTATCCCGGTCGGAGATTATCGAGGCTCCGTCCATCATCTTGCTGTCGTGGCCCAGAACGGCAAGGCTCTCGAGTATCTTCTGCGTCATGTTATGGATAACCAGGACTACTACGTCGACAATAGAGGTTATAATCCATTCCATCTTGCAGTCGAGCTTTGTCTTCAAGGAGATGGTGTCCCGGGCCCTAATGGGCAAGCTGGCAGTACAAGACTACTCAACGTTCTTCTGTCTCTTAAGCACCGTATCAATCCGGCAATGCCACAAACAATGGCACCGTACAAGACGCCTCTACTGATAGTTGCCAAAATGATCCATGTCGACTGGAGCGGTCGATCAGCACTGATCAAGAAGCTGCTTGATCAACTCATCAATCTTGAGACAGAGTATGTTGAAGCTTGGGGCTTAGGATCGATCTCGTTGGCGATAAACCGCCCCGATTCTGACGGCAAGACCGTTTTAGGTTATATCACCAGCGCAATTCTCGAATCTCCCTCCTCTAAGGGCAACAAAGCTCTGGAGAATCTGTTCAAGAAGATGGTGGGAGAGTACCACGCTAACATCAACCTGGATGTCAACCAATTCCCGTCTCCTCAAAACAGGGCCTACGTCCCTTCTATCAAATGGAGGGCCGACCGAGCTCAGGGCTTCACTCGCTTCAAAAAGGTCATTGAGGAGCTTGGAGGACGCTTACATCAGGCCGAGCTTGATAACACAACGACTCAAACACCTGCATCCCCTTTCCCTGACCGTCGCCACCTGCGACAGCTTCCTGCAAATCACCCTTATGCGATGCCAGGGCCTCTCAACGATGCCTTTGTTCCACTCAGTCCTACTGAGCAGGCTGCGCAATTGGCTGCGCAAGCTAGACGACATCACGCCGAGGCTCAAGCTAGGGCGTTTAATGCGAACCGTGGCTCTGGCAGCATCAACGCACAAACGGTTGCTAACTTTGTGGCCAGCCTCAACGGGGCTTCTCACACGGGGTAGTCAGGCAGTACACTAGTAATAGGATGATAAGGGGTTTTCTTTTCTTTTCCTTTTTCAATTCACTTTTTCGATAGTTCATGCGGAAGGACGTATGAAAGGCCGCAGCGGCGTAACCAAGCCGCTCCTCTGTTGCATAGGGAAAGCAACTTCTTTCTTCTTTCTAATGATGTACGAGATATGTAACGATGTATGAGAATGATAGATAGACAAAAAAGGCTTTGAGCAAATATTCCCGGTGTCTCCCCTACCCATTGAAGAAGTGTTCTCACGCTTAGAAGACAAGTCTAAATACCAGTCTAAGTTGGCATAAAGGGTCCAAGTTAATTTATCCTTAGGCCTTTTTTTATCCCTGAGGTTCTTTCTTTTATCCCTTAGTGATGACCCATAGTAATCTAGCAGTAGTCAAGCATAGAGCCAAGAGCAGTCTTCTCAGCACTCGTGATGGTCAACTTCCAGTAGCTCTTAACCTGGACCCAGCTCTTGGCGTAGGTGCAGTAGAAGCTTGTCAGAGGAGGCTTCCAGGCATCGGGGGACTTGTCGCTCTTGGACTGGTTAACATCATCGGTGACTGTGAGAGCTGTTAGAAAGGTTGTACTTCAATATAGGATGGGTTTGGGGATGATTTACCTGCCCACAGTTGAGGTCTTGTCACATCGTTGGCGAATTGGGTTCGCTTGGCAGTAGTCCATGAGGCAGCGCCAGACTGCAATGCGTTAGTATCTGGTTGAAAGAAGGCTGTTTCTTGGGAACTTACAATCCAAGCATTCTTCAGAGGAACCATATGGTCAATGTCGATATCACTGGCCTGTGTCCAGGTAGCGCCGTCGTACGGCGACTTCCATGTGCCAGAGGTGGAAGCACAGGCATCGTTGGTCACAACGTTGGTTCCATCTCTCTTCAAGACGAATTCTCTGTAAAACGTATCAGCATTGTTCTTGTTATCACGGGGGTTTTGCTTACCGGGTGTTGCAGGTTCCCTCATAGGTCTGCCAGTGGGGGAAAAGATCTCTGTCGTAAGTGTCGGTGTTGGTAGGGGCGGAAACAGTAAGACCGCTCAAGAGGGATCGAGCACTAGAGGCGCTTGGAATACCAGGCTGAGATGCGTAAGAAAGTTGAAGATACCTCGAGGAAGATAAGTTGACTTACAGGCGTTGGCGCAGCGAGAACCCCAACGACGGGAAGGAGGATAGCGACGGAGAACTTCATCTTGAATTGTCCGGTTGAAGAGAGATGGTACTGAAGAGGGGAAGAGAGAGGGATGAGGAGAGTGAATAGTATCACAGCCAAGCTACACTTGTCTCTTTATATACCAAAATCAACATCAGATAGCCATCTTGATCTATCAATCACATCCGCGTATTCTCGGAGGATACACAAGACTCCAAGAAACTACACATGAATGCTCCTTCCTTATTGAATCAACATCCGGCGCACAACATGACCCTTCTCCCTTCTGGGCGCTGATCTCACAGGCACGAGGGATGGTGATAGGCGAGGGTTGAGGGTGTCGCTGTACCGGCAGTTAAGTTGCGCGTCTATTCGCTACCGGGGGTTGGATAGTCAGGGTCCAGTTAGAGGCTGGCACGGTACCACGCTGATAAGGTAGTGCCGTTGATCGACAGGTGGAATTTCTGTCTAGAGGGAAACATTGTGGGGTTGGGCGAGTATAATAGTTATAAAACCTGCCTTTTAAGGAAATAAGCGTCCGAGACATGAGACATGGGGGAGATTGTTATGCAGTTTTGTGAGGAATAGATGAGAAGACTCGACTTTGTAAATGCATCACTCTTTATCAGATGATAATATTGATAGAGTTACCACATCAGAATATACTAGGAATATTGATACTATACTTGTCTGATGCCCAAGACAATCAACTCTCACAAGTTGCTGATCTACCTAGGTTAGCAGTTACTAGTATGGTAGGACATCTCATGCCCTTTGTCCCAAGACCAACTAGACTCAAAAAGGTGCCTGTAGATCTCTTATCTCAAACACTCAAATAGGAAGTCTACTAACATGGTGGCTTGGAGTAAAGACCATCTTGCATAAGTCCTTCGAGTTTCAGCAAATATCATACTGCCAATCATTGGTTATCTGTGGCTGTTCCCTCATCACAGTCCATCATGACCTTTAGGGTATTAGGATGACTAGTCGATGGAAGCATGAGAGACGAAACAATTTAGTCATATTATGCTAGTTTAGACCAGCACTTATGCTACTTTACTTTAGCAGCCTAAGCCTTGGAGGACAATTCTTCTGTTACCTACCTAAAGACGCCAATGCTTAATATCACAGATAGCTACAGCCAAAGATAAATAGCCATAGTCTAGCTCAACTATACGAAAACTATATCAGCAAGATGTAAATCAGGAAACACTCCTATTGGTGGATACAAAGGTTTATGACCACCATCATTATGAGGTTATCGCCACCTCCGCACTTACAGCACATATAATAAAGATTAAAGATCATCTGTCAGATTGCCTTTCCGGAGCTTTTAATTGGCAGCCGTTAATTCAAGAAAGAATGCCCCCTTTCCCCTTTGTGGTGGATTTACATCAAATGTGCTTATTGAGTGTCTGTCTATCTTGAACATCACTTATGTATTTGTGATGTCACACGGTACAGGGTGGCCCTCTATGTATTTCCACAAGTATAATAAATAGCAGAACACATCTTCAAAATATCCAATATCCGACAATAACTTCAGACGAACTCAATTTCTATCCCGAGATAAGCCACCCAATATGGACCCTTCGACAATAGACCGACTCAAATCTCATGTAACCTCCTTCACGTCATTATCTCAAGATTCCGACACAATTACAAAATACTTTGACAGTTTCGGCGACTGCAAAGTCTTACTCATCGGCGATGCCTCCCATGGCACATCTGAGTTCTACTCTGTTCGTGCCGAAATCACAAAGTACATGATCGAGAACCACGGCTTCAATATCGTTGCAGTTGAAGCAGATTGGCCTGGCGCCGAGCTTGTAGACAGATATGTCAGACATCGGCCAGGTCCAGGACAGGGCACAGCGGAAACAATCCAGATGGCAGAAAAGGAAAACCGAGAGTCACCATTCTTGCGCTTTCCAACCTGGATGTGGCGCAATATGGAGGTTCACGATTTTGTTGAATGGATGCGTTCTTATAATTCTGGCCGGGAAGCCAAAGAAGCCGCTGGTTTCTATGGGTTGGATCTTTACTCGATGGGAACGTCGATGAAAGCAGTTGTCGAGTATCTGGATACGGTTGATAAGGACATGGCAAAGGTCGCAAGGGAACGATACATCAAGCTGATGGACTGGTCTGAAGATCCACATGAATATGGCTTGGAATCGTTGGGAACATCTTTCAAGGGTTATGAAGATGATGTTGTCGCAATGCTCAAAGACCTCTTGAAAAAGCGTATGGAATACTCTGCGGCACTTCACGACGGTATCGAGTTTCACAGTGGGGAGCAGAATGCCAGAGTTGTCAAAGGTAACTAAACTTACAACCTCGTCTAAGTCTATCAAAAACTGATTTGTCTCCAGATGCCGAGCAGTATTACAAGTCCATGTACCGCGGACGAGACGAATCTTGGAATCTCCGAGATACACACATGTTTGACACTCTCAAGAGAGTCCTCGAGCATCGCGGAGAGAATTCTAAAGCCATCGTATGGGCACACAACAGCCATGTAGGCGATGCTCGTGCTACTAGCATGAGCTGGGCAAGTGGCGAACTCAATATCGGGGAGCTTTGCAAGAAGACATTTGGAGATGACGCTCTTACCATTGGCACAGGTACAAATACGGGTACAGTTGCCGCAGCTCAGGACTGGGACGGTGACATGAACATCATGAACGTTCGACCAGGGCTCTCGGGTAGTTACGAAGAGCTTATGCATGCTACGGGTGTCAGCAACTTTGTTCTGGACCTACGGAAAGGCAGATGCGATGAGAAACTTCGGGAGGCGTTGTGCGAGCAGCGCCTAGAGAGGTTTATCGGCGTGATATATAAGCCAGAGAATGAGAAGGCTTCTCATTACTCGTATGCTATCCTGCCGGAGCAGTTTGATGGGTACATTTGGTTTGACGAGTCCAAGCATGTGGGAACACTAGAGGTTCATCAACCACAGTCGCCGAGGGAGTACCATGAAACATGGCCATTTGGGCTATAGGTATCTTGAATAGACATATATTAACTGTGAATCACACCATCTCAGAACTACATCGTATGTCCTAAACTACGACGTTAGAATGACAAATAGCTGCAATGTCTTGTTATCGGGCTCCGAACGGATTATCTAAGCAAGTTCAGAGATACTTGTATCGTTCGCGCCGCCCTCCATTTGAATGTAGGTATTCATTGGCGTGCCAGCACGAATCATAGAGCGTAGTTCACAGAAACTTGGCAAGAGTCCATTCAACTTCATGGTGCAAAATCACATCACAACAACATGGTCAGTATCCTACCGTTCCTTCTGCCATATAGCTTATTTTGCACAATCCGTGTAAAATAACCATGGCAAGCCCGATGTCTTCAAGTCGTGTCAGAGAAGTATTTCATAAAAAGCACCTTGGAGTCTCACCATTTGTTCCATAGGACTGTCTTGACGACAAGCGTAGTGTCGTAATCTCATTTCTCGATTCTGGCTCAAAAGCCCGTTGCGGCTACTTTCCTCCTCTCATCATTGTAAGTCATGATTAGCAACCCCTCAGAAAAGCACATGTCCAACTCCAAACCCACACCCAAAATTCCAAAAAGTATCACCCCAATGGTAGTGACTAGTACCTGTGTCGCGTGGAGTAGTCCTTGGGACTAACGACCAGACCACGACCCTTCTTGGCACCTCGATACACCGTCTCGAAAATATCAATGAGCTCCTGCTTATCCTCAAGAACCCATTTAATCTTGTTGTTGTCACCGGTACCCAAATCGATCATCATGTGTTTATTTCGGAAAAAGAACATGAGGGAGCACGGGTCGTAGAGTTCGTACATCTGGTTGAAGTCGGGGACCGAGTCGATGTCGCAGAGGTAGATGACGGCAAAGTTGCGGACCTTGTCGGCGATCTTGTAGAGAACTTCGTCTTGGCGCATGCAGTCGGGGTCCCAGTCACGGCCGAAGCGGATGACGACGAGACGATCTTCCTCTAGACAATGGTTAGTAAATAGAATGTAGGTTGGAAGATGCGATGGTATTTACCTGAAAGGATGGCTTGGTCGACGTGCCAGCCGGTGTTGAGATGGGGAAGAACGACGGAACCCATTTTTGCTGTTTAACGAGTTTGTATATGTGTGTGTGTGTCAAAGATCGTAGGTTGAGTGACTCGTGGAAATGGAAAGAACTTGGTGATGGTGTTTTTGGAAGATAGAGAGAACCATAATGGAAGGCAGCGGCATATCATGTGGGTCTAGATTGACACATGCGCTAGCCTGATTTAGCCTCAGATGAACAAGCCTCACCTTGATTCAACTTAGACTCACCTTGGAAGTAAATGAGAAACAGATAGTACAAGATCTATTTCGTCTTCTAAATACTCTCTAAGATTCGTCATACTCGTCAATAACACTCCTCGGCTTGAAATATTGACCCAGAGGCTCAAACTTCAAGTGCTCAAACCCAAATGCATCCGGTCCTCCAATCCTGATACCTCGTTCTGATCCAGTCCATCTATCACTTGCAGCTATTCCCAGCACAACAACTAGCAATCCATATCGATACTCCGGTGTTCCTACCGCTTCTCCATTCTGTGCATCAATGACGCAGACAAGATCGGGAACAATTGCTAGAACATCCTCCTGAAGCTCCTCCTTACGATCTGGGTGGACTTTCAGAGCAGCGATATTCTCGTTCTTGAAAGGAATCTTGATGATGCCCTTGAACTGCTGTGATTCGCCTTCAGAAGCTGCGTTTGTTTCATCTCGAACATCTGCGCCTTCGATGAGACACTCGCCGTAGACATGTCCATTTCTCAATGTTCTCTCCACCCCAATGATCTTACCCTTCCATAGAACCTTTCCTGCCCCAGGACCACCACACTCATCAATGATAGTCTCGGCGACATTGTCCACGCGGTTCTCCTTACGCGCTCTAGCAACTGCTCGGCCAATTCTCCACGACTGGGAGAGCGTATGTTCAACCGCCCAGCGCCTCGTCTCTGCTCCTGTGACTGGAGCATCTGCAGCCCCTACCTGTGAGCCCATCTCGCTTAGAGCAGAGCGGATAATGCGCTCGACAGCCTCGTCGGAGGATGCTTTTGGCATGACTAGAACGTTTCCGTTTCCGTCGCTAACAGCAATGGGTGACCAGATCGTCTCCCTTTCTTTAAAGACCACAGGCGTTGTCTGCCATTTCGTAGGGTACGCTCTGCCCATCCAGTCTCCGTCCACTGTAGGAATATCCATCTGATCACTTGAGCCAAGCAACAGTCCGCTTAGACCATTAGCTCCTCCAACTTCGACAGAGATCATGTGCGTAGCTGATGTATCACACATCTTGTATAACTGCTGCTGTGCTTCAAGCAGTTCATCGCCTGCGAGCTTTTCGATTGCGACAGTAGGGCTTCCTGCTCCGCCGCCACAGCCAACTCGTGCATCGTCGGGCAGGTCATCAGGATTCACCACCCTAATTGTTGCTCCATTGCGTAGCTGCGTTCGTAATCGAATCATCAGTCCGTAAGGACTACCGCCGCCTCCTGTGCCTAGAATGTAGCAGCCTGTTGCGATCCACGAAACGTCCCTCTCGGAAAGATACCACGTTCGCTTTCTCACATTGGGGCGGTATGCCAGTATATCAAAGTCCTCATCTTCCTTGTTATTACGCTTCAATTTTTTATCATTGGCGCTCTTCTCGTAAGTATCCATCTCCTGGTACCCTTCGGCTTCTTCCTGTATTTCAGGAACAATACTCTCCTTGGAGAAGTCAAAGTCTCCTGTTGCTCGAACAACAAACCGAGTTTTGTTGGCAATATACTACAGCACAGTTAGTAAGCTGCCAGATTCTATTCCTGGCGGTACATACCTGGAGCGGCAGAACTTCCTTCTCGACAACAGTGATCGTTGATCGTAAAGCTCCAGCCTTAACAGTCTTCTCAATCGCTTCCTGGCACACCTCTTCGAGGAGTTCATTCGCCGACTGATCTGCTGTCGACTTGACAGTATCCACGACAGCACTGAACCTGGCTATGGCAGCTCCAATGGCATTTGCAACCTGTGACCACTTCGGCTTGAGCACCTTGCTCGCTCCCTTGAGCTCGTCGGGCGCAATAACAGCGCCACCTCCCACCAGAATCACAGGGATATCTTGAGGTGACGTCTTCATTGTATCGATCACTTTCTCTAACTTGAGCTTGATCACAGAACTGACATTCTGGAGTTCGTCTTCCGAAAGTATGTCCTTTAGAAGAGTTGAATCTCCAATCCCTAAGCCTGGGTTGGCAAGGACTGTGCAATCAGTGGCTGTCAAGACTTTTCCACCAAAGACAATGGCTTCGTGCGTCAACTTGTATCCCACGCTATCCGGTCCTACTGTTGTACCATTATCCTTTCGTACAATAGACCCTCCACCAAGACCGATGCTCTTGATGTCAGGACACGAAAAGTTCATGCGAACGCCCGAAAGGTCGCTATAAGCAGCTTGCTGTCGAGGAAAGCCGTTTTCCAGAAGGATACCAACATCCGATGTGGTTCCTCCAATATCAACCACCATCATGGCTTCGTCAAGTTCATTTTGTACCAGAAAAGCAGCGCCTCTCATACTGTTCGTGGGACCGCTTGAGAATGTTCGGATTGGCAATCGTGCAGCTAGTTCGCCAGATAGTACAGTGCCATCGTTTTGGGTGATGAAAACAGGACAGTTCAGGCCCAGCTTTTTCACAGGCTCGTGAAAAGATCGAATTGTCTTGCGTGCAAACGGGAGGATCGAGGCGTTGAGAACAGCTGCGTTTTCTCTCTCAAGGAAGCCGAGGTTGGCGACCTCTTTGGAGCAAACGACGTCGCAGCCAGGAATCTCACTCCTGATTATATCTGCGGTCCTCTCTTCTTGTTGTTCGACTGTATCGATCGGACTGAAGATACCGATGACCACCACACTCTTGATACCCATCTCTTTAATGACCGCGCATTGCTCTTTGATCTCATTTTGGTTGATATCAGATATCAAACGACCATCGACCTCCAGTCCACCCTTGACCAGCGCATGATGCCCCAAGATCAACTCCCTCATATCACTTGGCCAGTCAACACACGGCAAGTTATGCTTCGAGAAAGGTCCACAAAGACGAATAACAGCAACTCGGGATAGTCTCGCAGCATCCCTTTCGACGACAGCATTGACAAAGTGTGTGGTTCCAATCGTCACACTAGCGACATCATCAGGGCTGATAGAAGCCGAGCTGAGCATCTTGGTGAGGGCATTATTGATACCAATACTAGGATTTGTTGTTGTTGGCTCTTTATGCCACGCGATGATGCCGCGGTCAGGTCCTGAGGTTTGTAGAGGATCGATGAGGACGCCATCTGTGTTTGTTCCGCCAACGTCGATCCCGACTCGAAGCCGCCGTGTAGCTGTAGTTGCGCTCATAGTGGATGCGTCACTAAGACAAGCTCGCATTCACGCTATAACACGATGGGACGGTGGCTTTCAGTATGAGACAAAGCATGTAACCGCTCAGTATGTTCTTCCACGATGTCAATGAATGATCGAAGTCTAGTCTAGACTAGCATATAGGGAAGGAGCCCGATGCCGGCGTATGAGCTCCGCAGTAAGAAACTTGAATGGCGACTGTGGGGTTTGGCCTGAAGGATCAAATATTGTGGTGATCATCATGTTGTAGATAAGATCCTTATCAATCAGACGCCGTTCTGACTGTATATTGAATTACTGATGAGCAAATACGACTCCTGCTAATCATCTTTCAAGTTCACACGGTCAGGCTGAGTTTAAAACCTTAGTAGGTAATTGTAACGGTTCGTTATTCTTACCCTGAACCATAATTCAACCACCATCTGGTGGTCGTGTCGATCAACGTCTATCTACTGGAAAGACAAGACATCACAAATACAGCAAGTTTGATCAAAACGTGAATTCTTATTCATACAATGATTACCATCAATCCTATCTCCATGAGAGGTGCCATCGAGCTGCGTAACAGATACAACCCAAAACTATCCCTGACGACTACCTATCCATGCCGTCCCTTACTAATAAACAAAGCTTCCATGATATACTAAAGCCAGTATGCTGATTCCGCTATTCCAGCCCTCGGGAGACCATGCCCCGATGGGAGAAAGGGAAAAAGAAGAAGAAAAATAATACCCCTCATGGGAAGAGTCATGGAATCTTGCATATTCCTCGCGACGCCCGTAACGCCAAATCTTTGTGTGTGAACGCTTCTTTGAGAGCCGCTTCGCGCGGAGTCTCTGCAGAAGGTTTGAAAATAATAATGAGTCTCATGCAATCATTGTTCCTGTATGCCAGTTCCCGTGCTTTCGTCTATAGCCAAATAATCGCTTGAGCGTACTTAAATCTCGATGGTCTTCATTGATTCGTCCACCACCTCGGGCTTCTTGCCATTCGCCTTAGGCGAAGGCTCTTCCTCCACCTTAAGGAGGTCGGATTCCACACGAGGGATGGCAGAGACATTGGGAGTCTTGTTATCTTGGCTCTGTCGGGGAGTTTCGACCTCTACGAGCTTCTCGGGTTGAATATAGGCGTCGGCAAGTTCGGGGATTGCTGCCTCTTCCGTTACTCGGCTCAGGGGAGTCGCTTTTCCATACCCAGGCCCAGCACCGGGTCGAGGGCTGGCCAACGGGGATGAACCGCTGAGGCGTTGCATGGATCGGCCTCGGCCCTCGCCGTTCTCACCACCACTGCCGTAGGGGGAAGAAGAACGCGAGCCCAACGGAGACTGGGGCTTGGGGCCCATAGACCTTCTGTTCGATGCGCGTCGTCCGTACTTCTGATCCATCCTCCACCTCAGAATGCTGAAATACGAAGGCTCAACCCGTGTCTCCTTGAACTCTCGTAGCTTGAGCTCGTTAGTCTCTTCGTCTACGTACCACTTTCCGCTGTTGAGATCGTCCGCAACAACAGCCAGGAAGGCAGACCAAGAACGAGCGACAACGTATTTGGTATCGTAGTCACGACCAAAGAGGATGATCTGACCCCATTGACCACCAGGACCAGGCGCCAGGTCAACAGCCAAGTTGTTGCCACCCCAGTCACGAACCAGAGGGATCCAAGAGCTGTGGGCATATGCCTTTTGGACAGCGTTCGCAGGGACACAGTCCTGGCGAGACAGGAGGTCCTGTCTCCAGGGACCAGGGCTGTTGCCAGCCGAACCACCTTGCTTAGACGAAGAGGCCTCATTACTGCCGCCGAAAGCCTTGGAAGGAGTGGAGGGCTTAGCAACCGATGTCTCAAGTAAGAACTGTTGGTTAACGGTCCTCCAGTTCTCCCATTCTTGCACAATCTCCTCGCAATCCAGCAACATGTGACTGAAGATAATTCCGGTAGGCATTCCTCCTCGCTCTTGACCGTCATGAATCATAAGAGAGTCTCGAACATCCTGGGGAAGGGAGCAGTCAAGTTGGTGCTCCAGGTCGTTCAAGTCGTTGTTGGTAGCACCCTCGCATAGCTGATCGTAAAGCTCTGGGTAGTTGTCATCGGCCCAAGAATCTATGCGTCTCCAGGAGTGGGCAACTGGGGGAGCAGGCGGAAGGCCATCGGAAAAGTTCTGCATGGGAACGTCGCCAGGGCTTTGCACCTCGAAGCCATCGCCTTGGCTGGCATTGCGAGCGCTCATTGACCTCAAACCAGGAGAATAGGGGGCACTCGTCGGGGCGAAGGTGTTAGCATCAAGATGTGGAGAGGCTCGACCTGTTTCGTCGGAGTAAGGAGATGAGACGTCGTTTCGAGAATCGGAGGCTGTCGCTACGCCAGTCATGATGCCACCCCGACCACCATTCTGCAGAGGGACATGGCGACCGGTTCGGTAAGGGGAATCGAATGAGGAATCTAGAGGTCGTTTAGTATATAGGCTTCGAGATGTCGCGATAAAGTTTAAAGGGGCGGCATACGTCTGTCATAACTGGTCATAGTATGCCAGAAGGATCTAATTGTCGCACCGAAACTGTTAAAGGCAACGTTAGCAACGGTCGACTCGAGATATCCGATAGACTCCTCGACTTACGAGCCTTCCATGGTGACGGCGATGGGGGCCCAAGAGCCGGCGAGCGTGGGAAAAGGGTGAACGAAAGTCGGTTACTAGGGGCTGAAATGCGACAACAAGAAGAGAAGAGCAGAGCGCGGATGGGCCGAGTCTTTAATTATGAAAGTAGAAGTAAGGGCGTCGCAAAAGCCAAACCGAGCAAAGGAAGAGAGTGAACGGAAAAGAGCAAGAGAGCGACGAAGTATGAGAAGAGCGGAACAGAGCGAATTGTTGATGATGTAGAGTTTGAAGGTGAAGATTTCCAAAAGCCCCAAGATGTAGACTATGTTTGTCCAATCCAAATCCAATCTACTAAATCCAGGGGAACCTAACTAGGAGCTACAGAGGGAGAGAAAGGTGGCTGCTCCGCTGGGCTTGGACGCGTGGGGTCAGGTCCAGTCAGTACCTATGGAGGTTAGTTCCAATGGGTTTTCTTTTTACGGTACCAAAGTACGGATACAGTACAGTATGTATAATTTAGTGGACTTTAATGCTGTAATTTCAGGCAGGGCTCGTCAAGGTCCGTGTAATGGATGGGGTTATTTTGAGAGTGCCGAAGATTCCATGTATAAAAACAAAGAAGGCGGGCAGGTGGCACAAAAAACGGGAGAAGGAAAAAGGACCCTGTGACGGAATGAAACAGGCACTAGAATCCAATCCAATGGCAGGCGCAGGCGCAGGCGCAAGACTGGAGGTTGGGTTGTCCTTTGTCTTTGTTTTTGTTGTTGACACTGATGATTGATTTTCCAAGGTAACCAGCCAATGGGTATCCTAATTGGTCAGTGTCTCTCTGCAGACAACCACACTGCTCTGGCACTAACACTGGCCGATGTGGCGGAAATGATGGAGGTTAAGGGGCTGAGTGTTGCACTGAGTGGCTGCAGGAAAGTGAAAGCTGGACAAGGGTGGGTAATGGGCATAAAAAGTTGGCAATCGTGCAGTAGGAGAGTATGCAGCTGATACAACCGATGAACACTTTGATTTTAATGCAGGCAAACATGCTTTTAATCATTGAACTGTCACTATCAGCAATTGTTGAATCAATTGGGCGGTTCATATCCGTAGGTAGGAACCCTTGATCCAGTTTAGTTCGGGCAACCTCTTACCGCCCGTTATAAAACCCTCCTGAAATGCATTCCCCCTATAAAAATAAAAACCCCTCCCGTCGGCTCCCATCCATGGTCCGGGTTTGAGACGGCCAGGCGAAAGCCGCGGGGGCTTGCATAAGATCCATTGGCTGACCCAAGCTAGCACTGCAAGGTACCGCACCCGCCAGCACACTATGAGACGCTACCTTGACAGCGATTAGGTTCAGGGGCAACCTTAATCCAATTTGGCTGATCATTTTTGGGTGTCACAGTCGGGTCGCAGATGATGGCGTCGCCAACAATTTCTATGGTCAGTAGAAGCTTATTAGAAACGCCATGGCTTGAAAAAAGGTCGGCATTGACTTGACCTGACTTGACGCTACTACTTATTTGATGCATGACGATATAAAGATGGGTAATTATCCAGTATTCGGTTCAATGACCGGCTTTTGTGGAGAAGCTGATCGATCGTAGTGTCTTTTATACCTTAGTAGGTACTCAGTATTGTACATTAGCACAGTACAGTAAAGTCATGAGTGAGTGATTGTAGTAATATGAGAGAACCTCGGACGAAACCTTGAAATAAAAGGCATCTCGCGTCTGTTTGAGATCAATGCTTGATCCTTTCGCTACAACTTGACCGATTGATAGATTCATTCTAGACCTTTTCTTCTCCACTAACCATCCCAGCATAACATGATCTAACAACCCCCTTATCTCATCTCACTTCATTGTTTGACCCAAACTTTGACATCCACAGATATCCACTGCCTCTCCAACAGAAAATAGTAAAAATATCTCGCGTAGGTAGTTTGATACGAGGAGCATCTCGTCAACACGAGCTCGCAAGATGCGATTGCTCTCCGGTCATGGATGTCATCCCTCTCGCTTACAATCTCCATTTATATACAATCCCGGTTCCTAGGATAGCAAATAATTCCCGAGTACAACTCCTTATCATCATCATGTCCTCAGCGATGCCACCTTTGGGTTGCCTCATGCCGATCTCATTTCTCATGAGAGAGGAGAGCCAGAATTAGAAATCACATTTCTTTCCCCGCACTTGAGTAACGTTAGTATCGACCGACCTAATAAGTCCAAATTTGACTGTTGCGACGGCGCATCGCTCGTTCCTGTTTTTCGTTTCACTGCATCTAGTCATGGGATGCTTATGGCGCTATCATTTGTCCTTGTCTGTGTTCTATCATGGATGCCGTGTGGTTTGCCGCGGCTACTCACAGCAACTGATAGCGAATGTGTCCGTCGTGTCGTAGATTCACTGATTGGACAGTTGAAAGTCGCATCTGAATCACCATAAACGGGAATATACCGTACTGGTTTCAATTCGGATATATCATTCAATCATGCATCGCTACTGCTCTCCTATACTATACAACTTGACTCTATCTTCACTTCCATACTGTCATCAATATACCCACCGCGAGCCCCGATCATTAACTTGATCTATGTCTGCCACATGTGCTCACTAAGACCAAGCAGTTTGTCTTGCATTTGTCTCTTAGCTGCCGTGGCGATTCCTCGCTCGGGATCAGCCATGGCCTCACTATAGCATAGCTCGACCAGTGCCTTCAACTCGTCGTAAGAAAAGTTGTCGGGGTCTTGCGCGCTCGTGCCCCGTTGCTGTTCCTTGTCCTCCTTTGCCTTCTCCACGATAGCATCCGCACCTTGTTCGAAGAGAGAAAAGTAATTTGCTGCACGCGCCAGGTCCACGCCCTCTTCCACGTTCTTCAGGTTTTGCTGCAGTACGAGGATGTTGAGCTGCATACGACCGCAGCCCTTGTCGTTCATCGGCGATGCCTTGCCTGCGTTGCTGACAAGGTAACAATTGATGAGAAGTCCTAGGCCTGTCCTGATAAAGGCAATTTCCTTCTCTCTTAGGAATTTCACGATGGTCTCGTCAAAGAATACCAATTCCGAGTTGAGATTAAGAATTTGTGGATCAGGTTCGCTCACTTCCTGGTCGAGGAGGTAGGGTGCCACTGTGGGCGATAACGCGATGCTGAGAGAGTGGACTATGCGACATCGGATCTCCATATGGAGGGTGAGTAGTGCTGTTCCTGCTAGTTCCTCAAAGGACGACACGATACTGTCAAATGCCCTAATTGACGATCAGCATTGTCCTCTAGTTATTGGTTTGTGCAACTTACTGTACAGTCTCCTGCGTCAGCGGCAGAGACACAGGTCCCTCTTCACCGGAACCCTTACTGGGCTCGTTCATAAGAGTCCATCGTCGGCCTGAATGTCGAGGCAGGTTCTGTCGTGAGGTATCCGTATCGTGCGTTGTGATTTGACGGAGGCCGGCAATCTTGACGGCAAGCCATTTCATGCTGGTGTACAAAAGACAGAGAGACGAGATAGAGTCTCTGTCTTGGATAACATCGCCTGAATCGAGTGGCGATTCGTTTGTGAGCTCCATCAAGAGGTGAATCTCCTTTTCGGCGAGCTCCCAGTCCATATCGTCTGCCGTAAAAAGCTTTTTCATGGTTTCTTGCAGTTCTCCTTGATCCAGGGCGAACCTCGCCGATGATCTCAAGTTCTCATTGCTAATCTCTGTGGTTTGATCTTGCGCTTTGACAACAAGTGTCTTGAACCAGCTGAAGCAGCGGTCGTAGTATCGCATCATTTGGGTTACGATCAGTGAACTGAGAGCCTGATCTGGAGGGATTGTGCCCAGCATACGACAGAAAGCTGTGACAACCTCGAAGAAGGCAGTCGTTCCCCGGAAGACAGGTCGACGTGCGACCTGACTCCACTCCGAATCTTGTGAAAACGCGTCTGCCTCCCCAAACACAGTGTCGCTCAGTTTTGCCAGAGTTTCATCTAGCTGCGGCTGGAAGACGTTGACCAGGAAATTGTCCAAGAATGTGGTCAATGTGCTTGCCGCAAGATCCGAGCCAGGGGGCACAATATTCTTTAGTCGCTGTAGGAATACCAACGTCGGTGGTAGCAGCAAACTCATGTTGAAAACACTTGGCTCTACCAGCGATTTGTATGAACCTGTTGTTTGATGACTGTTTCCGAGACCGCCATCACCGCCTCTTCTCCCTCCTTCGGGCGCGCTCCGCCCTTTCCTGTCTTGTTTCAGCCCAGGAACAGCATCCTGAATAATGTTATCAAGGGCATCGTATTCGGTCGTCATTTCAACGGATTTTGTGTTGGCCTCTGAGAACTTGAACAGGTGCTCTCGCACATCCTTTTTGCCGTGAAGAGTATCTCCCGGGGTTGGAGAATCGAACTGATAGACATCTGCGTCTGTTGTAACGTAATTGTGCAGTAAAGATCGAATCTCGTTCTGGTAAAGATTCCACAACTCCTTGAAGCTGCCGAGGAGGGCGCTGTTATTACCAGCGCCTTCTCTTCGGATAAGAACCTTGATAGATTCATGGAAAATGCGATGGCCTTCTCCAATCGCCTCAAACTTGCCATATAGCGACCACAGAAGGTCGTAAATGACATCTGCCCGCATTTGCGTTTCACGTGTTCCATACACATGGAGGCCATCACCTCTGACTGAGCCACCCCTCAGCGAACTAGGATGTCTTTGATCCACTTCGTTAATAGTCTCGTTGACGATAGTAAAGAGTTCAACTGGCAGTCGTTGCTTAAGAGTCTCCACAGCATTTTGCAACCGGCCCAGCCTGTTCAGAGACTCAACTAATAGCCCAACATAATAGAATGTATCGGCCTCAGGGTTTTTCATCGGATCCTCTCTGACTGTCTTGTCGACATCGATGGCATCGAGTACCATATGGAATGGGGCAATAGGCTTGATGTCAGTGTAGCCTTCTGTGACGGCGCCTTGCGTCTTAGCTAAGTTCTGCCATCTTTCCTGGCAATATGGGGACTTGAGATAGAGATGCTCATGCAGCTCCTCTACCAGGATATCCATTAAAGCAGTCTCCTGGTTGGCAAGGTAACTTCTCAGATCAGCAAGAGCACCAATGTCGTCAAGTTCGGGCTTTCGTAGTTTCCGGAGAGCATTCTGCAGTACTTCTACAGCCGTCAAGAAACGCTTCTCAGATATCCTTGCCTCAAGCTGATCCGGTACAGCACGTAGATCATCGAGCTCATTAAGCGTCTGTACAAGAGCATCGAATTCTTGAGATGATTTGGAGAGCTTCTTCAGCTCTGGGTCTGTTGCACAAAGACTCGTTTTCGAGCTAGCCAGCGACTCCTTTAGAGCACGTACTCGTTTTTGAGACTGCTGGATGCTGCTTTGAATTTTATGAAATGTACCAATCGAACTATTGAAGCCCTGATGATGTTCATGAACAATTCCTTTGAGAGACTCTTGTAGAAAGTTATGCGACTGCTGAAACTGGCCATATTCGTGGGCGCGACCAACCGAGCTCTTGTCGAGCAGCTGCAGCGCCAGTTGTACGGGGATACAGTCGTCTTGGCACATTGAAGGCCACTCTTGTTTGATATGGTCTAAAACCTCGGTAATTTGCCGTGAAGCGTGGGTATCTGAGGGTTGCGATTGTCCCTGCGACTGGACTTGTGGTATACGTCCCCTCGACGACATCTGGCGAAGGCTGGGCTTTGGTCGCGGTTGCTGTGTAGTTGGCGGCGTGGCATATCGCTCGCTTCCGTATCCATCTTGATAACCAGATCTATAATCGTCATTGGAGCGGCCAAAGTTGCCGTAGCCATTGCCCTCGCGGGGAGGAGGTCGGTCGTATCGATTCGACATGTTGGTAATAGAAGACGACGGAACGATTACGAGATATTGGTCGCTTCGAAGCGCATCGTCGCTGCGCAAAGGACAGAATATCGAGTCGCTATAACTTCAGGCAATAGTTTCGACAGCTTAGATGTGCAGAATTGGAAGCGTTGACTTGCAAGGTCAGGCTTGTTGGTACGAAGCTGATTGTCGAGGGGTTCGAAGCTAAGGTGGTGGTTGACATTGGATTGACAGGAGCTGCGAAACACTAGTGGTACGTACCCCATAGGAGCTTTCCAGCGCTTCCATGGAATTACAGTGACCAACCACCCGCTGAAATGGATCCATGGTATTGGATTATGACTGCGATACTGAATCCAGTGTTAATACCTTTGAGAGATCATTCAAATAGAAATGTCATTTGTATTGTTTACCCCAATACAACTATAGTGGGTAAAGGCGGCCTTTATTGTACGGCATCACGAGTCTACACAATGGATCAGAGAATAAATATGGATGGTTATATTCTTGGTATCATTAGTGTGTCGATAATTATGGATAGGTAGTGAGCGAGAAAAGCCTAGGAAACTAAACAGTGGTATCAAATTATATCCCTTTACTCTCCCTCGTCATATGCCATGCTGGATCGTATCCTTCTCCTGTTGCTCATCAGTGAGCGCCACCATGCGATGTCGCTTGTGGGGGAACCAAGTGTTGATTCTCATCCTCTATCGGCTTTTGCACTCCAGGCTTGGAGGGCTCCTCGCCAGGACTGGCCTTGGGATCCTGCACAGTCGTTCCGGACAGATCGGCTTGAGCTATGCGGCCATCTTGTGCTTCAAGCTGATTCTGAAGCGTCGCTCCAGGCTGTTCCGCAATCTGCATCCTCTTATCCTTTTCCAGTATTGCCTTTGTCAAGCCGCGCACTCCATCTATGATCACTTCCTGTCGATCCCAAGCTAAAAACCCAGGAGTTCCAGAAGCTCGACCCAGATGCACCACCTGGTAATCCTTCTTTGCCCACGCAGGACAAGAGTAGGTTGCTTTAGCAGGCCGAGGCAACGTTTTCGGCTGTTCACTTTGATCTTCGTCACCGGTGAATACACTGATGGCAACCTTTGGTTTTTTAGATGGCTTCTTCCCTTCTACTGATTCGATATCCGAAGCACACTGCGCCCAAAATCGGAGAGCAGCTTCTGGGCCCGGCAACCAAATGAGAGAAGTGAGTGTGATGATGTCTTTTTGTGTAAGTTCTTTTTTGGGGCCCAAAGTGCGAAGGACCTTTAAAACGTAAAGCAACAGACCAGTCGGTGAGTCGCAGAGGGCATACGACGGGGTATTGGGTTCGAAATTGCTGCGATCACCTTGGCCGAGATTGATTGCGGACTTCTTCTTATTCAGCTGTGGAATCTTCCGCTTCTGTACAGCAGCAATGTCGTCCTTGGAATAACCAAGCACTGGAGAGCTCAAGAGGCGGGCCACTTTCCACTTCAGCCATTCGCTCGCCGAATCTGAAAGTGTAGGGGATGTCAGAGGAGGTGCAATGAAATGGAATCCCAAGCAAGAATCTTGGAAGTTGTTGGATAGATGTCGAGCCAGTCTCCAGTCGATACCAGCTGGTGACATGGAAGCAGACCCGGCGTTGCTACCAATATAGTGCTCATAGCCTAGTCTCTTCATCAGGGCATCTAGCAACTGGGCTGTTGTAGAAACCGGTGGAGCGTTGGGTGGCAGAGCATCGCTGAATCCCAGACCAGGCAGCGCTGGGATCACGACATGGAAAGGCTGGGTAGCTCCAGCATCTTCAGGGTCACTCAACGGTTGAACGAGGTGGCCGAGTGAAAGGTTAGTTAAAGGGAAGGGCGGTAAGAGAAGAAGTGGAACAGCATTGGCATGAGGTGAACGAGCGTGAATGAAATGGACCCGAACAGGTGTTGGTGGTGTAGAGATCTGGAAGCTGGTTCTGAATTGTGGAAGTGTTTGGTTCAGCTCTTCTTCGTGATCATGCCACGAGAATGATTCTTGCCTGGAGAAGGAATGTGAGCTCAGGCCTCGGTTGTTTACCCATGATAAATTCGACTTACCAGAAGTCAACTAGAGATTCGACTTGAGGCTTAGGCTCCCACCAATTTTGAGAGGGAGGCTCATGAGGAAGTCGAGTAAGCTCTAGTTTCTGACGCGTAATGTCCAGATATTTGCTCGATATCTATATTGGCTGATCAGTAATGTTCATGATGGCGGCGTTATTTCTCTGAGCTCACACGTATACGATAAGGTTGGACCTCCTCACCGGACTCTCCGGGTTGTTGTTGCTGTGACATTGTATGATTCAGGTTCTCAATATGGATATGAACGGAATCAACTCTGTTCGCCAAGGTGATGCAGATGCAATATGGTTTCACAGACGACCAAATAGAGACGAGCGAGGCTTGACAAGACGACAAAACAAACAGTTCAAGACGGAAAAGACCGAGAAATTAAAAATGCGACTCGCTTTCACGAGCTGAGTTGCTTTCGTAACCCGGTCAAAAAAACAAAGGACCCTTACGCCCACCTGCCACCCTTCCTGACAAGACCCTTGTCATGATAGCTGCTTGGATTAAGGGACCTTGACGTGGCTGACTCCCGCTGTGGCTTTAGCGTATGGGGAACGCGGCACAAATGGTCCGAATCGTCTCATGATTGGCTGATCAAGGCCTGATCCCTGGGATGTGGTGGCGGTGCATCCGAGCTCCCTTGCGGCTTCGGAAATGATCACTCTGGGCATCAGGCATTAGACGTGGCTCGTCTGTCCGCCTGCCTCTGCCAACTTTTTGAAAACTGGGAAACTCAGCTGGTGTGGAACACTTGGAGCGGGTTTCTGAACTATCGTTGGCTGTGGCTGGTCATACCGCCACACGTGTGTACTGTATGATTCGAGGCATGAAACACTAGACTAGGTAGCTGAGGAGACAACAAAACTTGACAACTCATCATGTACTGTAATAAAAGAATACACCAATAAAGTATGTATAATCAACACTGTTAACTTGAGATAAGTAGCTTGGAGGCTTACGCGAATGGTGTGGCTTTCCCCGTAAACTCCCATCTCCGATACATACCCAAACGCCTGTATGCAGCCCATTCTTCTTCCCATGTGACACCGCATCATCCCTCCTCTATCCTACATAAAGAACCTTGTGGGAGCCGCTGCGATGCGAAGATCATGAAACAGTCTAACTAGCAGGCTTCTGTACTAGCTTACACCTGGCGTCTATACCAGCTCTTCCTCTTTGGGAATAGAGCACTGGATGAACGATATGAATTTAGCGAACCGTTATTGAGCAAGTGGCTGACCTACTAGCGAGCTACAGTACCCTTCTACTGTGTCGCTGGTAGGATTTGGACTTCTCAGCCATTCCGTGGCGGGGGCTGACTACTCCCTTGCGGTCCGCCTCGAAGGTTGATCTGCCCTATTCGCGACACTATGTTGCTGCCAACTGCGTCAACAGCACCTCGGGGCGAAGTTAGAGTTGGGCCTTCTGGAGCTGTTTCTTGGACTCGAAACAGCTTGATAGAGGTCCCGTTCCAAATACCCATGGTTCCTCTCGATACTTGCATCTCGTTTGTAAATATGACTCCCCACAAGAGGGACTCATACCAGCCCAAGGCAAGCTGAGACCATTCAAATGAGTGCACACGAGGGTCTGAAGGTTCGATACCGACAATCTCAACGCCTGAGATCCGCCGTAGCGTTTCTGGTGTCGGGACATCAACAGCCAGTTCTTGGCGTGGCAGCAGAGCTGAGACTTGTTGAATGACTGCTAGGATTGTATGAAGGGGCAATTCAAGTAACCAGCTGTCGATCCACTGAGCAGTTGGCTCGAATGCGCCAGCTTGTGATTGCCCCGATATCGAATGTCCACCCAAACTTGTTGTGCTGTTTTGTCGTGAAAAGCTCGGGACGCCGGCAGGCATCTTACCGCGAGCCTTTTCAGACATTCCCCTCAACTGAGTTGGGACAGCATCCTCAGCATTGGGGGTGGATGATCTCCGGGAGGGTGCTTCACTCGACGTCGATCGTGCAGGGGTCTCTTGGTGCTCCTCGTCTTCACTTTCATCGTCGTCGTCGTCGTCTCCAATTGCGAATGCGCCATCTTCCGGAACTTCCTCTAGCGATGAGTGGCGTGGATGAGCGCTGCTAGGACTTCTTAGGCTGTCGACTGAGCTGCGAACAGAAGTAGGCTCTAATGCGTCAGCATGCTGTCCAGAATCCTTTCTTCTCCTGTTTCTTCTCTCAATTTCTTGTTGTCCACTCTCTAGTGTAAATGATCGCAAGGCTTCGACTCGCTTTTTATTCTTGAGAATAGCAAGCACAAGTTCAGGATTTTTGCGGTACTTGTTCTCCAGAATGGAGTTGATTGACTCTAAAAGCGAGTGCAGCAGAGTGTAATTGGTCTCATTCGCGAGAAGAAACGAAGGTGACGACATGGAAGAGAACAGCTGCATCAGTTTGGAGCTGCTGGCGCTACTCAGACCCTCAAGGTAAGGGGCAATGTTGTTAATCACCGCCAACAAAGCTGGGTAAATCGCTGACAGCTTTCCTTGGCTTGTTGTAATCAGATTGTAGATGGAATGTATGAGAAAGTCGGCATATGTGCCCCTAAAGCCCGGCACGCGAATCGAAACTGGCAAGCTCTCTTGTCCTTCGAAGTACTTGTTCAAGTTGACACCGAAATTCGTCTCCACGCTTAGAGTCTGAAGTAAAAAGGCGCACATTCGCACAACTCCCTGCTTGGTGGCATCGCTTTTGTACTCTAGGGCATAGAATAGGGCGAGTACAACAAAATCGTGCGCTCTCTCGGTGTCTACGATGAAGGATCGGAACCTTTTGTTACATTGGAGGATCTCCCAAAACAACATAAGTATTTCGGGAGCGAAGTGACCGGCAGACTGAGTACCCGGCAGATAAGAAGTCTTCTCCTGAAGAGGCTGGTTTAGGATCCGAGTCATCCCATCAACAATGAATTGAAAGTCTTGAGGCCGATGCAGCCGACCTAGAAAATGACGGTAAGAGTTTTTGGGTGATGGGTTAGATGGGCTTTCGGGAATTGGATACAGTAGGAGCACCAAGAGGAACTGCAGTGAGTAAGTGACAAGCATCTGCTTGCCATCCTTGAATACAAGGGTGTTGTAGGGCACCCGCCAGGTTGCAGGATTATATTTTAATGTCTGATGAGTGAAAAGTCAGCTTTCAAACAATCAAAAAAGACAGATATGCAGACAGACCGTATTGAGTAGAGAGCAGAGCACTGAGAGTACCACTTGCTTGTCCGGGCAAGCACAGAGATGGGTCAATGTGCGCACGCCGTTCTGTGGAAGGACACCGGCTGTCATGTACATGCTCTGACCAGCGAGGGTCAGAAGAAGCCGTAGAATCTCTGATCGATTGCTTTCATACTCCTTCGTTGTTGCGACGGCTGTATTGCAACCTACGCCGCTCTGCCAGATCGCATAGCTGACTTTGGGTCGTCCATTTGCCTGACGTGGTAACGTCAAGTCAGAAAAGAAGAGAAGATCCACCAATGTATCAACCAATTCCTCCGCAAGTGGCTTGACCTCCTCGAATTGGGTGGGATCGGCTTTGTGTTCAGCTTCTTGGGCTTCGTCGAAGAGGATTTCGTTCGCAATGGCAGCCTGTCGAGTCCGCTGTCTCCGTTGAGCCCAGAAGAACTGCTGTTCCCAATCGCTTAGAGATTCCTTCTCATATAAGTAAGGCAATATCCTAGTCAGGACCCGGACGCAGTTCAATGCCTCGCGCTCTGGAGCGAGTTCGGGGTCAGGGAACGATGGGTGATGACGTAGTATGAATAGGCGAGAAGTGACAGCGAGGATGAGAGTTTCTAGGTTTTCGAGAGCACGATCGCGAGTCCTTCGGATATCTGCAGGTGTGAATAAACTGAATACGTCCTCGGAGGACTCAGGAAGCTCCCAGAACTGGACAGGACATTAGCACACAAGGCTTCACTTTGGGGAGAGACACGGGGTGGAGTAGACGAACAGAGGTCCAGTAGGCATCATCGGCGGGTATATGTCGTTCTTCGGATAACCGAAAGATGCCTCGTTTAAAAACGAGCTTTGAGTCACTCGCGCCCATATTTATTGCATGAGAATGCCAGGGAAGGAGGGAGCGCTTCAGGAGAGTTTATTTCTTTGTGATGTCCTCATTGAACCTTGGGGGGCTCCAGCATGACGAGGTGTTGCGCTACTGTACAATAATGGATACCTACCACCTTATCTGTTCCGGCGCTTTTATTGACCAATCACGTGCACCGCTCAGACCCATATCCGAGATATTACCGAAGTCATTGATACTTACATGGGGATTTTTTTTTAATGTAGGTAGGTGCTAGGGATTGCACATCCCCCTCCATTCATGAAAGTTTGACTTTGATTGACTTTTGCTCTCCCTGTTCACCGATTTCGCGAAAGTAGCCTCAATGCTTCGCATTCGGCGTGGGCTAGGCTCTTCAGCCAGTTTCGCACACACTTGTCGACCTCACATACGATATCCCCGGCAATGGACACCCCTCCGATCGTTTGCGACAGACCCCAACCTGGACGATGCCTCGTTACCGGAACATGCCAGCAAGGCAGGCATAGAAAATGCACCGGAAGCGAATAGTCAGGAGTCTACCCATAGAAGAATCGCAACTGACGACGCCAACTTCAACGAAGCATTGGATGTAGTTCGACGAGTTTATGGTGTTGATAAGAAACAAAAGAATGAGAAGAATGAGGAGAAGCAGCCCGACTCTCAGCACCAAGATGAAGCTTTCAACACTGCGCAAGGAATAGCTGAAGAAACATATACGCCCGAAACCGATCCATCGACAACCTCGCAGCCTGGTGTATGGACTTCGCTGAAAGAGAAGCTACAACAGAAGAGCCCCATGGGGTTTACAACCACGTCTCAATTCAACCCCGAGTCAGCAGCAGGACGCCGTCGTATTGAGGAGCTACGTAAAGAAGCTGAGTTCATGAAGGAGAGCCACAAGGACCGGTTGAAACTCAATGTGAAGACGATGATTCCCCGGGATATGGACATGTCACCAGTCGAGAAGACAAAGGCAAGAGCGGTTCCCAAACTAGCCTATAAGCTGGAGAAGGTTCTCTTCAATCCTGGGCCTTATCAGCTTCAAGATAGGCGTACCCAGGTTTATAATTTTGATCCTTACCTGGGCACAATTATGCCAGTTAAAGAGTTCGATTTCAACGCCTTGAAGGAATATGTGACTTCTTCAAAGGATGAGACGTTAGCAGAGCTAACTGCGAAGCACAAAAAGAAGTACTGCGGTTCAACTTCAAGTATGACAGCTATGCTCTCGCACTTTCACTTCCTTCTGTCGGCTTGGAGACTACCAAACTTCGCCCACTTGTCAAATTCTTTTCCAATCGAGTATGAAAACTTCACCGTGTTTACCCGGGCCCCAGTGGCTGCGTTTGCCCGGTATAAAGATGGGGTGTATGCCATCGACGCCGATAAGGAGTTTGACACTGCGAGCATCCTTAGCATGCTGGGAAAGTCCATGGAAAAGCTCCTGACTTTACCAAAGGACCATTTCGAGAAGTATAGGCGAACTCGTTCGCATGAGCTCTCTGAGGAAGAGAAAAATGCTGATGAAGCCTTTCATTACACCACATTGGGAGATTTCATGATGCGATCACAGCTCGATGCTTACGATCCGAGGCTTCCCGGCAGTGGCGTCTTTGATCTTAAAACACGTGCTGTAGTTACCATCCGAATGGACGTGGCAGACTACGAAAAAGGCGTTGGTTATGAGATTGATTCCCGTTTTGGTGAATGGAGTTCATTCGAGCGCGAGTACTACGACATGATACGGGCAGCGTTTCTCAAGTATTCTTTGCAGGTACGAATGGGGCGGATGGACGGCATCTTTGTTGCTTTCCACAACACTGAGCGAATTTTTGGGTTCCAGTATATCAGCCTCGAAGAGATGGATCACGCTATCCATGGAACGGCTAATCGCAAAGTTGGTGACGGGGAGTTCAAAGCAAGTATTGGTCTTTTGAACGATCTCCTGGACCGAGCCTCAGAACGATTCCCTAAACAATCTCTGCGAATACATGTCGAAACACGACCGTTGGACCCCGCCGTAATGTACTTTGTTGCTGAACCTGTCAGCGATGAAGAGATGCAGAAGACCCAGGACAAGGGCAAAGCAGCTGTCGAGAAACTTGAAAAGGAAATCCTGGGCATAACACGCCAGAAGAGTGAGGACCAAGACGCCAACCCTATGGAAGAAGTCAGTCCCATCAAAGACCAGGAAGACACAACGAACAGTACTCGAAGATCTGCACCCGTTGCCGAACCGCAGAGGCAGAAATCCTGGGATGAGATGATGGCGAAGGTAGACCAGACCGTGGAGAACGATGCTGCCGGGATGGCTAATGTTAGAATTGCTATCGAGCAAGCTATTCGACACAGCGGCTTGCTTGCCACAAAATCTAAGGAGGAGAGGCAGGCGTATCTTGACGAACTTGTCGAGGCTTTGGGCAAGGATTTGAGAGGTGGCAAGGAAGGCGCCAATGGATCCAATGACGCTCTCAACATTTCAGCAGATGAACCAAGCGAGGTTTCTCAGGGTAGCAGTTCCACTACTGGCCTAGAATCCGAGAATGTCGAGTCTGACGAGGTCGTCTCCGATCACGCCCAAAGCAGCGAAATTGTGGTAGATGATACTGTTAAGGACGGTGCTTCTCTCAAAGATCTCATCCTCAAGGTTGCTGAAGGTGTCGAAAGCAATACAAGCAACTTGGGAACTTTTGAGCGAGTTCTATCAGAGCTGGTACGAGAACAGAAGCAGTTGAGTAATGAGACGGAGGAAGACAACTTGGCCGACACCGATGGTGTCCCTATAGCGATCACCGACGATTCTTCTCTAACAGAAACGGCAACTCCTGGTCAAAACAAAACTACGCAGTCTGAACGAGGAGTATTAGGCATGTATGTCACAGTCCGCAACAAAGTCGACGACAAGATTGTAAAACGTGTTGAAAACCAAAACTTGGGAGAAGTACCCAACTGGACGTTAGAGTACGCAATCACAGAGTTATCGACAGACAAAGCGCGAAAGATCTTGACCCAGATCAAGGCCCGCAGAAGAGAGTTGATGAATGATAAGAGCGACAAGCGCAGCAGACAGTGGTACAGACTATGGAATGGACAACTGCTGAAACGCACCAACGCGGGGAAGAAAACTAGGAAGATGATGACGGAGAGGGAGGAGAAAAGGGGTATCAAGGTTGCGTGGAAAACCGGCAAGGCGCCGTCGAAGGAGGCTACAAGCTACAAGAAGGAGGCTACAAGCTACAAGAAGGAGGCTGCAGGCTACAAGAAGAAGCCTGCTGTACACAAGAAGAAGACTGCTGTACACAAGCCTGTACACAAGAAGAAGACTGCGTCCAAGAAGTCGAAACAATCATGAAAGAACGACTTGACAGAGGGCAGGGAATCGACCGAAACTGACTAGCATGAATGTAAGATAGCATGATGGGTGTCCAAAATTTGTTTTTATGTTGGAGCAGGAAACTCCTTGTATTACTATATGCCAAACTCTTGTATAATTTTCGTATTAGAATTCTTTACGTCGATGGTGGTTAACGGATGTACGAAGAGACGCATAAAAGAAATACAGACAATCACACACTTTAAACTTGTCAGAGAAGTCTTGGGGTTTTGTGAAAGATGAAGCCATCATTGAATCAGATTCGCTAGGTTGTGATGCATGTAGTCTATGGATACATGGTGACGTTATCCTCGACATGGATCCTTGTTTGAATACTAAGGTATGGTATGGATGTTGGGCCTATTCAGTCATGTGGGCGCTGTATTAGCGCCCCTAAGCCGGTCTGGTCTAAGAGAAACACTCCAATTCACATAGTCTAGCTAATTAGTACCTTACATATCCTGGGGTTGTCACTTGAGAAACAAGTCTGGTGATGAAACATTTAAACTGAGTTTAATCATACCACTTATTTCTTTAATCCTTTCAAATAACTGCTAACTTTGCAACATTCCGAGCTTCCTTCAACCAAACATGGTAAACATGCGCTTACCAATAGCTCTTTTGCCCTGTCTTGGCGTGATAGCAGGCGTCGTCGGAAGTGACGGACCAGCTATCGTTCCTCATAGCATCGACGACATCCAAAAGACTCTGTATAGAAATGATTGGGCGGATCGTATATGGAAGCAAATCCAGGGTGTTTCGTCTTGCTCAGGATGCCAGGTCAGTAGCTCTTGCAAGGTGTGAGATTGCATATCATAATGGGGGGCTAATTATCAATGCTACAGGGTTTGTTGTTGACATTCAAAAGCCTCGCGAATCTGGGTGATAGAACGTTTATAAATACGCTTCAGGACGTGTGTAAGAAATCAAAGGTGCGTCCACTTCACTTCCACGCAAGACGAATACTAACAAACCAACTTCAGGTTGAAGATGCAGATGTTTGCGATGGAACTATCGAGCTTCAAGGGCCCATCATCGCCGAGGCGCTGAGAAATGTAGCTATCGGTTCAAAAACAGCACAGCACTTCTGTGTCACGTTTCTGGGTCTTTGCAATTACCCAACTGTGGAGGAGTGGGATGTTCCTTTACCGCCTGATCGGTCTCACCTAAAGCGTCCGATTCCAAGCGGACAAGATCCTATCAAGGTCGTTCACTACTCTGATATCCATGTTGATCAGCTTTACACTGAGGGTGCAAATGCGAAATGCAACAAGCCAATATGCTGCAGGTAAGTCAGGGATGTTGAACCTCTTTACTACGATACTGACTTGAGCAGACCCTTCACAGAGGGTGATGAACCTGGAAGAACAGAGTCTCCAGCAGGTCCCTTTGGCGAACACACCTGTGATTCTCCCCCTTCTCTTGAGGACAGCATGTATAAAGCAATCAGGGAGATAGTCCCGGATGCAGCTTTTACCATCTTCACTGGAGACGTTGTTGACCATTCAATCTGGAACACCACATGGGATTATAATGAGCATCAAAGTGAGCCTCTATCAACATCCGATTTGCTTCTCGGCTAATTTGGGTTAGTTATTGAATCCTACGAACACATGGATAAACACCTTGGTATAGTCTATGGCACAGCGGGAAACCACGAGTCTCATCCTACAAATGCCTATCAGCCCAGCTCTATTGGTGATGCGTCCTCATGGATTTACGATCTTCTTGCCGGGACATGGTCTCGCTGGATCGGACGCGAAGCAGCTTCCAAAGCAGCACAGATAGGCGCCTATTCCACCAAGTATCCCCACGGAAACTTGCGTGTCATTTCTCTCAACACAAACCTGTTTTACCGTGGAAACTTTTGGCTGTTCCAGAGAAAGATGATCCGCGATCCTAGTGGTCAAATCGACTGGCTTGTCGAAGAGCTTGATGCTGCTGAGAAAGCTGGAGAGCGAGTTTATATCATCGGTCATATGCCCCTCGGTGATCGGAATGCCTTCCACGACCAGTCAAATTATCTGAACCAGGTAATCAACCGATATTCGTCGACTATTGCAGCCATGTTCTTTGGGCATACTCACAGAGATCACTTCCAAATAACCTACAGCGATGGCCCAAATAAAACATTCAACAATGCTCTGCTCACATCATATGTCGGGCCTTCCCTCACTCCAACATCAGGCATGCCATCATTCCGTGTCTACGACGTCGACCCCGTCACATTTGCAGTTCTAGACGCCACTACCTATAGTGCTGACATGAACTCTCCGACGTATCAAACTCAAGGTCCTGTGTGGAAGAAGTACTACTCCGCAAAGGAAACATACGGCACACTTACAAGTCCGGTGCTTACAGACCCCAAAGCGGAGCTTACTGCAGCGTTCTGGCACAATGTCACAGAAGTGTTTGAGAAGAACCAAACAGCTTTTGATAGCTTTATGCTGCGTCTTAGCAGGGGCTATAAACAGCCGGTATGCGAGGACGAGTGCCGAAAATCACAGATCTGTCTGCTGCGAGCCGCGCGAAGTCAGGATGGTTGCGATGTTCCCACTTTGGGTTCTTCATATCATACAAGAATGGAGGATAGTGCTGAGAGGGACGAGTGTGGAATTTCTGTTATACAGGCTACATTCTCAGCGCTGGTAGCCAAGGAGGGAGTTCTGAGGGTTTTGCAGGATATATTGGCGGAGTTAGATGTCAAGCTGCATGGATGATCAGGCACATACGGATAGAGAAATGAGATTTGCATAATCTACACTCTGCACTTCGTGTAGTGGATTAATAAGCAGTTGGTGTCTTTCGAGGATGATCCGTGAGTTGTCATCAGCACATCCACGTCCTGTATTGCGAGGTGGCACCAACGGATAACCTTGCCTGTAAGCACTTGTTTGATGCGAATTACCGCGTAACGAGTTTATCTTACCCAGCTATCGAAATCCATGACAACGTCCGCACCCACTGCTATCTGCTGTTATGTTTATGAAGTCTTTCTATAAGTCCATGTCAGATTCTCACAGCCACTCACACTACTCCTTCGTTGGCTAGTATCCTTTATCCGGTGACCTCTGCCCGAACCATCCTGATCTTTTTACTTATACCAGACACCTTACCGAGTCCGGACCCTATCTAATGCCGTCGTAGGAGCGGACAGTAAGCGGACACATTCTCGGATACATCATGTCATCTTTCGATAAGGAGTTTCAGCGTAACTTTGCTGACTTGAAGGATCAAATAGTCTTAAATCTGACAACCTCTAAATTGCGATTTGCCCAACCACGTCAAACAAGCGCCCAGGAGCCTTATATGCTGGCATCCAGGAACTCTCTGTAAGGTTGGTAAGGGTAAAGATTACAAATAGAATAGTATATAAGGGGGAGATATGAGACGGCATCAGTACAACGCTTCGTATATTCATTTTCTCTCTTCTTCTTTTTCAAGACAGCACATGAACTAAAGCATGGCAACATCACAGGATCAACCGCTTGGCCCCGATGTTTGCGTGATAGGAGCAGGACCACTCGGTCTCATCGCACTTAAGAACCTTCGTGAACAGGGACTTCATGCTAAAGCATTGGAAAGGCACGAATATATCGGTGGAACATGGCATGCTTCGTCGAATGCTGAGCAGACTACTGCATCAGAATACACGACAGCGAATACCTCCAAGCAGTGTGTACGTTTAGGCCAACCATGAGAGGCGGGGAGATACTGACATTTCACAGTGTGCTATCACTGACTTTCCTATGCCTGATGGTAAGTCAAGAGTATCAATCTTGATAACATGAAGCTCATGTTGTTGTTGTCAGAATTCCCTATGCATCCTCCTCAGAAGAACCTCGAACAATACTTCGAAATGTACGCTGAGAAATTCAACCTTCTCCCACACGTCGAGTTCTCGATATCAGTAGATCACATTGAACGTGATGAGAAACACCAGAAGTGGAAGGTTTTCACCAAGAATGCGAAGACGGGCGTTGAAGAGGTCAGGGCATACAGTCGTGTGGTAGTCGCCACTGGGATGCTCAACACCAAGCACATGCCACATGTGAAAGGCATTGAACAGTTTTCTGGAGACGCTCTTCACTCTAGACAGTTCAAGGATCCTCACAAGTACCGCGGAAAGAACGTAATCGTCGTGGGAGTTGGTGCAACCGGCGTTGACTCAACGTCTTTCCTTGTCAAGGCCGAGGCCAATAAAGTCTACGCCAGCCATCGAGGCACCGTTTTTGTTGTAAGTTCTCCGGACTAAAAGCACCAAAAGATATGGGCTGATCATAAGATAGCTACCTAGAAAGGTTAAAGGGCAGGCCTTTGAGCATAGTATGAGCCGTCGCATGGCTATGTGCATACGATCGTTGGGGAACTTCTCGCCGACTATTCTTGCAGCATTGATGACCAAGATGATGGCCAGCGTGCGAGATAAGGAGTGGCCACTCATGAAGGAAATCTTGAAAGGCCGGCCAGTCGATGGGATTTTCCATCGAATACCACTATTCTCGGCGGACCTGGCGGACAATCTAAAGAATGGCAGTGTCAAGTCCGTGATGGGGATCCAAGAAATCACTGGGCCGAAGACGGTTATGCTGACGGATGGTACCGTCCTCGAAGACATCGATGCCATCATCTTTTGTTCGGGTTATGGCTATGACTTCTCCATCATCAAGGGTCCTGGCGATCCCACTGACCCAGCCATTGCCCCTGATCACAATAAGAAGATCGAAGCAGCCAAGTATTATCAAGACGACCACAAATTTGCTCGTCTTTACCATGGCTTCCTCTCAGAGCAGTTCCCAGAATCATTATCCTTCATCGGCCATGGCCTCATCATGAAGCCCCCGTTCGTGCTGAACGATCTCTTCACCATGGCGCTGGCAAGTCTATGGTCAGGAAGTTACCCCATCGCAAACGCAGAAGAGCGTCGCAAAGATATCAACGCTCACTACGACTTCATCGTCAGCGTACTACAACGAGGCCCAGTTCCCCACCCAGGATTGCGGTTCAAGATGGTCAAAACTTATGAGTTCATCAATCAAGCGGCAGGTACTGGAGTGACAGATCGACTGGGTTGCTTTACCTGGGAGGCTTGGAAGTTGTGGTGGAATGACCGAAAGTTTTATAATCTTCTTATGGATGGGACTGATGTTCCCGCGGCGTATAGGCTATTTGATACAGGTCGAGGTCGAAAGCCTTGGGCTGGTGCGAGAGAACATATCATTAAGACGAATGCCGAGGTGAAAGAATTGGGAGAGGTTTGGAAGAAGGAGAATGACAAGAAGACGAAGTAGAGTGATGCATAGTAGTAAGAGATGTCCATATACGAAGCTTCTTTGAAAAAGTCTGTCATTAGCTGTGCCATTAGAGGTAACCTAAGGGATGAAGCAGCACATGATATTCTCTCCCTTGAGATGCGACAAAGGACAGGCGGAATACAGATATCTTTTCTTGAGCAATCATAAGTCTCCAACGGTTGTAAAAGAGGATTCTCAGCTTCTTATTATCGATGCCACTGAGAAATATATTCACAGAGTAACCAATGTATAAAATGTATTGATTGTCACTCTCATTGGGTACCAGATTGTTTGCATGAATGAGGTTATGTTATGCAGCCTAGACTAATAGACTAAGGCACTGGCTACTCTGTACGTCCAAGCGTTCCAGCCACTCTAAACGTTCCATCCCTAGATCTCAGCTGCATTTAGAAATGGAGGGATCCGCATCTCTTTTACCTTGATCAACAACAGTATCGACCTCTCACACTTTCGCTTCCCATAACTCAATTCTACATAATAAATCAACCACCAAAAAAAGAGAGCGCCTCATCTGTAGCTTATGCTCGGCATTCGTCCTACTCTTAGAGCGAGGCGTTCCTTGTTGGATCTTATCCGCACCAGAGGCGACGACGAAGACGACAACAGCAGCAGCCATAGAGAACAAGGGAGTGAGGACGACGACAGGTCCCCGGCCAGGTCCAACTCCAGTTCCAGGGGCTTCGGTGGCCGTTTCAGTGGAAGCTCCAGCGATTCAGCCCCCGCGCCGCCCGCTAACGTTCACATTAATACTGCTGATGGTGCAGGTGATGACCCCACTCTCAGAGCTGCTGCATCGTCATCATCGGCTCGACTCCACTCTGAAGCTGCTGTTGCTCTTGCTGCTCTAGCGTTGGTCGATGTGGATGTAGCTCGTCAAGTGCCTCTGCCAAACTCTCCACCACCATCTCCGTCTACGTCTGCGTCTTCGTCTCTGTCCCCATCTTCATCAACACCTCAATCTCCATCTCGACCGCCTCCGTCGTCAACCTTCTCCCCCGGTTCGACATCGCATTCCATCCGGCCACAGTCGCCGAGTTCACCTATATCACCTAATAATCAATCCGATAACGCGCCAGTTTCGTCACCCAAGATGCCTCCTGTGCGTTGATTCCCGACCTCCCCCAAGCTTCCATTCTTGTCTTTCGCCCGATACTCGTTGGCGACGCAGCGCACTCTATGCTTCTGGCTTATCGAGACTGACTTTGATTTAATCCTAGAAGAAGGCTGCCAACAAGAGCAGCAAGTCCAACGAGGACGATGGCTACACAACTGGTATGCTCGACCCAACCTCCAAGTTTCAAGCTACCTTGCGGTGTCGCTAACTATCTGCAGGTAAAATCTACTCTATCTCCGGGTCAGTACCTGCCGCATCACACAACCTGCGTCAATATCCTGCCGCAAAACATGTTCTTCGAAGCTAGCTCACCGATATCCAATATGTTATACTGACTTTTTGCAGTCCCGTCGTTATCGCCGAGGACATGATTGGTGTTGCCATGTACGAGTTGGTTAGTTGTATAATCCACCGTCATCATCCAGCCCAAATTGACCTAATAATGCTGTAGGTCAGAGTAGGACACGACAACCTCGTTGGTGAGGTTATCCGAATCAATGGCGACCAGGCCTCTATTCAGGTTTACGAGGAGACATGTACGGCGATCCATGATAAAGATACAAAGGTCACAAGCTAATCGTCATCGCAGCCGGCGTCATGGTCGGTGACCCCGTCTACCGAACCGGAAAGCCTCTGTCCGTCGAACTCGGTCCCGGTTTGCTCAACGGTATCTACGACGGTATCCAGCGTCCTCTCGAGGCCATTTCCAAGATGGCCAAGTCCATTTACATTCCCCGCGGTATCGCCGTCCCTGCTCTCGACCGCGAGAAGAAGTGGGAGTTCACACCCTCCGTCAAGGTTGGCGACCACCTCTCTGGTGGTGATGTCTGGGGTTCCGTTTTCGAGAACTCCTTCCTTGCCAACCACAAGATTCTGTTCCCTCCTCGCGCCCGGGGAACCGTTACCAAGATCGCCGCCAAGGGCGAGTACACCGTTGTCGACAACATTCTCGAGGTCGAGTTCGACGGCAAGAAGACCGAGTACCCCATGATGCAGTCCTGGCCTGTCCGAGTGCCCCGTCCTTCCAACGATAAGAAGTCCGCCGATCAGCCCTTCATTGTCGGTCAGCGAGTTCTCGACGCCCTTTTCCCCAGTGTCCAGGGTGGTACCGTCGCCATCCCTGGTGCCTTCGGTTGTGGAAAGACTGTCATTAGTCAGTCTGTGTCCAAGTTCTCCAACAGTGACGTTATCGTCTACGTCGGTTGTGGTGAGCGAGGTAACGAGATGGCTGAAGTCTTGAAGGATTTCCCCGAGCTCACCATCGAGGTCGACGGCCGCAAGGAGCCCATCATGAAGCGAACAACCCTTATTGCCAACACTTCCAACATGCCTGTCGCTGCCCGAGAAGCTTCCATTTACACAGGAATTACTGTAGCCGAATATTTCCGTGACCAGGGTCTCAATGTTGCCATGATGGCTGATTCTTCTTCCCGATGGGCTGAGGCTCTTCGAGAACTTTCAGGTCGTCTGGGAGAAATGCCTGCCGATCAGGGTTTTCCCGCCTACCTGGGTGCCAAGCTTGCTTCTTTCTACGAGCGAGCCGGTCGTGTCCAGACCCTTGGCTCTCCTGAGCGAGAGGGCAGTGTCAGCATTGTCGGTGCTGTCAGTCCCCCTGGTGGTGATTTCTCGGATCCCGTTACAACAGCTACTTTGGGTATTGTGCAGGTCTTCTGGGGTCTTGACAAGAAGCTCGCTCAGCGAAAGCATTTCCCTTCCATCAACACCTCGGCCTCTTACAGCAAGTACAACAACATTCTTGACAAGTACTACGAGAAGAACTACCCCGACTTCCCCCGACTTCGTGACCGCATCAAGCAGCTCCTTTCCGACTCTGAGGAGCTTGACCAGGTCGTGCAGCTTGTCGGAAAGAGTGCCCTGTCTGATCCCGACAAGATTACTCTCGATATCGCTGGCTTGATCAAGGAGGATTTCCTCCAGCAGAACGGTTACTCAGACTATGACCAGTTCTGCCCCATCTGGAAGACTGAGTGGATGATGAAGCTCATGGTTGGTTTCCACGATGAGGCTCAGAAGGTTATTGCACAGGGCCAAAGCTGGTCCAAGGTGCGAGAGGCTACTTCCGACTTACAAGCCAACCTGCGACAACTTAAGTTCGAGGTGCCTACCGAGGGCCAAGAAGTCATTACCAAGAGAGTAAGTTGTCTGACTAGGACATTTGACAAACATGTGCTAACGCAGTTCTTAGTACGAGGAGATTCAACAGAAGATGACAGACAAGTTTGCTGCTGTCATGGACGAGTAAGGCCCGACCTACGTTGCGTTGCTGGTTGTTTCTGTCTTGAAGCTATAGATGAGTTATGTTGTGGGATGGACCAAAGCATCACCGTTCTTCAATTACTGTTTGCGCCGTCCCGTAGTCTAGTATATGCATCCAATATCAATTTGTTCGAAACACGAAACGGCCTTATTCCATGATGTTCTCATAGCATACTCGGTTACGAGATCAAGCTAGGTGGGTCAGTATGAGTGAGTTTAAAGTGATGAGCTGATGTGGGGCTTATGCAAGTTCTCGACGTCAAACAACTTGGAGACCAGGATGTATACTCACAAATATTAAAACTCTATAACACCATTATATATAATTCTTACAGCCCTGCTGTTGGCGCAATAAACACAACATTCTACACTCATAAATCTCGCCCTTCCTTTATCCCCTCCTTCATCGACCCCTCACTCCCCGAACAATGTCCGAAGAGCTTCAAGACGAGGTCGAAGCCATCAACTCCATCTACGGCGACGGCAGTCTCGCCCCATCAGAAGATGATTCCTCAATCTATATCTTAAATCTCCCTGGCGATGCTTCCTCACTCCGTCTCAAGTTCCCTCCAGATTACCCCTCTCAACCACCCACCGTCTTAGGCACCCACCACAGCTCCGGCGGCGTAAAGGGCGCTGGCGCTCGTGATCTTGGACTTTTCAGGGATGCTTTGGGTGAGGTCTTTCAAGAAGGTTTGGTATGCCTCTTTGATGCTGTAGAGGAGTTTACGCGGAGGGCGGAAGAGCAAAAGCCAGAGTCTGAGGAAGTCCAACCTCAAGCTGCGTCAACACCCGAGGAAGAATATTATGAAGAGCCGGATTTCCCACCCCCGGAATGGATTCTCTCCGACCTCGTTACAGAGTCAAAATCAACATTCCTAGCGCACGTTGCGAAAGTCACATCGCCTGATCAAGCACGCTATTACGTCCAGCTTCTTCTCGCATCAGATAAGCGCATCCGCGGCGCCACGCACAATATGACAGCGTGGAGGATCCGAGGACCTGGCGCATCGAGTTTCCAGGATTGCGATGACGATGGCGAGGCCGCTGCAGGAGGAAGAATGTTGCATCTTATGCAGGTCATGGATGTTTGGGATGCTATGGTTGTGGTGACGAGGTGGTATGGTGGTGTTCAGCTAGGACCTAGAAGGTTTGCGCTCATCAACGCTGTAGCAAGGGATGGGTTGGTGAAGGCTGGTTTGGTTAAAGAGGAGAAGCAGGAGAAGAAAAAAGGGAAGTGAGGGACTTCGTAATGAGACTCTGAATGATAATTTGTATGAATATAACGTGGTACAGAGATGAAATGCATCATCAAACGAGTGTTGCACTATTCGGTATCAAAATTGAACTCAACCGCATGTCTCCAGGAACACCATTTAGACAAGCAACCCAAACCGCCCATCGCCTAAGCTGAAATATCTAGAAACCACTTATTCTCACACGTCCAATCCTGCAGTCCAACTTCACAGCAAAGAAACGCCGTCTCATTTACGCCTTTCGTTAGTTGCTCATTTACTCTGAGCATTTCATTATCGTACAGTAATATGGCTTCATCTTCCTCCTTCATTTCGTAACCGTGTCGACAGCCGGTGGCTAATTCTCTTCGCTCAGTAGAGGCTTCAAGATATCCATTGCTCTAACAGCCTGCTCTTCAGATAGAATCACAGCACCTGCCTGTGCCGTCGACAGATATGATAGCTCCGAGCTGGCAGCGATCTGTGAGTCCTGTACCAGTATACCAGCAACACCACATACGATACCCGTAGCTTCAAGAGGAAGACTCTTTAGGTCGAGGAAAATCGGGATCAGACAGGCGTCAGTATCTCCAACAAGCGAGTCGCCGAATATGTCAAGAAGATTCTTGTCGAGCAGCAGAGATGGTGGATCCTCCTGAGCCAGAGTAACAGACATAAATCGAGGTTGCGATACAAGTGCTGAGATGATGCATGTGTATAATTTCGTGTCGACATTGTCCGCCCAGCTTGGTCTACGACCGTTTCCAGTTGCATGTCGACTAATTGAAGGGCGTTGATGCGTGAAATTTGCAAGTTGCGATGTTTCACGTCCAGAGCATTGCACCAGCTCAAGGGTTTCTTCAAGGTTCGGTGCCACGTTTCTCTTCTTCAATGTACCAAAAATGCGCGTTTGCAGCTCGGCAACATTGAGTGGGAGACCTTCATGGGGCGGTGATGATGCTGGCAGTCCATTCCCCTGCTTCTGACTGTTCGCAGCAGAAGTGATGAAGTTCGATTCGTTGTCGGACAGCTCAAAGCCCTTCGCTATAAGAGATTTGACCACATTTTCGCGCTCCTTGGTCGGGACTAGAATGAAATCGGAATAATAGGTCGTGATGAAGAAGATGGGGATACCAGCAAGGGCGAGTGGGGAAGTCAATTCCATGACACGGCCACCCGCATCCAGTCCAGCACTAATAACAGAAAGAACCATGTAGGACTCTCTGGAAACGGAGACAATCTTCGCAACATCGCGCGGCAGGGTCTTTAGAACTGGCTCGAACACATTTTGAGCCCACGAGGTGTGGCAGACAACCGAACACTCTAGAGGCGTGATACTGATGTTGAGAAAGCCATGCTGACCATCAGAAGTGAGTCCTTGTAACTCGTACTCGGGTGAGTCGCGCAGGCCTCCTGTGCCTTGCGATTGCGGCAGAAGCACTCGCAGAATAGGTTGGAGTAGGCTTGAGTACAGGCTGAGGGGGATGTGAATCAGCGTATATGTGCCATCCTAGAGTACACAGGTTAGAACGAAAGTGAACTTGGAATGCGATTCGACAAAGTGGTCGCGGTTGGCCATGGAATGAACGACAACTCTACCGTCAAACTTTCTGCGCAAAAGTGCAATACTTACAAGGAAAGACACCTGCGCATTCATGATGAACAACGAGCATGGGGGTCCGGGATTTTTGTACTACAGTTTTGGCCAAAGCGAATGCTGGGCGCAGTGGAATTGAGTCTTTTGCGGCGGGGTCAAACTGATTGAAGCCGACAACAGATTGGCGTGATGTCGAAGCCGAGTTTCTGACTGGATCATGAAGATGTCTCGTAGATTGAGTACCTGCTGTAAGGTTTGGACTAAGGTTGGGAGAGAAACAAGAAACAAAGAAACGGCCAATGTCCGAAACCCCGGTAAACTCTGATTTGGCTCGAGGTGTATAAAGCAGATTTGCGTGTGAAGAAGGTTTTGAAAAGGTTACGCAGCATGCAACGAGGAGGGTTGAAGAAGAATTGGATGCAGGTCCAGTCCAAGCCAGACAGACAATGGAGGGTACGATAAGGGTAAACCCGCGTTATTAACTCTCCTCCTCATCTTGGAGGACGGTACAGAGTACCTTGAATGTAAGTATCGCTATCTCTGCTCTGGGCCGAACGGGAAGGGCACGTCCCTCGATCGAGCCCAGCCCTGCAGGCAGGGTTTTGCCGTCCTAGACAAGGTCCGGCGCCATGGCCAACTTAGGAATTAGTTGAGTTGGCACAGTTAGGCTATGACGGCAGCAACGTTGATGGACATGCAGGTGGGTTTTCAGGGTACTCTGAGTGCTGGCACTAAAGCATTGACTTTCGACTCTTGTAGCCACTGACTTGGCCGTTGAAGCCCCGATTGATAGCTAAGAACTCTTAGCTGGCATTGCTCTGGCTGTCTGGGTAAAAATTTTCTATGTTGGTTTCGAGATACGAACTCTGAATGCTGCGTTGACGGACAACGATCAACATTTCTCCACGGGAGATGGACACGCTCGCATTGAGGAGGCCGCTCGAGGGTGGTTTGATTGCAGATCTTCACCCAATACCCGATGCGCAGAGACACATTCATCCAGTTAAGGTACGGTAAGACCCAAAAGTGCAGATGGCGTTTATGTCCACGACCAATATCATTCCACAACATGGACTCGGATAGCGCATGAATAGGAGAAAGAAACAATCAGATGTGCTGCAGGTCTATACGTTTTGAGCCGTGTGTCCCAGAACACAAAGATGCAGAGTACCTAAGCAGCCAGGCAACGCGCCCTCGTGATCATCCTGGTGTCACTACATCACCACCAACAGAATATTGTTTTCGTCGATATAAGTGCGTGATGATGGTGTTGAGATCGACCCGTGAGGCAGAGCTCTGTGACAACGGATGTCGTGATAGGTTGAGATCATGAGGAATGTATTTGTAGAGAGCCCATATGCAATGTACAGTTGGTGGTGCGTGGGGGCAAGTACAAGCCGAACTAGAGAGACAGAGAGGACCGGGACCCCTTGTTCTGTAAGAGGCGAGCCTGTATCCATAGTCAGAACAGTCATGGATTGGTTGAGCCGAGTCAGATTCCAAAGCAACAGCTACCACTAACAACCATACTCGACGGGAATAGTTGGTAGGTTCTTGCGTACTATTGTACTGTCTGAAATCATAAGGGGATATAATAGGAATTATCTACCGGTAACTGGAAGAGTACGTGATTGATGATTGCTCTTGAAGCTTTCGATGTATTTTTGATGCGCTGTAGACTGCAGTACAGTACTGCGCGTATGTATGTTCAGCTCCTCGACGAATCGTAAATTGTTCGATGATTCTATTGGGTAAGAGGCGAACCGTGAGTTCGGGTTCGGTTTTGCTGATCAGGCCAAGGTGATGGAAGACGATGATATCAATATTGGTATTGATGAGCAGATGAGGTGAGCTTGATGGTTTCCCCGATTAGAACAGGTACCTTTAGCCTTCCCTGTAAGTGAGACTTTGGGGATCACCCGGACACTAAAGGAAAGTACAGGTCACCGTTCTTGCTATTAAAATTGTCATAAGCAATTAGTAGAACTTGACGGAAGGCAGCTTACCGAAGGGCACCTGCCTTGCCTGAACAGGCAGTATCACCAAACCCAACTGTCAACATATAATGCCTTCAAGACGTCACCTTCCAGACTCATGTACCTGGTATTTTCAGGTCTGGTTGGGTCAGCTACAAATGGATCCTAGCTACAAAATCCTGCGGCTATCCACTCTCGGAAACACCCCTAGGGACGGACCCCAGCTTTTTCTGTACAGTACAGTAATTACATGTATTCTCGCGACTCGCAAATTCGAGATCTTTACAGTCGAATGACAGCAGCCAGCCCCTTTGGGTCATGATGGCTTCGCCGCACAATCGCATCGAATCTAAAGCTTGCATCACTCCACAGCACGCGAGTTGGGCTTCTTAGTGTCAGCTGCCCCTGGACCTGCGTGCTCTGCCTTGCTTTCAGCACCAACAGCAACCCAGTGGCATGATGCCTGAATCTGTCAGCTACACTTCGACTCTCGTGTTGCAGAACCTCAATAATGAGATCAATGAACGGACCATTGCTTATCATGCCTCAAAGCAGGTCCGCCGCCGTCACATTGCATGACTCTGACCTTGCTGCACGCGTCTCAATACGGCCGTTGATGGATTATCTCACCTCGGTAGACAACAGCGCAGCATTTCGATCTCACCTCCTCGTTGATGTGCTTCCGTCAACAGTCGGGTGATAAAAATTACCCCACGAATGCTGTTGTAGCGGGCGCAGATATCACTAACACAGGTCTGATTTCTAGGGTCGGGTCCAGCTTCTTCCAGCCCCCTGTCGACCTGTCAATTGCTCACTAATGGCATGGCACCATACGGTGGACTTGTGATTCACAGCGTGACCACTTGTCAATATGGTCTTCCATTACATTCCCCTACTCGGCGTCCAATACTACAAGTGACGCAGTGATGTCACGCCTTCGGCCTTTGACGAAGAGCCTAGAGCGGCGTTGACCGATCCATCGCGACAGTAGACACCTCTGTATCTACAAGACATTCCATGACCTTGTCATCGGTCACTCAGCTGGCAAAGAACCAACTCTGGCACTACCTACGTATCACATCTATCTATTTACAAAGCTAGGTAGTCAACGCTGCCGGCCATCAGAATAATGTCCATATTAACGCCTATCAGAGAGGGTCCTGTCCCGCTCCCTTGTGGGACAGTGCCAAGTGGATTGCGATAAAGAACCCCAGAATGGGGTCTTACACCTCTGCATATCGTAATGCAATCCAAATCAACTCATGATAGCCACGAGCTAGTTTTCTGATGATTGAGAGAGTGGTGTACTGAAACAATCAGATATCGAACAAACACGGGATAATATATCTCCCGAGCCCATGGTTGTTCGGCCTTGTGGCACCCGATCGACGCCAGAACTTCCTGTCCTGTCGCAAGTCCTTCAGCAGTGACATTGAAGCGTCGAGGAGCGAGCCAGCGAGCGGAGGGGGTGGTTCATGCATGACATCCCTTGTCTGGGGAAGACAACCACGCCCTGCTGTATCTCTTCATATCCAGTGACAAACGATTGCCAAGACTCGTTGCTTGCCGATTTTGACGAAGCCAAGACCAAGACAAAAAAAACCCTGACTCAATTCCCAAAACTATGACTAGATATAGGTACTTTCTTGATACCCGTATATCATAAGTTATTGCGATATACCACAGAGATGCGGTAATCGTCGGCAATGGCATTCAACAACAACCTTGTCAAGACAGCTCAGTTCATTCCTATTTCGAGCTAGTTTAAAGTTTATCTATCGCTTAACTCCAACAACAACCAGGTTTCTTGGACTCAATCCATAGTCAAACACCGTTTCGACCCACGCGTGACGGACGAGATCGTCGTGTTCCTTGAGATATGTCCACCGGTCCGACACGATGAGCGATTCAACCGCCATTGCGCTGAAAGCCATGAGACTCCAAACAGCGCACAATTCCTTCTTGCGGGGCAGATATTGAGCCTCGTATCGTTCGATTTCTTCGTCTGTAATATCGCCCATCTTCTCCTGCATGACTTCTGCGTATTGTTTGTACTCGGTGTTGGTTGTGAGTTTCTCGACTGCTCCACGAACATAGGACTTGAATGTTCCATAGCAGCTTTTCCGTAATGATCCAATGATTACGGGGTTGGTACTGATATCGAAGGGACTTTCGCTGTCATCCTGGGTGGAGGCCGGGCTCTCTGTCTGTTGGGATTCTCCTTGGCCATCCCCATGCCGGACCTTTTTTACCACGCCCCGGTCGAGAAAGATCTTTTGCAAGACTGCTCTGTAGAAATGCCGGGAGAAGAATCCTGCGCTCTCCTTCTCGGTCCAGTTTTGTGGTGCTTGGCAGGCCATCATGCGAGCTGTGATATTGAGTCGCACGCCGTCTCCCTGATACGTTGAGAACTTTTGGCTCATAGGAAAACCCTGCGGATCGTGCTTGTCTGATTCGCGAACGAGTCGGCCATTGACAGCTTGCAGAGTTGGTCTTAAGAAGGCATGCTTATATGTCGGTGGTCCAAGTTTCTCAGTCATCAAGTTGTAACAGCATCCAACGATGGCTACGGCTCGGATGTCGGGGTTGAGGACCAAAGAACGGATCCCAAAGTGCGAGAGATTTCCGCAGGAATGGATTGACATGGCCATCAAGCTCAGGTCTTTCTTTTCGGCTTCTGTGTCGTTCTCGGTGTTAATTTGGGCGATGACCTCTCCCAATTCACCACTGTCCAACCGGCCTGAAATGTATTGAACAGATCCCTTGCCCTTTTCCACAGTATACTCTGCTTCAAGTTCTTTGACAGGTTTGAACTCGAAGGCTTCATCCCCCGCCACCTCGCGAATAGCCTTTGCCAAGGCCTCTGGGTCGTCTTGAGCATCGGGTCCCCTGACTTCTAGAATCTTTGTCCATAGCTTTTTGTTTCTCATGACTTTCGGCTTGACAGCCAGTCCAGAGGACATGTCAAGACCTTTCGCTGCGTTGACGTTGTTCTCTCGCCCCTCGACGGCCACTACGTGCCGGTTATAGGGTTCACTCGCCATAGCTCGGCCAAGGTAATTCTGGCCACTCCCAAAGTCCACGTAGTGGGATATCTCGTTTCCATACTGCTCCCTGATGTCGTCAGAAAGTCGTGATAAGTAGTCTGCAAAGTTGGTGACTTCATGGTTCTTCTTCACGTTCATGCCTATGGCTACGGAGCGTGGCAGAGCTGGCAGTTTCTCTTTGGGAGGCGTGAATGATCGACCAAGCGAAAGATTCCGAATTGTTCGGATGTACTCTATGAGGCTCTCTGGAGGCTGCTCACCATCGTACTTGAGGGTTTCCAAATCATCGCGCATGAGGAGGTCCAAGAACTCCATAAGGCTGCATGATAGGATGAACGGATGCCATTCTTTAGGGATAGCGTAGTGAAAGAGGCCAGGCTCAATAGTGAAGAAGTCCAGAATGTGAACACCACCGCACAGAATCTGGAAAGTATCAGAGCTCCGAACGAACTTGAGAAGCTCATTTATGTACTCTTCTGGTGACGAGAAATCGCCATTGAATGGCAAGGGTTTTTCTGGTATCATTTTGACTCAGGCGGTTAATAAGTTACCCTGAAGAGTTATCAGTCACCATTTGGTGGTGTTGCAGAAACCATGTGCTTACGAATTATGTCACACGTTGTATAATACGGTTTCTCGTATTTATCTTCAGAAGTTGCTGTTAAGTATTGGACCTTTCAGTTTGTGGTGAATGTGAGAATGGCTCCTTCGAGAGCAAATCAGTAACTTTTGTGTGAACTGATTTATGTCCGCAGTCCAGAATTAGAGTTGAGAGGCAACTCAAATTTACCGGCCTGGAGCAACCAGAAGTTAGGAGAAAGGTGTTAAGCAAGAACAATATCCAAAGACATGAAACTGTGCCAACTTTTGTGGAGGTTCAACAATTGTTAAACATTATTCTCACAGGAGTTTTGGTGTGCGGGTCGGGTTTGTAGGTGAGTCCTCGGTGTGTGCCAAAGTAGTACGTACAGATAAGCTCTCACCGAAGGCTCCCGGGTAAGCTCACCTGCAGGGTCCAAGCATGCAACGTCATCCCTTCCATCTAACTCGATGTCGCAACCTTCAAGATCCTCAAACCACCTGTCTCTTTTGTTTTTCCTTTATCGTCGCGAGGTCACACAGAGCTGTAGCGCAGTATTCCTGATTCGTATGGTTACTTCACCACTCTCAGGATGATGTCCTCCACCAACGACGAGGACCCCTTCCTCCAGGTCCAGCAGTACGTCCTCACCCTTTATCATGCGCCCAACTATCAATACTAACCACCATGCAGAGATGTCCTCAATCAAATGGCCAATACCCGGCCATTATTCGCTTCATACCTTCGAATCCGCTCCCTTTCCACAAATGCCAATTCTCCAGAACTAGCCTCCGCCCGCTCTGATCTCGAAGCCTCCCTATCATCCCTTGCCGATGACTTGGCAGACTTAATTGCATCCGTCCAAGCAGTCGAGTCCAATCCTGCACAATTCGGACTATCAGAACACGAAGTCACGCGCCGAAAGCGCCTTGTTCAGGAAGTCGGAGGCGAGATTGATGATATGCACGATGAGTTGGCGAAGAAGGTGGACGCGGGCGATCTACCCGATCCGAATGCCTTTGCGATCGATGGCGACCATGAGGACAACTATGCCGAGTTTGAGCAACAGCAGCAAATGGAGATGATGCATGAACAAGATCAGCATCTGGATGGCGTGTTCCAAACAGTCGGCAACTTGCGCCGGCAGGCAGACGATATGGGCAGGGAACTCGAGGAGCAACGCGAGATGCTTGTGGATGTGGACAACGCTGCTGATCGCCTCACCAGCCGGTTGGCGACAGGTGTGCAGAAGCTGCAACATGTGATGCGACAAAACGAGGATCGATACAGTAGCTGCTGTATAGCGGTTCTCATATTTGTTCTTATACTGTTGCTGATTCTCCTCCTCATCCTATAACGCATTTGTCGCGGGGATTCAGAGTCAAGTATACAGCTCTTTTGTTCAGCGTTCATGATATTGTTATGTATGGGAAACCGGAGTTTAGGCTGGGAAACTACTTCTGGCGAGTACTTATACTCATTGACCAGGAATTTTCTTTTTCTTATCTAAATGTGTACATTAGAAAGATAGACAGAGGAGCAGTGGCCGTTATTCATCAAACGGCATCTTATTATCTAAAAACTCATCCAGCTTTCCAAACGCTTCCGGTGCAATACCTCATAATTGTGTGCCATACAAGACTAGAGCCATCTTCAATTCTTCAAACTTCTTTCTTAGTCGTGGTTAGGATAGGCCTCTATTCCATCTTGATTTCATCATACAGCCGGGTGTCTTGCGACCCTATACTAAGACCAGCCCGGATTCGGTCTTGAGTACATCTGCTAGAGCAGCCAGAGAGCCAGCAGCAGTGGCATTTTGGGGCGCCTTCTTTGGAAACTCGACAAGAGCAAGTCGTAGTGCCGCTAACGCAGCGTTGCCGTAGAAGCCGAGGAAGCGTTGCTCGTGGCCTTGGATCATGGACCGCAATACCACATATTGGGTGTTCGATGTCTCGTTGGGTGGCGTGTTGACGATGTATGCGAGTGCCTTCCAATAGTTTGTGGGGGGGTAAGGATTCTTTTTAGACGATTTGCTGAAGTCTCTCAGAGACAGAGAAGCAAAACCAGCACCTAGTCCAGTCATTCTGTCATTGTGACTTTGTTCCGTAATCCACGATGGCCCATCCTTCTTCCACCCTATAGCGATTCGTCCTCGTTCTGTCCTGTCATTGCCTCTATGACCAAACAAGACAGGGCATACTATGCGATATTTGGCCATAAGGATATCCACCAAGGACTGACCTCGCCATTGAAATTCTTTGTTGGAAAAGATATGGGCAGCAAAGACACCAACGGGGTCCGCGGCTTTAGGGTTTGCGCCGCCTTCGTTAATGAACTGGTTCACAATACCCTTAGCGCAGATGTTGATAAGATATATGAAGAGTGAAGGTAGAGTGGCATCGTTGTTCATGGAGCCCTCCACAGGCTCTCTCTTATCCACCACAAAGGCACTGACATCGATAGGAGGACTGGGAATACGACCTTCCAAAGCCTCCTTGAGCGCACCTGTGATTTTGTTGATCTGTCTTCTGTGAGGGTCTGGTTCAAAGCGGTTGGATGCTGGCAACTTACAGGTTGAGTATTTGCTCCCTTTCCGCCCGTCAGTTGACCGATAGCTACCCGAATTTCTCTACGAGCAGCACCGAGTTTGCCCTTCATGGGAGATCCGGCAACCTTTGACTGCGCTTGCAGGTCCCTTCTCAATTTCTTCAGCTCCTGATGGATCTGAGAATAGCGATCGACACTGGCAGCCGGTTTAGCTGGCACAGGTTGTACAGCTGGCTTGGAGACCGGCTGAGGGGCGGTTGCAATAGTAGCAGGTGCATTTGCAGCTTGTGTCACCGCCCCGTTCGGTTTCTGAAATGGATTCTGGGCTGATGGTTGGGTCGTACCGAATGGGTTACTGGGTTGTTTTGAAGCAAAAAGTCCAGTGGCAGGAGCCGCTGGAGCTGGAGGCTGAGCGGGCTTCTTGACTTCGGTGGCGGGTGTTGTAGAAGCCTCTGGCTGTTTTGATTCTTTCGCGGGAGTTGCACCGTTCGTTTTCGCGGGTTCCTGCTTGGCCGGGGATGCTGGCTGTGGCGCTGGCTCCGGTGGTAATTTAGGGACAGTCTTCGCCTTGAGTTCCCGAAGCCTTTTCTCCTCTGCAACTATGGCGGCCTCGGCCTTCAATCTCTCCTCCTCCTTGCGCTCTTCAGCAAGTATGCGTTTGTGCTCCTCCTGCAGCTCATGAAGCTCATAGACTCGTATCGCTGCTTGGCGCACGCGTTCATGTTCTAGTTGCGCCGCCGCCAGAGCATCTCGGTGACTGAGTTCGTTGTTTCGGGTATCGCGAAGAAAAGATGAGGCGAGGTTACGCTCTGGGCTGGAGAGCAATTGATTCCTCTTGGCAGGCGAAGATAAAATCTTGGAGGGTGAAGAGAAGGCCATGATGGAAACAGGATATTGCTAGCCTCGCTATTAGGCTGGCATTTGAAATGTAGGTAAAGATTGTCGAACGCCAGGCAAGAAAATATCGAATGTAGAGTTTCAGAGGATAATTCTAACCTCACGGTTAAGATGCAAATACTCGACTATAGGCTTCAGACCTTGGGTTGAGTTTGCATTAAGAAGATTGTTTTTGGGACTTGATAATGCAACCCTTAGAAAGAGGTTGGATGTCGATCCATCAATAGAAACAATGCTGCAGGTACGTATCCAGCATCCAGAGATGCTTAACTTTATGGGGTATAGCCGCAGCATGCAGAGCTGCCAGATCTCGGTCCCGCTAAAATAAAGTCCCGACACAGCCACACAGCGACGGGAGGACAAAGTACCGCCACATTTTGTATTCGGGGTCTGGGAGCTCCAAACTGTAGAACACTACCGCTAAGTCGAAAGCAGTAATAAGCTTACTCGACATCGCAAACCATGGATAGCCAGATCGTTTCCAAGTCTCGGAGTAGATAGATATAGCTCATATAGCTCCATGTCTTTCTAACTTTTGTGAACGTGCTAATTTCAAGTCTTGAAGAGACAGAGAACTTGGAGTTCTTGGGCCAACCCGAGGTCTCCAATTGGTTCAGATGCTTTTTAGAACGGCATTTATACGATCTGGGCGGTGTATAATTCCGTATCTTTTTCAAGATGGCGCTGTCCTGTGAAACATGGCTTCGACATTTCATTGCCATGTCGCTTCCTAATTGGGGAAATAAACATATCAGAAAACTTTATCTGAGGAGGAAACATAACCGACAGAACGGACAATTCTCCATTACTGTATAGTAAAACATTCGAAGTGATGCACGCGTCAACAAAGGGCGACACGATCCCATGATCATCTGGGGATGCCTGCAATCCCGTGTTTAGCCAAGAGAAGCTGAAGCAACCGACCTGGAGCTTTGAGACAGACAAGGCACGATGGAGGACCCCGACTGAAGGGTTGCATTGACGGTGGTTCAAAATCTAGAACATGGGTGTGAATCACTGCCGTGGGCCGGGCCGTTGTTGGCCATTTGTGTAAGGCATTCCAATTAAGCTCTATTTGGGAGGTATGCGGAAATTGTCCCAAAGCCACTGAAGTCTCTTTGGGGCGATTGGCGACCAGGAGGGGAACGAGTCTGTGTGATACATATCGAGTTCGGTCAATGGCTTGCAAGACGATCCTGTTAGTCGACAGGCGTTCTGAAACACAATATGTGGCAGCTGTAGTGTACATATGCCACTTTTGTGTGAAGAATTAGATTGATATTTGACAGCATACGAATTCGTAGTCTACAATTGCTCAACAGAGAATGTATCAACAACTACAAAGTCAGGCAGTGCCTGTCTGAAACATGTCCATTACAACCTATGCGAGGCTGAAAGAACACATTGCTTGTCTGTGATCCACTAAAGCCGGACACGCAGCCGAGGAGAGCCTAGGCCTGACTAACTAACTGACTGGATGTTTTGATATGTGAAGATATTATTGCTTTAAGGGAAAACGTCTTCATTAATTCAAAACGAATCCAAGCCGAATCAATAACTCCTTTGTTACCCGCTTGAAAAGACTAATGTCGACTACCAAATGACCCATGGATTGGTATCTGTTGGATGAAAGTACAGTACCGTTGGCGATTAACGAGATCCAGCAAAAGAAAGGAAGGAATGCTAATGAGATCACTTTAACGAGCCATAACCCACCATATTCCGTCAGTACGATGATGAAATACCCCTCGATGACGTTTAAGAGATGAATTTCTTGGATCGCTTCCATGTTGGCTCTATCAAATGTTCAAAGCTCATCCTTGAGCCGCAGGGAGGCCTGGCCTTTTCGTTGGAGCTGGAGGTTTGATTAATATCCATGGATGTATCCATCCCATGGCGTGAAGCAGGGGGTTTCGTCGCCCCTAGCGTAGGCGGATACGGTTAAGCATCACTGCCTCGGGCAACCTCTGAAAGTGTGACACTGGCCACGAAAACAAAAGGGAAACGAGGGCTCAGTCATCCGTAGCCTGAGGGTATTGATCAAGGGAGGGAGCCTGTTTCGTCTTTGTTTGATAGTCATACTAATGAGTATGACAGAGAGACTTGACAGATATATCGAAACGTACCTACCTTACCTAAAAAAACAGTCGTCTAGAACATGGCCGGGTTTGGCACCCACAGCCCACATCATGGACGTTGAAGCTTGGGTCATCCAGGGGGAGAGAACGTTAATTGTTAGTAGCACGCCGTAAATGGACAGGACAGCTCAGATGTTTACACGAACAATGCAGCCACAGTTGTCGATATATCGATCACCTTTGAATATGTGTAATAACCTCCACTGAAGCACCTAGTCTACGTATTCTGGTGAGTTGTTGAGTCCTACAACAAGCGCGACCTTGTCTTACAATAAACCTGATCCATGAGCCTATCCGCTTATGGGGTTTCTTTCTGTTTGCTCCTGATGACGCCCTTTCTCATCCCTCGACGCCACACCCAGAAAGATCGACTCCTTGAATCATGACCATGCCCAATTTTAGCCTGGGGGTAGTGGTGCCTCCCGTCTCTGTATCCTTGTATGTGAACCGAACAAGTCAACTGAGTTGGTCAATGTTTCTCAAGTCCATCGATGCTGAGGTACTTCGGCGCTCCGTGACACTGAGATGTCAACAATATATTCTTGACATGTATCTGATAGAAGTAGAAAAGTGTGATAGGAGTTGATAGTTTCAGCCATCCGAGCTGTCTGGTCATGGATTTATCCTACGCTATTATGCTCCAGGCTCCATGGCACTTAGGAGATAGCATCCCCGCTATTAGCGGAGTCAGCCGGCGTCAGTGCGAGCTTCAGGTGCTAGGGGGTCTCGGGGCTCTACCACGCTTGGATTGATCCCACTAGAGCTGTGTTAGACAAGCAGCCAACCCCATCTTTAGGCGCCTTCAAGGTCAATCCCCCGGTCCAGCTGCCCGGACGCCAGACCAGAGCATCCATTCTAAACTGATGATGGATGGGATGCCCCATGAGCCTGCGTACTACACCCAAGGCCTAGGAGACGATGGGAGGCTAGGCTGTCAGGGCCCCAGTGGTATGAAGGAGGAGAAAAAAAAAAGAGAACAAAACAATGTGCAGCTTATCATCGCCAGGCAGGTTACGTAGCTGCTGCTGCGCGTTTGCTGCACCCTGTAGCTGCTGTTTGGAAAGTTTGACAATATATGAGATGAAAGTACCTAAACGGGGAAGGTACATCAGCGCCCTACCTGCTGTACGAGAGTAGAAGTAAATTTAGACCAGAAGGTACATTGCCGTATCCCACTTCCCTCACACTCCACTTGGAGCTAAAGCATCTGTCTATCTATCCACCCATCCTCTCTTCATCCATCCATCCCTCCTCTTCCTCTTCTCCTCCATAACTTACCCTCGTCTCTCTTCCTCTTGCCGGGAGTTGGAATTTTGTTCCATTCATCCAGGCTTTCACTTCTCGTCGTCTCACCAACTGCCTCTTCATCGCCGCCTTTCCAAACCACGCTCCTTGGCTCAGCGCAAGCTCGTCTACCCTCCTTTTGGGCAAACATTGTCCCGCCGTGCCATCGCCTATCGCCATCGCAATTCGCCTCATCCATTGCCCGTCACTCAACAGGTTCACCATCCTCATTCCGTCGTCCATCTTCGGCTACCATAAAAGCTTCACGATATTAGATCCAACTAGCTGTATCCTGATCCATCCCCTCGCCGAACATCGACGTGCTATATTTACACTACACTCCGAACGCTCTTGACTGCCCAACATGGAGCAGCAGCAACAGCAACCCCCGCAGCAGCCGCAACAGCAGCAGCAGCAACAATCGCAGCAATCGCAGCCTCAACAGCATGCTTCTCAGCAGCAGCCCCAGGTTGGCGGCGTCCCTGGGCCTGCTGGACGCAGACTTCATATTGCCCATCGCCGAAGCCCTTCTGAGCTGACGCCACTGATGAGCATGTTTGCTAACCCTGGAAGTAAGTCATGACACTACCGACATTCTATTTTTCGTCTTCTTCTCTTCATGCATTCGCATATGGCTCCATGGTAGCTTACCTGACCTTTGCGTTATGCACTTACCTATTTCCCACATGCATTATTCCCGCTGTCTTAACGCCACTTCGATCTCGACATGCTAACGTTGTTGTCTTCCAGTGGAGCAGCTTGCCATTCAGCAGCAGATCGAGTTGTTGCAACAGCAGCAGCAGCAGATTCAAGCTACGCATCAGCAATATGTCAACATGGGGATGATGCCTCCAGGACAGCCTATCGGTCCTGGCGGTGCGTTCAATCCTTTGCAGCCAATGCCTAATATGTCGCAGGCTGCTTTCCAGTTCCCCAACCAAGTGCCTCAGCAGAACATTGCCCCCCCTACCCAGCCACTATCACATCGCCGTAATCAGTCGGCACTTCCCAACATGGGCATGGGACCTCCTCCCGCGCCCTCCTCTGGAGCTTCTGGAAACGCCCCCTTCGGCAGCTTTGAAGCCCCTCAAGCCCAAGCCCAAGGACGAGAGAACTCCGGAAGCCGAGGCGGTCGTGGTGGACCCCCTGGCGGAGGTCATCAGAGAAGGCACTCTCTCGCTCTTGCCGACGCCAAGAAGGCCGCCGAACTCGCCCAGCAGAAGCGAACGACTACCGGCTTTTCGTTCCCTGCCTCTCCTGCCCCTGATGACGAGAACAAGCCTGCTTCTCAGTCTACTCTCGATGTTCCCGTCGCCCAAGGATCAGGCCGCGGAGGACGTGGGGGTCATGGCCGCAGCCAGAGCATGGCCGTCAATGGCCGAGGCGGCGGCCGTGGTGGTGGATTGAACGCCGAGAGCAGCGAGTTCCAGCGCCGCGGTAGCGGTCACGCTCGTACCGGATCCCGTAACTTCGAAGGAAACTGGCGTACTCAAGGCCAGGGTCAGGACCAGCCTGGCAACGCTGGCCAGAACCAAGGTTTCCAACCTGGCCATCGACCTCGTGGATCCATGAACCAATCCGTCTCCGGAGTAGGAGGTTTCCAGTACAACCCTAACCAGCCCCAGGTCATGCAGATGCCAAACCAGATGATGATGCCTCAGATGTACGGTCAGCAGCTTAACCCCATGCAGCTGAACCAGCTGCAGGCTTTGCAAGCCGCTCAGATGAACGGCCAGCAATTTGTCGGTCTCCAGGGCTCCCAGCATGCTGGTCAACTCGGCGGTCAGCAGCAGCAACAGCAGCGCAAGACCCTGTTCACCCCCTACCTCCCCCAGGCTTCTCTTCCAGCTCTCTTGGGTGATGGCCAGCTCGTTTCTGGTATCCTCCGTGTTAACAAGAAGAACCGTAGCGATGCTTATGTTACCACTCAGGATGGCCTTCTTGATGCTGATATCTTCATTTGCGGTAGCAAGGACCGAAACCGTGCGCTTGAGGGTGATCTTGTCGCCGTTGAGCTTCTAGATGTTGATGAAGTCTGGGGCCAGAAGCGCGAGAAAGAAGAGAAGAAGAAGCGCAAGGACATCACTGACACCCGATCTGGATCCACCAACCAGGGCAACCAGAACTCTGGTAACAACAACGAGGGTAACCCCCCTGAGGGTGGCATTCGCCGTCGTGGCAGTCTGCGCCAGCGACCCACCCAAAAGAAGAACGACGACGTCGAAGTCGAAGGCCAGAGCCTCCTCCTTGTCGAGGAGGAGGAAATTAATGACGAGCAGAAGCCTCTGTACGCTGGTCACGTCGTTGCGGTTGTTGAGCGTGTTGCCGGTCAAATGTTCTCCGGTACCCTTGGGCTGCTTCGTCCCAGCAGTCAAGCCACCAAGGAAAAGCAGGAGGCCGAGAGGGCTGCCCGTGAGGGTAACAACTCCCGTCACCCCGAGCCTCGACAACAGGAGAAGCCAAAGATTGTTTGGTTCAAGCCCACGGATAAGCGTGTACCCCTCATCGCTATCCCCACTGAGCAGGCCCCCCGCGATTTCGTCGAGAAGCACCAAGACTACGCGGACCGAATCTTTGTGGCTTGCATAAAGCGCTGGCCTATTACTTCCCTCCACCCCTTCGGAACTCTCGTCGAGCAGCTTGGACGCATGGGCGATCTCAAGGTTGAGACTGACGCTCTCCTTCGTGACAACAACTTTGCTTCAGACGAGTTTTCTGATGCTGTTCTTCGCAGCGTTGGTCTCCAGGATTGGTCTCTCGAAAAAGAAGATGAGGCTGCTATTGCCGAGCGTCGCGACTACCGCGAGGAGAAGGCCTTCACAATCGACTACAACGGAGGTGCTGAACTCGGCAATGCTATCCATGTCAAGTCTCGCCCTGATGGCAAGATAGAGATCGGTGTCCACGTTGCAGACATTGCTCACTTCGTCAAGCCCAACTCTCTTGTCGACCGTGAGGCCAAGAAGCGAGGCACCTCAGTTCAGCTCAAGAACCGTTTCTGTGCTTTGTTGCCTCCCAAGCTGTCCACTGACATCTGCTCTTTGACCCCCGATCAGGATCGCCTCGCTGTGTCTGTTGTTTTCAACGTAAACCCCCACACAGGATCTGTTGCCGAAGGTGACGCCTGGGTTGGTCGTTCAATTGTCAAGAGTGCTGGCAAGGTTTCCCTCAACGAAATTAACGAGGCTCTCACCAACCCCTCTGAGTACAAGAACTCGGCTGTTCCTGTTAACAGCATTCAGATTCTTAACGCTGTTTCACAGAAGTTCCGGGAAACTCGCCTGGGTGCTGGTGGCGAGCCGATTGCCCCTCTCAGGCTGTTCCAGCAGCTTGACGACGAGAATGATCCAGTCCAGGACAACCTCTTTGACTCCACCCAGGCTCTCGAGCTTGTTGAAGAGTTGGTTCACAAGGCCAATGCTCATGTGGCACAACGACTTGTTGAGGGACTTCCCGAGAAGGCTTTCCTCCGTCGCCAGTCCGCCCCTAACCCTCGTCGCCTTCAGACCTTTGTCGAGCGTATGACAGCTTTGGGTTACGATATCGACTCGTCTGGCAGCGGAGCTCTCCAAAACAGCCTCTTTAAGGTCGATGACCCTGATCTGCGCAAGGGCATGGAGACACTCGTCGTCAAATCTATGCAGAGGGCCAAGTACTTCATCTCAGGAAAGACCAACAAGCAATTGTGGCCTAACTATGCTCTCAACCTGCCTCTTTACACTCACTTCACCAGTCCTACTCGTCGTTACGCCGACATAATTGTTCATCGTCAATTGGAGGCTGTTCTCTCCGAGGGCAAGATTGAGTTCACTGACGACTTGGAAAACCTTGTCAAGACTGCCGAGTCCTGCAACACTAAGAAGGACTCGGCTCAAAATGCTCAAGAGCAGAGCGTTCACATCGAATCTTGCCGAACAATGGACAAGAAGCGACAGGAAGCTAACGGTGATCTCATCGCCGAGGGTATTGTCCTGTGCGTGTACGAGTCAGCCTTTGATGTCCTCATTCCTGAGTGGGGATTCGAGAAGCGAGTCCACTGCGATCAGCTGCCTTTGAAGAAGGCTGAGTTCCGTAAGGAGAAGCGAGTCCTCGAGCTCTACTGGGAGAAGGGTGTTCCCAGCTCCGCCTTTGTACCCGAAGATGAGCGACCCAAGGCGGCAGCTTCCATTCGACACTCGAATGCTATGGCTGCCCAGCGTCAGGCTGAAGAGGCCGAACGCGCCCGAAAGGAGCGTGAAGAGGCTACCCGTAAGCAAACTGAGACAGGCACCATCTCTACTGATGATGTCGATGCCCTGTTCGACGACGATGACGACAACCAATCAGACGTGACCGAGGCTATGGCCGGAGCTTCACTGGCTGAACGTCCGACCCAGAGTGTTCCCGGTTCCCCAACTCGATCCACATCCAACGCTGGCAACCTGCACCGCACTCGCTCTGACTCCAAGGTTCCCGTGACAGAGGCTGTTGAGACTCGCCTCACCAACAAGGAGAAGTACCTCAACCTGTTCTCGCTCCGCGAAGAGGGCGGCGACTACATCCAGGATGTGACGGAGATGACGAGAGTGCCGGTCATTCTGAAGACTGATCTTACCAAGAGCCCACCGTAAGTTATCCCGCAACAGTAATATTGGAGAACTGTGCTAACCAAGGACTCAGTTGCCTGACAATCCGATCCCTGAACCCTTACGCTCTGTAGAGTGAGAATAAAAGTTAGTTGGCGACGGTAATGGTGACAATGTATGTAGTGTGGGAAGTCTGGAGCGTGGACTGCTTATTAGTCAAGGATAAAGTTATATCTATCATAGGGAGGTGAGCGTTGCCAGGGATTGACAAGACTGTCAGAAGGAGTTGGACTTTTAGCTGGCGGTATAGTTATGGATAGGAGAAGACATAGTGGAGGTAATTTCATCTTTGCTCAAGCAGTATACAATGTTCCCCGTCATGACAATAAGATGCCAAGAGTATCGGGCTATGAAGTGACTGTATCACGATGTGCACTTTAAAATTGCCTTGTCCAAGGGTGTAGTCTAAGTTAGTTACCTGCCGAATTAATATCTTGGCTTCCCTTGGCTATTGACCAGATAGTCTTGGGAAAGTTGTTGGGCTGACTGGATAAACGAGTTTATCGTCGCGTATCTAACGCTCGGTTTAGGCTGTAAACATTATCCGCAGGGGTTGAGCCGTAACTGTATCAGCTGTGTTTCGGCCAATGGCCGAGCCGAGCATAGCTTTGACAGCATGCAATAGCAGAAGAGTTCTCTGTGCGTTGTTTCACCTTTTAGGGCATAGTGTATACTGTCTTCCATGGTATATAGAGTTGGTGCTAAGGAATATATCACATTCACATATGCAATATCCATATCTCGGGACGGTTTCACAGTTCCAGTTGTCGGCGTCTCAGATCTACAGATGGAGAACCCTAACAGTCCGGGTACTACAGAGACGGTCGGCGGAAACGTTTGAAGGGGAAGGACGTTAAACACGGCTATCTACCATTCCTGCACATCGGCCTCTCTTGGCACCAGTCGTGAAGCATACCGAGCACCCCTGGCCTGCCTAAGCCACGGATGCTGCTAAACCCGTAGTCACAGAGCAGAAGACAGAGTTGAGATGAAAATCCTGGTGTTGAGCCGGCAGAGACAGAGAGATATAAGGCTGCCTGTTCCTCTCCGTTGAATGTTTTGTTCTGACTTGACTTGACTCGACGACTTACAAAGACAACAAGTTTCAGTCCATTTCGTTTCTACTCACTCGTTCAATAAGCGCTGGCCTGCTTTTGATCTTCAATTCTTCTCACCAACTATCTACTTTTTAATACTTATTTACCTGACTTTGCTGGCTGGTCCGACACATTCCCTTTATTTACTAGTACAACAAACAATATGGCTTCTCTCAAGACTATCCTTTTTGGCCTCTTTGCTGGCTCCGCATTGGCAATGCCTTCAGTTCCTATGTTCACCAAGAGACAACTACGATATCATGAGCTCTCCAAGCGTCAAAACGATGCTGCCGCTGCTGCCGGCCTCGATGACCCCAGTATCTTGCAATTGTAAGTCACCTTGGTCTGGTACTTCTGCAATTGAACAAAACTAACACCTGTGTCTAGTGCCTTGACATTGGAACATCTCGAAAACGCCTTCTACCGCGAATCTTTCCTTACCATCTCCGACGAACAATTCGCTCCCCTCGGTCTCGAAGGTCAGACACTCGAGGATGTCAAGTCCATTGGCAAGACAGAAGCTTCTCACGTCACTCTTCTCCAGTCAGCCCTTACAGCTGCAGGCTTCGCTCCTGTCCAGGAGTGCAAGTACGACTTCAAGGGCGCAACTGCCGACCCATCTGCCATGGTTGCCACTGCTGCCATCCTCGAGAGTGTTGGTGTATCGGCCTACCTCGGCGCAGCACCTCTTCTCACCGACCCTGCCATTCTTGGCACCGCCGGAGCAATTCTCACCGTTGAAGCCCGACACCAGACTGCCATTCGAGTCTTCTCCAAGGCCGTGGCTGTTCCTCAACCTCTCGACACACCTCTCGGCCCCCGTGCAGTCTTCTCTCTCGCTGCTCCATTCATCACTGAGTGTCCTGAGGGATCCAACCTCCAGGTTGAGGCTTTCCCAGCTCTGGCCATGGCAGAGGGCCAGGCAGCTGAAGCTGTCACCATCGGAACCAAGGTGAAGCTTACTTCTGAGGCTGCGGCTGGTGCTACCTTCTGCGGTTTCACAGCTGGAGGTTTACTTCCTGGCGGAACCAAGTTCACAAAGTTCACTGAGGGAGAGGGCTGCGAGGTTCCTCAGGGAGCTGCGGGAGTTGTTTATGTTACATTGACGAGTGATGGACCTTTGGAGGGCGTTTTGTCTGATGATATTACCATGGCTGGGCCTATGGTTTTGACCATCTCGTAAGGGGACATGAAGCTATGTTGTGTTAATTAGTGGTGGCGCTGTAATATTACTTAATACCCAGACTGAGTAGCTACTTTTGCTCAAGCCAATATTATTACTAGTAACTCACTATCCCGACGGTGCAAACTCATGTGTACCGTAAGCGACTTCAGTTGACACATGCCATTCGTGCAATATTCCTATAGATGATATAGTACGCATGCCGAGGTTGGCCGGCCTGGCTATATCTACTTGTAAATCTGAGTTGCTTCGTCCAGCGACCTTCGAAGCCGCTTCTTGTGGAACATATTGTCATGCACTCCAGTTCCCCCTTGACACCGTCTTATCCATCCCCACAAGTCCGGCTGGAAACTCGTTCAACACTTTTGCTAATGTGATAACTTTTATGCTCCTGACTTTTATGCCACCCGCGCCAACGCCGCTTAAGTCTGCAAGACGGTGTGCCCAAAAGGCGTCATGCTTAGAGACCACTGTAATGTAACATCTACCATAGATCTGCCTCAAGTTCAAATCATGCTCTAGAAAGGTCGTGCTTCAAAGTACGCCTGGGCTCTGGCCCAGACTTGCTTATCCTCTGCCCGCATTTCGTCCGCTGTCAGCGCCTCCACACCCTTAGCAAGTGCGTCGACAAAGTCGCGTGCAACCCGGAAGTCCTCCGTCAGTGCCTCGGCGTATGGCACAAACGTCTTGGGGAACTCCTCCAGCCGGTCCAGTCGGCCTTGCTTGTCCCCACCGGCTTCGTCGTCGTCGAAGAAGGTCATCATAGCAATTCCGAGACCAATGTCAGGTTCCTGTTGGAAAGGTAGACTTTGTAGAAGTTAGTATCGCATGGTGAGAGATGGAAGATAGCCTTACCGTGAGCTGATTTCCAGGTAATCATCCCTTTCGCGTTTGGATTGTCCGTACAGGAACATTGAAGCCACAATAGCCTCCATGAGATCCCGATCAGCTTCTCTCATGGCGGAAGCCAGAGACCAGAAGCTCAGGATACTCTTGTTGAGAGGGCCAGTGTAACCCAAGGATTGATGCCGGAGCTTCAACAGAGATGCACACTCACTGATCAGCACAAGGGTTGCCTTCTCCTCGTAGGTGCCCTTTCGGGGCAACCCAGGCTGGCCTTCAGTGTGCTTTCCTGTCAAAAGACCGTTTCTGATAAGCTCAAACGCGACTAGAGCTGCTTCTGACAGACCGGTCACCTCAGGATTGCTCTCCTTGACATCCTGCAGAGTGATCAGGGTGGTCGCCAAAGCATTGCCCCACTTTGTGAGCTTGTGCTGGTCATCAGTATATCCTCTCAAGTGGATGAATCGCCAAATGGCCACCGAGGTCACCATATTTGTGCTGTCAATTCCTTTGATAGGCCTCTCCTTGGGGAATGTCTTTTCAACGAACTCGGTGTTAGCAAGCGACAAGACTTCCAACGACACGGGGCCAGCAAAATCCTCAGGGAAAAATGCACGAACGTCTTCCTCCTTGACGTCCCAACTGGCAACCATGTGCGAAGGGGGAGGATTGACCGAACGATGGTTGATAGTGTATGAGTATTTAGGATCAAACCAAGCCCGCACTTTGATATTCTTGTGCTGAATACCACGGTGAAGTCTGGGAATCAGAAGAGAAAGCGCCTGCTCCTTGATGGGCACTATTCTGTCAGTGACCAACTTCTTGTACTCGTCTGATGCAACGCCATCCAAGGTAGGCTGGATAACAACTTGTCCATGGGTGATGTTTCCCAGCAGACGAGGTCCAATCAAACCAACGTTTAGGTAGTGGAAGAGCTCAGCTGGAAGCTGGAGGCCGAGATATTCATGGTTGTCACTAGTCAAGTGCTCATAGTCGTTGACACGGATCTCACCGCTCTCAGCGATATAGACGAAGTGGTGGACGGCCATTCTGGCCTTGCGATACTTGTCGAGCCAGTTGGGGTCCTTGTTTTGCAGTATGTCGTTGAAGCTAGCGCAAGCAGTTGCAACACTGTTCTCGGCAGTCCTCAGCAGATTGGCGGCAGTCGAGATGTTATAGTCCGAGTACATTGAGGTCTCCAAGAGAGCAGGGAAAGGAGAAAGAAACGATGTTCCAGACATCAAGAAAGAGTCGATAAATCTTGGTTCGCTTGCTGTGGGCGTGAGACTGCGCATCACCTTCTTTTTTGAGATGGCAGTAACTGTCTTGGCTTCCCAGTCAAAAGTACGAAGTACAGAGTCCTTGATAGGATACAGGAGAAGCTCCTGAGAACCCATCACTCCTGAACACTGGTCTGAGTCGGTCATTTCGAAATAAGCAAGCTATTTCTATTAGCACATAAAACCAATGTACAGAACCTATGGTTCACGTACCTGGGCGCATGCAGTGTAGGGAGCAACCAGAAAATGAAGGTCACGGCTCTTCAGAACCTGTTGAAGCAGGGGGTAGAGATTCTGAATGCGAAAGGCACCTGTAACAACATTAGTTGGGCCAAGATTCCTGTTGAAGGCTAATATTTACTCACCTGTACTAGTACCAAAGGTCGACACCGCCTCCTCAGCGGCGCCCTGAAAGTACAAGTTCCAGGCCTCGTCTGTCTTCTTGTTGGCCTTGAGACCACGATCCAAGGTGATATCATCCTGGCCGGTCACAGGTTGACCGTCGAAAACGAAGAAAGGGACGATGTCGCTTTTCGCCCATTCATCGAGGTTTTGGCTTATGTGTGACTCAACTCCCGTGAGACCACCTAGAGCCGACAGCAGGGGTTCGTGGGCAGGAGGCGTTTCGAGAAGCTGGCTGAGATAGTAAGTCGCATCAACGGCGATAGCGCAACCCTCGAGCTGAGAAATATCATGCGTGCTATGTCCTCCAGTTAGCGCTGATGACTACAAGAGAGTAAGTCGCAAAGGTACGTACGAAGCCTGGTCATTGATCCAGGTATCCTCATTTAGGACTGTTTGAAGTGTTAGCGCATGCTATAGAACCAGCTTGACTATTTCAAACACCCCATGGAGACATGGTCACCGCAAAGACAGTCGGTCGTGGCGTGATTCTCGTTCAGTTGAGCTGATATTGAGCAATCCATCCACAGATTCATGACTGCAATTGAGCTTTTTTATATCCTGCTAGCTCTAGTAGGACCAGACGAGCTGATAGAAGCCAATTCAGCGGCGCCAAAAGGTTTCCTCACTGCCGACACGAATGTTGCGAGCTATGAACGTTGAACTTGAACGTCATGACGGCCGACGGGGTTTGGGCGAAGTTTGTCTCCATGCGCGCGGGTCAAGACTCACATGGCATCTCGAAACGCTCGCTGCAACTTGGGCGCCCCTATAGTATATGTTCTCGGTGTCGTGGTTAGGTGATTGAGGGGTCTCGGAGGCGGAAGAGCTCGGTTGTTCGAAAGGTGGAATTCGGGATCGCAAGTGTTGGCGGCAAGGTGAGGGTGGGCGTTGATAGAATATGGCGGGGTTGAAAGGAGTTCCGCCAGGTAAGGTGCTGTAGCTGTGCTAGGGGAGATCGGCGCAGCTGGGTAGGGAGGAGCAGAGGGGGACGAATTTGGCGGGTCGTCGGCGCAGGAAGATAGCGAAGAACGAAGAGAAAATGAAGACTTTTCTCAGGAAACTGTCGCAGGAGGTTGAAGAAGGTCCTATGCAGGTATCTTCAACGACGGTAGGTACAGTAGGTTTGAACAGCTGTTAGAAGATGTGACAGGCCAAAGTTTGACGAGTTACAATGGCAGGGACTACTACCTAACCTAGGGGTGGTACCTGCCCGCCTACCAGACCCAGCCCAGACAACCTGACCTGACCTGGCCTGAACCTAGAGTTTGCCTACGGGCGGGACGGCACATCCTACCGCCCATCCCATCCATGCCAGCTGGAAAGAGCCCTCGTGAGTGTGGCTAGTGTTACCTGAAATGTGGCTGTGCTACAAGAAGTTCACTCCAATATCAATCTGGACCTCTCTACAGAAGGTTCCATACGATGAGAATGGATCAAGAGAGAATAGGAGAATATGGTATTTTGAACACTTACTGGGATGTAGTCTGAGTCGCTTCAATTCCTTGTTACTACTATATAGAACCATATACTTGTGGTGACATTGGATGTTGCAACTTTGGACATCTGATTTGAGAGCCCCGCACTGTACTGCAGTACTCACGGGCACCTAGCACTGAACCCAATGTTGGCAAGCAAACATCCAATCTATAAATGGTGGGGTGATGACGCTTTGTGCAAGGTAAGATCAAACGATCATCCCTTGTTTATATCATCTGCAATTGAGTGTTTGTCGCCGATTTCTATTTCTAGCCTGAGAACCTGAGCTAGGCCCGAAGATAATCACATACGCTCCCTTCCCCACCATATTTGCACTGCGGCTTTATCAATCTACAACTTCGTCTCTTATAATCAAGCAAACATGAACAATCCCGTGAAGGATAAGCTCGGTCGTACTGAAACGTCTGATGGGGCGGATAAAAGAACGGCAAATATTCCTTTGATCGACATTTCGGCCCCTGATGCCGATCAAAAAGAAATCGCCCAGCAACTTATTGACGCTGCAGAGGAGCATGGCTTCATTTACATCCGCAATCTAGGCCATGAGATCCCAGCAAAGGATGTCGACGGAGCTTTTGATCTTGTAAGTAGCCCTGAGGTAAGGGGAACAAACAGAATCTAACCATGAAATTACAGGTTAAAAAGACATTCGAGTGTTCGTTAGAGGAGAAGCAGAGGTGCACAATTCAGACTAACAACCGTGGTTGGTCGGGCATGCATTCCGAGACTCTAGATCCCAAAAACCAAAAGGTAAATTTGATGCTAAGAAAGACTGATATCATGGCTAACGCTATCTATTAGATTGGAGACTTCAAGGAGTGAGATGCCAGTCCATTTAGGCCGATTGCCACTAACATACCATGGTAGAGCCTTCAATTTTGGCGAATTCGCAAATGGAAAAGCTCAACAGCCTCTTCCATCTGATTTGGTTCCCGATGAACCCCAGATAAGCGCCTTTGCTGATTTATGCCACGATCTTTGCCAGAAGCTCCTCTACTTGCTCGGTCTAGGTCTCGGTGTAAGTCGCCCCTATTCTCATCTCCGAATCCAATAAACTAATCAGTCGACTTCCTAGGTCGGCGATTTCTTCTCTTCAGCGCACAACACAGAAAAGGGAGCCTCAAGCTCTATCCTCCGCTTCTTGCGTTATCCGCCCCCTGAGTCTACCGCTCATTCCGAAGATGATGTGCGTGCTGGCTCTCACAGTGACTACGGCTCTGTCACCCTTCTCTTCCGTTTGAAGGGCCAGGCAGGGTTAGAAGTGCTTACAAAAGAAAGCATATGGGCACCAGTGCCTGTATGTCCACCTGGTACTGAAAACGACCCCAGTCCGCCAATTCTCATCAATATCGGCGACCTGCTATCCTACTGGACCAACGGACTATTCCGCAGCACTCTTCATAGAGTTGTATTCCCAATGGAGGGAAGCGCCAAGGTTCAGGGAGAGACAAATGAGGGGCCAAGATATTCGATTGCTTACTTTTGCCATCCTGTTGGCACGGTCCCTCTTGAGCCTGTTCCCAGCGAACGGGTAAAGAACTTCAAGCCTGCTGAAGGGGCGCCAAGTGAGAACCCATACGCTACAAGTAAAGTCATGACAGCAGATGAGCATTTGTTTATGAGACTCAAGGAGAGTTATGGTGACCTTTACGATAAGAAATCATAGGCGCAAGCAAGGCATACAAAAGAGAATTGAGTCAATCACCACGAATTGGTATTCGTTAACTAGGTATCATAGTCTGTCGTCAATCGTTCCTCGTTCTCAATCATCCTCAATCGCCGTTCCCTTTAGATAAGCCCAGCCCCAATACGCCAGCGACACCATGGGGTAGGAAAGCCGTCATAGTCCTTGGGCAAGATAGAGGGATCTTCCATGATGGTCACATGTTCCAGAACGCGCCAGTCGTATACATGAATCCAGTTCCGCTGTCCGGACGGAATAGTCTCTCGCATCTCTTTAATCTTGTCAAGGAGAGCCTTTGTTTCCTCTTGGTCGTTAGATCGGCACAAAAGGTAAATCTTGGTGATGTCAGTGACGGGCGCTCTTCCCTCCCTGTCCAGGCCACGCTTCTCCCTCTCGAGCCAAGCATCGATGTTCTCGACTGGGTCGCCAATTCCGTGTAGCTCAAAGAGTGTCTTGACCTTTGCATTTTCGAGGAGTCCAGGCGAAATCAGCACTTCTGCCATGGCGAATGCACAATCGTCGTCCACGTAGACGCATCCGTGAATGCTCTTCTCGTTCTCGTCCTCGTCCATTTCAGCGAGCGCAACGTCCTTGCCGACTACTGGTTTCTCATAACGAGGCTCTGTTTCGGTCTCAAGTTCACTGCCAGCGTCATGATCGGCTTCGATGGTCATGCCAAAGAAGATGTCCATTGGCTGATCTCCATCAAATTCGAGTTCAAATTCGAGCTCATCAGCACAACAAACAAGTCCGTCATCAGACATGTTGGTTTGAGATCGTGAATTGTGAGGTATGTCGCTGAGAGGCTCGCGTGGTTGTGAGTTGTTTGCGTTGTTGAGCAGGCGCTTGTGTTTCACTGGTGGTTCGGTGTCTGACTTAAGGCGCTTGCGTGGCGATGCCGGTTGTGAAGTTGGCGGATCGCGTTTCTGCCTTGCAGAGGGTTGAACAACAGGCTGTGCAGACGAAGCGGGAGGCACAAAGGTTGTAGGCAACGTTTGCACGATATTAGGCAACCCTAAAGGGCGTGATCGTTCGGACTTCTCACGGCAGGGGCTGACTTGGTTGCCGCCTGTTGACCTTGTTACTAATGGGGAAGTGGGAGACCATGTAGATGTTGTGTTCTGGGTTGATTTTCGAGGTGATGGCGTTGGAAAAGTCGTCGCTGTTAGTTGGCTGGCAGCGTCAACTGCAATGCCGCGTGGGTCGGCTGCCTCTAGCTTTGCAATCCACTGCAAGTTCTCCTGACTGTCCTCGAGCTCAGAAGCTGTAGTTGCATTCTTGGCCAAATCTTGCAACTGCCCGAACGACATTGTGTCAGTGAAGTCTCGATCAAAGTGGACTTTTGTCACTGAGGGAAATCGCAAACTCCAAAATCCAGTATTTCCTACTCTATCGAAGCTGAAACATTTCAGATCGAACATCAAAGGCTTAGTGAATACAACGGTAGGAGGAGACCCTTGTTCAATGCCAGGAGCCTGTTTGAGTATGATCACCTTGTTCTCTCTCGGGGCAACAGGCTCAGGGTTTGAGTAAGTAACGACCTCCCTGAGAAGGGTTTCGTTGAGTTCGACAACGTTAACGATTGTAAACTCTGGTTTAGCTTTCCAGCTTTTAACCGCTTCTCTATTGTCGAGACAGCCAACATAGAAATGTGTCCATTTCAACCCCGGGATCCGGTAGGCCAAAGCCTTTGATGGTTCGTACTTGGCACCGAGAACCGCAAAGTCGCCAACATCTCCAAAGTTCCCAATATATTCCTTCTTGAGCTTGATACAGCAACTGGAAAACTTTCGTCGTTGATCTGCGAAGTCGAAATATGGCTCATCAGGTTTCAAAACAAGGCCTTCTTTTCGGGCCAAGATAGTCAAAGCAAAAGCTTTGCGTAGGGTCGATGCACCAAGTGGTTGACTAAAGTCGACGACTTGACGCGGAACTAGTTCTGCCCAGCCCTTGCGGCAACTGATAAGGTCAGAAAGGATCTTGAATCTCTCCGAGTGCCGTAGATTTATCAACGACTGATCTTCCAAAAGCATTATGTCGTAATAGATGATCATCAAGTGCTCCTGTGGTCCATGTCTGTCGAGTTAATATCAGATACGGTGATGAAAAGGGGCAAACATACAACGAGTCGAGGTCTGTGTTCAAAAATACACCTCTACGCGATACATGCTTTCTAATCTTATGGAATGGGAGTACCTTCCCCTGCTGGTAACTGTTAGATCGCCCGAAGCAAATGAATTAGGGCAGAGCATACAGAATCATCATATACAACTAATTCCCCTTCCAGTATACAAGCCTTCTTGACTCTGGTGTCAGGCTGTCCAATTCTAAGTGATTCTAGTATTGTCCTGCTCCAGAGTCAGCTTGCGCAACCCATGGAACGTTAAGCACGAACCCATGAAGTGCAACCCTATCTTCAGTGCTGTCTTTGCCGCTCTTTGAAAATATCTGGAGGCACCGATCGCCTTTGCTTGGGTCGATATGGATCTGGCAGTATTCGCCGTCGATCTTTTCCTCGACGCTCATACGCCCATGGCCCATGTCCAAACAGTGCTTGATGCTGCGGCCTTTCAGCCAGGGTTGTCGTCCGATCTTGATGCCCAGTTGAGGTTTAACCGTACCCATAATCTGTTCACGCGGCGTTCTTCTCCCAGCGTTTGGGAGCAACCTCCTTCGCAAGACTTGTGCGGTAGCGATCGCGACAGCAAAGTCATCCTGGATCTTGAGAACACAGGGAAGTAAGGAGTCACAAAGTTGATATATGAGATGCGGATCTAATACTAGTGGTTGGTAGCTTTTCAGAATCAACCTCGTAAACCACTTGGCTTCCACCGCACTCAGCCTCCTGTACATAATTTCAACATGCGTTCTGTTGGTAGGAGTCAGGCTGGCCTGTGAGGCGCGAATCGAAGGGGAGCTCCATCTCACTTTGGAGGCGAGAGAGTGTAGAAGTTCATCGATTTCTTCTACAGTCACAAGATCCTTCTGACTGTAGCCAGGACTGGGCTGGATTGCCATTAGCTTGTTACCATTATTTCCTTTGAACGAACTTACTGTTACAGTCAGGATGCGATGGACACAATCTGCCAGATCAACACCAGACCCTGGTTGACGATACTGGGCTAATTCGGCAATACGTGAGGCTCCGAGAAGACATGCGCGCCCAATGATCCTTTCCAAACTAGGGGCCTGGATACAGTAGACCCTGTCGGTTCTCTTATCGGGGAGTAGCGTCGACAAGAGTGCTGATAGACTCGTATCATGGGCATCGACATAGCTCCGATGCCTAGCAAACCACTTTGTGGTAACGCCGTAACAGCTCTTTTTATTGACAAAAAGATTGTAGCACTGGTCAAGTAATTCGCAAACCAAAAAGAATGGGAGAGGCATTTTCAAGGAATCATCGCATCGAGCTCTTTATGAAAGGCATGGACAAAGAACAATGTATGATTTGCATGGAGAGACTAATTGCTGACTGGATGAACAGGTAGGTGGGGTAGGTCAGGCGACAGAGCCAGTTTGTGAAGACTAAGAGATGCCATTCCCACTTTCCTACTTTCGTGGGCGTGATGCCTTAGGTAATTGGTGATGAATGCAGTTGGGCAATTAACGTGTCAGCCATAGCTTCCCAAACCAGACGCGACCTTGACGCGAAGGTCACGTGATAGATACTCAAAATGGGTCTTATGGAACTTGGAAGTCTACTGGTAGCGTCTATCAATCTCAACTTACACGCTATCTGTGCCTGACCGCCTCTGATTTTTGTTGAATTATGTAGTGCATGATGTAAACGCTTTCGTGTTTGTTCGGTGTCTGTTATCCACAAAGCTGGTTTCACTCAAACTCGTATTTAAGTCCATCTTGTCCAGGCAAACCTGAGACTGTTTCCGGCAATATTTTTGACCGTAACTTCTCGATCATAGAACAGAAGCGAAACCCACACAGCCCAAGAATAGCTCGGATAAATAAGCTGCAAGTGTTTCTTCATCTTGAAGCGTTAAACGAATAATTAATCGACTGTTAGTTGGTCTTATGCAAGTCAGCTTACGGGTGTAATTTACGTGCATTCTTCGGTAAATGTGTAGAATAGACTGATGCTGAACCCAATTTGGTACTAAACCCCTGCGTTTATGCAAGGTCCGCCCAGGGCCACCGCAACTCAAAAGGCACAAGACCCCTGCATCTGGATGACAGGGTCACGGGAGCAATAGATGCATCGTCGTGACAAACACATACTGTCGTCAGGAAAACAAAGTGCCTCACTTACAAAGAGTCATCCTATGTACATATAATTATGGACACTCTGTCTGGACAACGGCTCAAGCGCTTGAGATCGATCATGGAAAACCCCTGTCCAGCCCAACGCACAGGCTGCAGTAGTTTAGGCGTCGAGGCTCTATCCGTTGTCAAGGAGCGAGAGGCGGGGTGATGGAAAAGTCGGGAGGAAGAAGGAAGAGAAACGGGATCCATGGCAGCACAAGAGAGATGAGATGAAATGAGAAGGAATATCGATATGTAGTCGTCCGTGACTCAAACCGGGGACAAGATCCACTGCAGCAAAGCGTTGAGCTTGACAAAGCCGCACAAACAGGGCAGAGACAGGTCAGGTGGTGCGATTGCTCACAGTCTTGAGTGAGACTTGCGGGTTGGGCCGTCAAAATTGCAGCTCTTTGGGTCAGTTCCCATGGTGTTGTTGACGGATGCCGAGGGCCCATTGAATTACGAGCAGCATATGTAAACAAAGCAGGTCCCATCTCCCATACCCTGTTAAAGTAGCACTTACAATTCATGTTCATGATCAAATTCATGCTCCGAAATATTGTACGCGCACTCACTCAATTGCAGGACTCTTCGCTTGACGATATCTCCCCACGTCTCGTCTACGGAGCCAGGGTTGTCTTCTATTCTAGAATACCTAGACTGACAGCACTCGACGTCAACGAACATTCCAATCGCCCAAACACCTGTTCAAGCATATTCGCTCATTACCATCTCTTATCATCAACTCTTCTTTCTCATCATTTTCTTCCTTATTAAACCTTACAAAACGATATCTTGAACAGTCTCACTTCCCCACGGTGTTTGATTCACTTTTCTCATCTCAACGGCTCCTTATCAACGTTCGGTACACCAATCCGCCCCATCCGCTTAACGTCGTCTCGTCCCTTACTGGGATCTATCAATTTCCTGGACGCCCCCGGCAAGCCTCACATCGTCCCTGGCTGGCTTCCTATTTCGAGAAGTTCCTGCGCCTTGCCGAGCCCCAAACACCAATACCAATGGTGCTCCTATTCTCCTGACAACCGCCCCTCCCCAGTCCAGTCCAGTCCAGTCTGGTTCAAGGTCCGCCCAGCCCGTCTGCAATCAACGTCTTCCCAAGTTAGGGGATCTAGGGTCGTGCTACTGGACGCCTCCAGGGCTCTATTTTGGACACCAGCCACTGAGCACTGGCGAACGGTCCACCAAAACAATCCACCCCGGGCTGGCGCCATACCCCATGCGAAACTTGATACACCACTAGGCCTCGCACAATCCACTCCGACTCGCCTCTCTCCTTATTCTGATGCCCGGTTTTCTCTTTCGACTCTGCTTTGTCCATCGTTGCTCGTTTGCTCTTTTCGATGATCACCGCCGCCTGACACAGACACAGGCTGCTTTTGCTGTTTCTGTTGTTGTTACTGCTGCCAGATTGCGGCGTCGCAGACCCCAAAGAGCAAGAGCTCAAGCCATTCATTTGCATAAACGCCGACGAGTCCTCGGCCTCCACTCCCTATTATACAATTCCAGTTCCAATATCCATACAGATACCTTGACCTTGAATCTCAATCTCAACCCCTACGAGTTGATGGACATGGCCCTGCAACAACAAGCTATACGTCGACGCTACTCTGTTGCCGACCGTCTGCCAGCAGACTTGGTTATACCCACCACCTCCAATTCGATTTTTGAGACAGCCCCTGATTCGACCATTTCTTCTACTACAACCACCGCCGTCGCTGCCTCTGTCGACCCTAGATACGTTCCTGCTCGTACGCATAACCGTCACGGCAGCATGAGTTCAGTCGCGGGAATCCCCCCTCCGCCTCAAAGGGACGAAACTATCTCCTACAGACGTGGTCACACTCGTGCGAAATCTAGTGTATCCAGCATGAACCGCCAGGTCAACCGACTCTCCCTGACGCTCCCAATTGCGCCCCCTACGAGCGATCCCTCCCGACCAACACCAACCTCTGCCATGTCATCGGTTCCCCCAACGCCAATTGACTCTACCGTTGCCTCTCCTGCTGACGCAAACGGTTTCATCATCGCCATTGCTGCTCAGGAAAGACGTGTGCTCGAGTTGAGGGAAGAATTGTCTCGTGCTGAGGCAGAGTTGACCTCACTAAAGAAGAGGTGGACTTCACAGGAGAAAAAGGGTGATTCTAATCCCATTGAGGCATACCGCAGCCCAGTTCTACCTTCAGACGACGATGGCTCATCGGTGAGGCGAAGCGCCGAGTCAGACCGCCGGAAACTATTGCAACAGACGGGTGCAACCACTCCCAATCGAAGAAGGGTCCTTCGCGGTGGACACACAAGAACCCTATCTCTGCTATCGCCGGCGAAGCCAGACGCAGGGTTCTCCCTCTACCAGGATCGTGATCACGAGCATGAACAGGTCAAATTACCTTCGATAGAGCGCAGGACCGCTCAACTAACAAACCCCCTTTTAAATAAGCGTGCCTCATGGCAGCCACGCACACAGCAAAATGTTCCAGGCGCTGCTCAAATTGTTGAGGACTTTAAATTGGGCCTCAGAGCTTTTGTCGAGGATATCCGTCAAATTACTGTTGGCGACGAACCTATCAACGGCCAGCCCGTCCGATCCAACAGCGTCAGTGATCGCAGCGAAACCTCCCGAGCCCAGGATACGATCCGACCGAATCGCCCGCTACGACCCAAAGTGAGCACAGTGTTTGAGCCACCCCACAACAACTCTGAGACTTCGAACCTTTCAGAGGCGAAGGTATCAACTTTAGCAACCGCGTCGAAAACGAGACCCGAGATGCCTCCGCGGAGTAAGACCAAGTCGAAGAACAAGTCTTTTTCTTGGCAGCCTCTTGGATTCGACTCGATGGACGACAATGACTGGTCTAATTGGGAGTCCCCAGCTTCGTCGTCTAAGACGTCTCGTTGGAGCGGCTCTACTATTGGCAGTAATGGACTGGACGATATGTCTGCTACTTCGGACGAGGGAGAACCAGAGGAATCGCCCTCGTAAGTGATTGTTGGCACTAAGATTGTTACGCTCTTGAGATAAAAGCTAACTTTGATTCAGCAAGAAGAAGTCGACCGGTTACGAAACTCCTCTGCTCTCCCCAAAACTCGAGGAGCTTCTGCCCAATATTGTCAACCAGTTCTCGCCCAGCAATCTCAAGCGTACGGCGACAAATTTGATGGACGAGTGGGAAAAGTCCCTCACCGACCCCAACTACCCTCACCAGTCACACGCTCAGGAAAACACCGCCTAAACGATCTATTCCCGAGCTTTCCACGACGCATCTAGACTATGTTGAACATACACATTTGAAGCGATTTTTACAAAATTACTTTACATAAATGGCCCGGCGTACACAGTTTCGGTATCACAGACCAGTATTTGACGACGAAGAACAAGGAGAGGAGGAAAAAAAAACGATGCATTTAGCATCTATGGGATTGCTTGTATTAGCTGGCAGTTCTTTATGAGCTGTTGGCATGTTTGAAGGATTGTTTGGACTGCGCTTTGTGAGAGTTAACTGTTTTGTTGCTTTTGCGTGTTTGGGACTGTCTCTTTTTTTTTACTCGCGGCTTGTGTATAGGTTCTTGAGGCATTTGTCTTGAGTATCTGTGTACATTCTGCAATTTGGTTTCCTGGTGTTGGGATTACGATAGTGAGACGATCCTCATGAGTGACGACTACAAAATCGTCGCATTCTAAGTCAATTCAATTTATATTCAATATTTACCACAAATCTCCTGAAACAGTTTTGTCATAATGACTTTGTTTTGGTTCATACTCTGTCACTTTAAACAAGACCGACTCTCAGCTGGAGTATATCCACTTCACTAAAGCCGACCGTTTAGTAGTTTGTTCCAGGATTAGATATCTTCCAGCTAAGATCGAGTGCTTGGCGTGTCTTGCGTCAATCGAAGATCGAAAGACTGGGCTCAAGTTAAATTGATCCGTTGCCAGGGCAGCCGGCGATGGTGGAGTAGAGGAGCAACACTATGAGTTCGGACGTGGAGACTACAGAGCCCGAGACTGCGGAGAGGATTCGAAGTACTTCCGAAGTGATACAATCGTTCACGTTGCACGAGATGATGAAGATCAAACATGAAGTTACACTGAGTTGGAGATGACTTGTCAAGATCAGTAGTTTCAATATCCCGTGATGATGATGTATTGCTGCCCGGAACTTGAGTTAAGATAGCCGAGTTTGACCGGGCTGTTAGTTGTATGCACATACCACTCAGGATCGCAGCAAGTCATAGGAGAAGAGTTTCTAAGCGGTGAATTGAGAAGCCCGATGTTCATGCCCAAAGGCCGAGTTTATTACTGACGGACTTTTATAACTCGGGAGAAAAGAAAGACCGAAAAAGGTCGCATTCTTTTGTCTCTGGTCTTCTGTTGGCAAAGTACGTACCCTCCCGTAAGCGAGTGCGAAATGCGAATAAGCCAAGATGAGTCCGGACTAGGAAATCGTCTTGCAGGTGATAGTTCTGGTGCATGATATGACTATTTCTTTCTGGTGAAGCTGCAGCTGCAAGTTTGCGCGTTCGTTCGTCATTGATGCCGTACTCTGTTGGTACTGTCTTGATCGCTTTCAAAGGACAAGCATATATATCCAATACCAGGCGCCTTGTTCGATACAATCACTCAGACATTCATCAATAGCTTCATTCAATTTCATTCAAAGCCTTCTATCAGAATTCAATCCACAAGTTGTCGACATGAAGAACGCAGAGTTCCAACCCAAGCTGAATCCAGCCCCCAAGCCATTTAAATTCCCCTCAAAAAGCGGCTTAGCTGTAAGCGATGGCCACTCTTTCCATCTCCAAGTCATTGACTAACACCATACAGTTTTTGCTTAAAGATTGCTTCAAGCCTCAAGTGGCTATTGCTATTGGATGCTTCATACAAGTAGTTCTCTGCGCTATTCTTCCTTTCCACTGGGCTGTTGTTCCATCAGCAGCTGTTCTTCTCAACTCTCTCATCACCACTCTTGTTCAAGTGGTACGCATCCCAAAACCAAATGAGTTCAATGAAGGCATTGTACCCGGCCGCGTAACTGCTCAACTACCATCTCCTACTGGTTCGTTTGGTAACGAGCCTGGTGCGAACTCAGTGGTGGTCTTCCATCTCGGATTCCAGATAAACCACCCGCTCGGTCTCGCAGCACCAGGTGTTGACGAGATGAACGTCCACTTCACAGCGATGCAAAAAGAGCTCAACCGCAACCGCACCGACTACGGGTTTCTCACATCCTCGACCTGGCGCGGTGACGAACGCAGTAGCAACAATTCGCTCCTCATCATCTACTACTTCCGCGACGTCGAGGGTCTGCACCGCTTCGCCCACGGTGATTATCATCGTAAAGCGTGGGACTTTATGACTAAGACGAAGCCCAAGCATGTTGGAATCTTTCACGAGACGTATTCTGTTCCTGCACACGAGTATGAGAACATTTATGTCAATTGTCATCCTGTCATGATGGGACGGGCTTCGGTGAAGACGACAGGGGGCGACGAGGAGAAATGGACAAATACCCTCGTTAATGCTGATGTGCCGGCTTTGAAGACGCAGTATGCGAGGATGTCGAGGGATGAGCAAGGGATCCCGAAGGAGTTGTAATGAGAATTGGTTTGGATGTAAGATTCAAGGGAATGAGAAGACAAAGGTTCTGAGTATTGGGATTGCCCGAGTGATTTAAGGAACGGCATGTATGATTATGGATGCATTACAGATGTATTGTCAGATCCCAGTATGGATATGTTATAGTGTTTTATGAAGTTGACCATGCTCTCATGCTATCTTTGTTGGGACAGTCATTACAAATGCTCACGTATTACAAATGTCATAGAAGGCCGAGTAGATCTTAACGGGAATTTCAATAATCATTTGCAGTTTGATAGACGTTACACTTGGTCTCAGGCCAAATACGAATAAAGGTATCCAAAATTCTAAAGCATCCATAACGCCCGAACAAAACAAGATATCGCAAATCTTCCCACGACGCCATAATCCTTCATCTTGAAACCCTGTATATCTAAAAGTCGAGAACGAGGAAAGAAACGCCTCCAATTACACCAGCCACGAAGAGAAAAGTCAAGATACCAGCACCAGCCTTGTCAGCCCCGGTGATATCCTTCAGCTTGGGCTTTCCGTCCTCGTTATTAGAATCAGCGTTACCGCCACCGGGGTTACCCTTGGATGTACCTCCGGTCTTGGCCGTAACAGGTCCCTTTGCATCCCCGACAAGATTGTACATGAAGATCGAGAGCGCGTTCATCTGGGGTCCCACGCCGACGGAGCCGTCGAAGGTGCCCGTTGTCCAGGAGAAGCCGCACGCTGTACCAGAGGGACCCTTGTAGTTTTGTCCAGAACCGGTGCAGACCTTGGCAGCGGCCTGGGCACTTGTCTTGAGGAGCTTCATGATCTTTTCCTTGGTGCCCGGGTACAGTTGCGTGGTGGCAGCCAACCATCGGGCGAGGTAACCCTTGAAACTCTCCTGATCCTGACTGCACTGCTTATGGGGCTCGCAAAACTGCTCGTAAAGGATCTCGTCCTTGACAAACTTGTTGAAAACATCCTGAAGGAGACCGTCGGTGCGCTTCTTCCACTTGTCGTCGGATGTGAGGTTGTAAAGGGTGGCAGCGCCGTGGAGGAAGATACCAGTGTTGTAAGACCATTGTGTTTTGTCGATATCGTCACAAACCGCGTCCTTGTGCTTGCCGATATGGACACCGTCGAGGACCTCAAACTTGTCGGTGACAACTCCGGCCTTGGTGTGCCAGTCCCAAACCTTCTCAGCCCAATCGGCGTAAGTCTGATTACCAGTGTACAGCGCCAGACGAGAGGCGACGTTGAAAAAGCAACCGTTAGAGATGGCGTTCTTGTAATCGTAACCGGTGTTCCACTTGAAGATCTGCCAGCGCATTCCACCACCACACCACTCATCGTCCCAGCGACTGACATACTCGTTGAATACACCCTGGACCTGAGCAAGCCATCCGGGGGTGTCTTCGGGGGGATCCGGGAATGCATGCTCAGCTGCTGACATGGCGGCCATGGCCCAGAAGCCCTGGTCGTCGTTTCCTTCGGTCATGGTTTGGTTGTCGGGCATGTAATCGCCATCTGGGCCTGCTTGATGAATCAGGGCTTGTTTTGTGATCTTGTTGTATGTGTCGTCTCCTGTCAACCACCAGTAGTCAACTAGAGTACCGAACATGGCTCCGGCCTCCCACCCTTTTAAGAGTCAGTATAAATATCGTTATGCTGTGATGAGGGGATAATTACAGTAGTAAGGATCTGGCAAGTTTCCTGGTGTGTCGCCTGGATTCATTCCTGTGTACCAACCTGTCAGGCCCTTTGCTGCCTTGCTGGCTGCGCTCTTGATTGATTCTGGTAATTGTTAGTAAATGGCCCTTCCTTTTCATCATAAACAATAACAACTTACTGCTGTCATCCATTGTTACCTCGTAGGCGTTTGCTGCTATGGTCCAGCCAAGGACGGCAGTAGTCGTCTGCAGTAGCGATCGCATCTTGGCAATCAATCAAAATGCTCGAATACCAAGACAATGACAAGACGGGATGGAAGAATAGACGAATTAGACCCTGTTCGACGCCAAGACCAGATCGAAAAGTTTCCGCTTAGACGCGCTGCCAAGATAATAGTTGAAGATATTGGATGGTAGAGCCAGCACGTATGGATATTAACAAAAGAGGGACGAAACGAAATACAATAGTAGAGAAGGAATAGAGAATAGAGAAGAAATGGGTATATGGAAGATGAAAAAGGATCCTCTTTCTTTCTAAAACTGGGCACGGGGAGAACTTTGATGGTCCATGGACTACTGTACCCCGTTTTTGCCCTGTCCATCTGTGGGCATTGACACTGACAATGACATTGACATCGACATGGTCAAGGCCGGGCATGGTCATGGACATCCATTGATAGACGTCCATTGATAGTCTGATGTTCGACGATGCGTCAGCGAGACTCCACCGAGAAACGAGGTGAAAGGGTCCTTTGGAAATGAAATTGCCCACGAGAGAAATCCATCACTGAGAAAGATTGTAAGCCAATTGGCTGGCGATACCTCGTTGGGGCTGAGTCTGTATGGGAGGAGGGATGGTGGATCGTCAGGGGTTCTTTTTGTTCTAGCATTCGGTCTTTAGTGACGAACTACGAGTCCGAGAGGATTGTCTTGAACTGTCTACCGACCTACAGAGTGGTCTATTGCAGGTCATCTAGGTAGAGACGCGCAAGGCACAATGCGCAATGCACAGTCTAGACAGTATCTGATTATGATCGTCTCACCTCTGACAGTGCAGTTGTAGCAGTTCCTGAATAAATGCGGCTCCGCGAGTAGCATGATCCAATAAACATCACGATCCCCTTTTTCTGCATTACCTGAAGAGCGGGTTAAAAACTATGGAGAATTTCATTAATTCCACCGAGAATCGAGAATCATTTATCAAGGACAACCATCCATACATTTGTCTGATACTCTGTACTCTGTAGCAGAAGAGTAAGAAAAAGACACTAGGTAGTTGAATAAGCGAACAGCCAAGCCGGAAGCCGGAATGGCAGTTTAATTTCTTCCAACGTTGATGTGATGTCTAGCGAAGAAAATCTGCTTGGCTTCTGTCATGATTTTATTCCCGAACTTCTAGTCTAGCGTTCAGGTACTAGACTAGACTAGCTAATAGCACTGTATCCGTATCAGTGGAGTCCAAGGTACTCTCTATCCCCTGTCGAATTGCCCCTGCTTGAGCATTTTATGTCTAACCAGGCGCGCATATCCGTGGCCGCGTAGACATAATGAGATGAGTTCTTTTATCCATAACAAGCTTTGTTTTCATGCTTAAAACCGCCGTTTCAGAATGAAGCTAAGAAAATGCCGTATCTATCACTTAGAGGTGGTGATCGCGATTCAAATGATCAAGCAAGGTGTTCTATAAAAAACTTGTGATCAGCAAGACACGACAAGCTGCCCATACGCGCATTAGAATTGAGTCAATTGACACACTACGACTGAATCTCGTATCTGATTTGTTTCTGGTATTTGCTTTTGCCACCTTTGTAGTAAATACCCGGTGGCTTAAACACAAGCTTCAATACAAGCAAAACAGACCATCACAACGTCAGTCACTAGCACCAAAATAGTCATCCGGTGTTGATTCTTAAAGTAGCAACCCGATATTCGAATGTTTCAAACATCGATATGTCTCCTTGACATACCATTGGATGGACCGGAACTTGGCTTCAAGAAACAGGTGATCGACATGCATTTACACAAGGTACATACATGCAGTACTGTAGACTTGAGCCTGCGTTAGTTGGATGCACTCAATCCTCATGCAGCAATAAGACGGATTCTCTTCCTGAGTTTCATTAACTTAAGGTACAACTCAGTTCATATTCCATAATAGGATTCGCTTGCATCTCAACAACTCCATCAACTCCATCGACAACTGTCATTCCACTTTGCCCACTTTCTCCAAGTCTGATGACAATCAAACTCATCAACCACATGCCATTACAGTGGGCAAGTAAACCAGTTCATAACCCAAATAGTCAATGGCCATGGATGATTCCTCCCCGTGACATGTCCCGTACCCCGGCTTCAACTCCTCACAGTTCCTAAACCCCGCCTGCAAACCCCGCGATTCCCCCACTCGGAGCTTCATCCATCACCCATCAACAGCCAAACGGAATCTCTCCCTCGCCTGATTTGATTTAACTTGATTGCCAATTGATGACAGTTGATCTTGGCAGACCTTATTTAAGAGGACTCAATCACGCAGAGAAACAGACTTTGATTAAATAGCTTAACATCTAATTCATCTCTTCTATAATTCTGGTTGACTATCCATCTCCATCTCCGTCGTCATCATGTCAGCCAAACACTTTGTTAATGATCCTACCCACCTTGTCTCCTCAGCTCTCCACAGTCTTACTCTTACCAACCCATCTGTTGCTCTAGATCCAGATTTCAAAGTCATCTACCGTCGTCCTGATTCCAATGCCAAACCTCAAGTATCTATCATCTCAGGTGGTGGCTCCGGCCATGAGCCTTCCTTCGCCGGTATGGTTGGCCAAGGTATGCTCTCAGCTGCTGTAGCTGGTACCATCTTTGCCTCCCCCTCCGCAGAGCAAATACGCACGGCTATCACTTCCCGCGTCGACACTTCAAAAGGTGTGTTGGTCACAGTCATGAACTACACCGGTGATGTCCTCAACTTTGGCATGGCCGTTGAAAAGGGCAAGGCCGCGGGTCTCGACGTTGAGATGGTCGTTGTAGGCGATGATGTTGGAGTTGGTCGCGCAAAGGCTGGCAAGGTTGGGCGCCGTGGAATCGCAGGTACTGTTCTTGTCCACAAGATTTCTGGCGCCCTCGCTGCTCTAGGGAAGCCTCTACAACAGGTAGCCAAGATTGCCCAGCTGACTGCAGATAACCTGGTCAGTGTGGGAGCTAGTCTTGAGCATGTCCATGTCCCAGGACGAAAGGTTGACTCCGAAGGAAGCCTTGCAGCAGATGAGGTAGAACTGGGAATGGGTATCCATAACGAGCCTGGTTCAGGACGCGAAAAGGTCGAATTGCCTGATCTTGTCAGTAAAATGCTTCAGCAATTGCTTGACACCAGTGACAAAGACCGAGCTTTCGTCAACGTCAACTCTAAAGAGGTCGTCCTCATGATCAACAACCTGGGAGGAGTCAGTGTTCTCGAGATGGGTGGCATCACCGCAGAAGTCGCAAGTCAACTCGAGTCCAAGTACAATATTCGACCTGTGAGAACACTCAGCGGCACATACATGACCAGTCTCAACGGTCTTGGCTTCAGTATTTCTCTGCTCAACGTGGTATCACCCGATTTCAATGCCCCGAGCATGATTGAGCTGCTTGATGCTCCCAGTGAGGTCGTTGGCTGGTCTGCGCCTATCAAAACAAGCACTTGGGAGGCTAAGAACACCAACACAAGGACGGGTCGCGTGGGTGCAGCCGAGGATGCCAAGCCGAGTGACCTGAAGATGGATGCAGGTACTTCGCAAGCGTTGTTGAAGAATGCTCTGCAGAAGGTTATCGATGCTGAGCCTGAGGTCACACGTTACGACACTGTTGTTGGAGATGGTGACTGTGGAATTGGCTTGAAGAGAGGAGCTGAAGGTAAGTCTCACAAACCAGGTTCGATACCCACATGCTGACATGAAGCAGCAATCCTCAAGCATATCGAAGAGCGTCCTCTGTCTGGCGATGTTGTCGTGGACCTGGCTTCCATTGTGGCAATCGTAGAAACCGCCATGGATGGTACCTCAGGTGCTTTATATGCCATCTTCCTCAATGCTCTGGTCAACGCTCTTCGTGAGCTCGCTCCAGGCAACGCCTCTCCTGAAGTCTGGGCCAAAGCTCTCAAGAAGAGTAGCGACGCCCTTGCAAGGTACACACCCGCGCGGCCGGGCGACCGCACTTTGGTGGACGCTCTTCATCCCTTCGTGGAGTCATTAAACCAGACCGGAGATGTCAAGAAGGCAGCCGAGGCAGCACTAGAAGGGGCAAACAAGACCAAGGGCATGCAGGCCAGTCTGGGCCGAACAGTCTATATTGGAGGCAGTGGATATCAAGAGGTTCCTGACCCCGGTGCTTGGGGACTGGCCAGCTTCTTCCTTGGCCTGAGCGGCTAGCCTGATAGTCGTTCTAACTCGCATTTGGAATATCACGAGAAATATGAATGAAAGCCGAACAATTTCAGCATGTTAATAGTGTTCGATTAGCCATAATCACATCGTAATAAAGAACGTTTGTATGCGAAAATCATCATGTTTTCAACGCCTATGGAGTCCCAGTGAGCCTTGCCTGTAAGACATACAAAACATCCCATTCTCAAAATCGAGTCCTCACCCCCTCCAATATCATGCGGTAAATGAATATTAGCTTAGAAGAACCAGGATAACGCTGTCGCCTCGCAAAAACCTATTATGCAGTTAGCAATCGGTGCCCAAAAATAGTGTCACCGCCATTCGACACAGGGGGCTAATCGGTGACGGGTATGGGGTAGACGTACATCTTGCTGATGAACCGATCCTTGTTGACTGGTCTGCCCTTCTTGCCGCCCGCTAGCCGGGGAGTCTCTGTCCACATCTCCTTGACGTTCTCGAGGACCATGTTGCAGTGGCGGTCGAAGGCCTTGACGCGCGCGAGGAGTTTGCGGTTGTTGCGGATGGAGATGAGGACCTGAACGTGTGATCGCACGGCAGTCTGGAGGATGGATAGAGGACCGGCGGAAAACTCGTACTCTTCGAGTTGAGCGATCTCGTACTCGCTGGACACCATGTTAGCAATTGTTAACTCGTCGCGGGGCTGGAAGGCCAGCAATTATCGGGGAACACATACGTGAGCTCGTTTCGCGGCTTGCCAAGAAGCTCCCTGAATAATATGTTAGCCTTGCTTAAATGAAAAAGTTCGGGTGTGCTGAGGCGTACTGAATCTTAGGGTCCGACGACATCTTGATGGTATTGTTTGGTGGTGATGAGATGTTGTATTGCGGCACGCAAGGCTGAAGCTCAGAGAGCTCGAAAAGTTGACGATTGGGGCAGGACGTTTTTGATTGGACATGGGAGTGGGTCTCAAATTCACGAGCTGTGACTGGTCAGGTGACGCAGTTCCTGACTTAGCAAATAGAACCATCCCACTACCGTATCAAAGTGTGGCTGCTATCAATTTTTGGCTCTGCGGGCGGTTTGGAGCGGAGGTTTGAAAAAGCATTGCCGCGGACCTCGGACAAGACTCCAAGGCCATCATATACCCCCTCATTCCTCTCGTCGATGCGCATGTCGATCGCATGGGCGTATCGTCAATTCTTCCCTTAATATAATGTCGTTCCGAACTTTTGCAGCCCGAGCTGGTGCTGCAGCTAACGTCGCATCTCAAAGCTCTCTAAGAAGCTTCAATATGGTTCAGCAAGCAAAGACTTTGAGCCTCTCGCCTAGTGCTCGACATGTAAGGATAGCTAGACTGGCTGTTGATAATACAAATCCCTAATTGGAATATTTAGGTTTCATCCGCGGCGAAGAATGTCCAGCCTCAGGAACACGATGAACCTCACGATGTCGTCTTCGAGAGCAAGTATGGCCTGCGAACCATCATGCTCAATCGGCCACGAAAGCTCAACTCTCTTAACGCTTCAATGGTTCGAAAAATCGTGCCTAGATTGATTGAATGGGAAAGGTCCGATCTCGCCAATGTTGTTGTCTTGAAGGGTGCGGGCGAAAAGGCCCTTTGCGCTGGAGGTGATGTTGCCGCACTTGCAAGACTCAACCAAGAGGACAAGGAAAATGGGTGGAAGGACTCGGCCAAATATTTTGAACTCGAATACCAACTCGACCATTACATTGCGACATACAAGAAACCATATATCGCTTTTATGGATGGCGTCACTATGGGTGGTGGTGTTGGCCTGAGTGCTCATGCTCCTTTCAGGATCGCGACCGAGAACACTCTATTTGCTATGCCTGAGACTACGATTGGCTTCTTTCCCGATGTCGGCGCCTCTTTCTTCCTCCCTCGAATGAACGGATCTGTCGGAACCTACCTGGCACTTACCAGCGAGCGACTTCGCGGTCCCAACGTCTTTTACTCTGGTATTGCCACCCACTACCTGCACTCAACCAGCTTGCCTGATCTCGAGGCACGTCTGGCTGAACTGCGGTTCCAAGACAGCGATGCTCTGCCTCAACGCCTGGCCCTCATCAACCAGACTCTCGAGGAATTCTGCACAGGCCTCCCCTATGACCAGCCCATGACCCTAAGCGGCGAGATCCGTCAGGCGATTGACCGATGCTTCAACAGGCACACCATTAGTGACATCATTGCTGCCTTGCAAGCTGAGCGGGGTCCTACTGAGGAATGGGCACAGAAGCAGCTCAAGACTCTACACAGGCGATCACCCACAGCTGTGCACGTCGCTCTGCGCCAGATGCGTGTTGGTGGCGAGTGGGATATCGCCGAGACTTTTAAGAGGGAGCACCAGATTGCTACCAAGTTCATGCAGCATCCTGATTTTACGGAGGGTGTGTCAGCTCTGCTTATCCGAAAGGATGAACCAACTTGGAACCCCGAATCTCTTGAAGCCGTTGGCGGTACCAACGTTGCCAAACCCTTCTTCGATTACAACAACGAAGAAGAACTGTCCCTCTTCGTCGACCGTACATTTAAGGAGTACCCTCATCAGGAGCTTGGTGTGCCTACTGAGAAGGAGATCGAGAAGGTTCTCTCTAAGGGTACCTACACCCAGGAAGAGCTGGCTAATAAGATTGTTGCTTCCCGCAACGGTCGTCAAGGCATTTCCGAAGTCGTCGCAGAGATCATCTCTCGCAAGACTGCGGTGAACGATAAAGGCAAGGCTTTGTGGCTGAGGGAAGAGTCTGCACCTGGAAGCAGACTATAAATCTACAAATGCTAGCATTTTTGGATAATTTGTAAAATTAGAAGTCACTACGAAACGTTCAATACGTAGTGCGTGTGTTGATAGATAAAAATGCGATGATATCAAGACGACGTTGACAATGTGAATGATAATTGTTGATGGCGGTAAAACTCCTGGATAAGGTTGATTAACTATCATGAGTGTGGTTTTAGAATGGCTACGGCGTAACGAATGAGATAACGCGGGTGGGGTTGAGATACAAACAACAAGATTCAAGATGATGAGATATTAAGCGACCGCTGAAAAGCTTCAATTATTTTTTACCAAGGCATAAACCTACTACCACCAGATAAGGAGGGGCAGATGGTACCTAGTCTATGATGGAGGGTGGGTGGGGGAAACACCAACTTGAGTTATACAGACGGAGTTACCAGCGGATAGATACAGGCAGGACAATGAAGGTGGCGTCAACTTCAAAAAGAAAGTTAAAGAGAGACGGAAAACACGAGAAGAGTCATCATCTTGATATAGACAGACTAGCTCATGTAGGAGATGTTCGGTCAGTTCAAAGATGACCTCGGGCTATAGTCGAGAATATAAAAGGGACGAAGGCCCGCCCTATGAACAGGTTCAAAAGAAAGACAAGACATCTTCGCCCCCCTTCTCTTTCTCTTTCTCATTCTTGACCGATTTTCCCGTCATCAAAGCCAGGTCGACAACTATCAAGTTGGCCAAAGCGAAAGGGCCTGAGAAAACACTCCGGTTTAACAAACTAGAAAGATACGTACCGTTTCAGAAGTGCGGCATCCCTGGGCTGGGATCAAACAAGAAGAAAGATCGGATTGTCATCACGTGACAGCTCAGCTCAGCTTCAGCCAGAGACATCCGGCTTTAGAAGAAACACGGGACGGGTCCGCACCGGAATAGGTGGGTCTATCTGCCGATACCCCCGCCATCGACCGGCCGCGTAAAGGTCTGGAAGGTGAGAAAGTGGGCTGCGCTAACTCACGTCACAACCAAAAAAAGCCAATTGAGCTGCAGCCACTAAACCCGAAAGAGCCCGCAGGGGTCGTTAACGCATCAACCACTGAAGTGACACGGCGACCCTCCATCTTCCAGGTACTGGCAGTGCTACGAAGATCCAACACGACCTCCATTATACGGCCTGCATCACAACACGACTGCAAGAAATATTAGTATCTCGGTGTTGGCGAGAATCTGTGGTTTGATCCAGATTTTTCTTCATCTCTACACGACTCTAACATCTAAACTGCCTAATCCGGTTTCCCCTTCAATCTTTCCTTTTTTCTCTCGCGTTGTCTAGCCAGCGCGCAAGTCGATCGGCAGGCACTTTAACCTTGATCCACACTGCTTCACGACGCGACTTTGGCGGGTTAAAGCGCGTCACGAACATGACGCCCGCCTCCCAGATCTGAATTTATCACGTCCCGGCCAACGAGTTCAAGCATTGAACCTCCCCACTACGGAGTACGCATCATTGCAATCTCCACTGTTTTACTACACATTTCGCTTGCTTGATTGCTTCTTTTCTTCTCGACTCTCCTCTTGACCTTGTTCTTCTACATACCAAGTACACGATATTCTTACATATACGACGAGGTTGCCAGCTTTGACGCCTTGACGGCCATTCCTGACCTCTTCCCTCCGGGGAATCATCGCCATGGCCTCCCAAACACCCAATGCCTCTCAAGGCGGCTGCTATCAGAACGGTCAGATGATGCAGCAGAATAACGACTCGGGTGTTCAAGTGAGACCTATGGGGCGTATGTAAACTCACTGCGTTTGGGTTTTGGCCTCGCTAACTTGAATTGCAGTCAAGGTGCATTACACGTTCGATAAGGAGGCCAAAGTCAACTGCCTCGCTCGATCAGCACAAACCCTCTATGTGCAGACAGTTCCCCTCGACGAATCCAATTCCATCGGCATTGTCGACCTACGAGCTTGCCTTCAGGCAGTCACAGACTGCAGCCCCGAACTCTCGAGCCAGGAAGGCGAAGGTGACTTCACAATCTACGCACTTGATTACTCGGAACCAGATACTCCTTTAGTCGGACAAGGCATGCTGTCTTGGGCACTCGAATCTATGCGTAATGACTGGATGGCCCAATTGCCCAAGATGGTCACTGGACGTGTTACCAAAAACGTTCTCGCTGTCTTTAGTGGAGGAAACCGTGAGACACTGGAGGTCAAACTAAAGTTTACAGCCGCAGGTAGAATTCTAAGGCCGGAACCGACCGTTGACTTGCACCCTATGGAGATGCAGCAAATTTCTTTCCAGCCTGCCCCGTTACAGCAGGCAAAGCCGACTGAAATTGCCATGACGCCAGGTGCGGAATGGAACTCTTTTATTCAGTCAAATCCCAATATTGGACACCAAGCACATGTGTCTAGAGTAGCTTCTCCTGCATTATCTCAAGGAGGACCTATGGCTAGCACAACCGAACGCAGGAATTCGATTGCTAGCCAAAATCTGGAGCAAGTCAACTCCGGAACAGACATTCAGCGAATAGCTCCTATACCCGTCGTTGGAGCAACCACGGCAACTTCAAAATCCAGGCCCTCAAGCAGAAATTCTCGAAAAAGAGCGCCAACAGGTCGCCCCCGTGGTAGACCACGAAAGAAGCCTGCAGAAGGCAACACATCCGGTTACGAAGACGGCACAGAGGGCGAGGATGGTGGATCAGGACCTGCTCAGAAAAGGGCCAAGCCCACCAAAGTCGAAAAGGCTGCACCCAATCCTTTTACTTCTGGTCCTGATTCTCTGCGTGTCACCGCCAGCACCGCTGGCTCTCTTCGAAATTTCCGCCCTGTTGCAAGTAACGAGACGGTTGCTGGAAACCATCTGCAAGAAGTTCCTCGAGCTCCTACCCCCGTCCCAGAACGAGGGCCTATTGGTGGTCCTGCTCAGGGTGGCCCAAAGGGACCCAAACCTCGGAGGGAATCATCAATGCGAAAAGAGCTGGGCGCTGCTATGAGTAACCAGATTCCCCCAAGGCCTCTCCGTGCCTTGTCTCCAAGTCAAGAGGATGGCCGCTCCCCCGAATCACCTGTTGAGACTCCGACCTTCTCAGAGGATAGCCCGCAGGATATGCGTTCCTCTCCTCCACTACCACCCACAGCATCTTTCATGCGGTCCAGTCCTCCCCCTTCCAGTCCTGTTTTGCCCCCAATGCCGTCACTGCCACGGCAAGCATCGAGCTTTATGGATAACGAGACCGACGATTTGTTTGATGAACCTGTCCAGCAACCAGCCAAGGAGAGCCAATCTCGCCAGCACCAACCCCAGAAAGTAACGGAAGACATTGATCGTACGGGAATTCATACCCAAGTGTTCCGTATTCAAGATGGTCCCGACGGTCAGGGGCTTGTCCATATCCAAAATTTCAACACTCCTCAACCAACATCAACCCCCGCCCCTCCTCCTCCATCAGACCCTGTTACTGCGAAGAAGATCCCTAAACCTCGACCAGCACGAAACCCTCCGCAAAAACGACCTCCGCCACCAAAACTCGCCCCAACACCTCCTCCCACGACGGACGCTCCTGAGAGGAACAGTCCGGCACCTGTATCTGCACCATCGCCGGCGAATGTTACTCAATCACAGAATGAGCAACCTGCCCGAGCCATGGAAGATGATGCACTTTTTGAATTAGTGCGCGCTGTCTCTAGTTCTTCTGAGCCTACCGCTTCAACTGAAACTAATCAATCTACTCAAGGATCTCTACCTACTTCAAAACTAAGTACTGGCTCAATCAGACCCAAACCAAGAGCACCGCGACAGCTCGGCCGCTCGCAATCCACCGGAGCCTTAGCTTTACCTTCTGTGCCAGCCAGCGAGCCGCTTGAGCCATCGTCACTTTCCCAGTCTATGACAGCAGAACCCCGTGCTTCCACAGAGATTCCCGATTGTCTTCGACGCTCAAAATCGGCCAACATCCACGCAATGGTGGCTGCCAGTGATCCTGTGGGACCATGCGAGACATCTGCGGTCACTAACCTGCTGCCAACTCTCCGAGAAGTTCCATTCCCACAGAGCGATTTCCCTCCGATGCCGTCCTCCCCGCCTTGCAGATCGAACAAAAACCAAGTCAAGAAGGATTCGATCAAACAACGGCTCGAGTTAGCGATTGCCGCTGGCGAAATGCCCCCATTCTGCACCAATTGCGGTGCTATTGAAACACCCACTTGGCGCAAGATCTGGGTGCAGGAGCATGATGGAATCCCAGAATACGTGGAATACTCAGAGAAGCCTGGACGAGTTACCGCTATTGAGATCCTAAAACGCGATGAGGATAAGAAGCCCTTGACTCACCGCCTTATCAAGAAGACACTCGGCAATGATGATGACCGCAGCAAATGGTCAGAGAAGCTTCTCTGCAATCCTTGCGGTATCTGGATCGCCAAATACCACAATCATCGCCCGCAAGACAAGTGGGACAACGCTTTTGGTCTTCTTGGACAGAGTCGAAAGAAGCGCTCATCTGCAGGTCCCGATTCACAGGCGAAGCGATCTCGTACTAAGAGTACCTCGGTGCCTGCTATGACCTCGCAAGTGTATCCTGCTACAGATCCTCTGGGCCCGTCATCTCCTAAGCAATTTGATGCGCACTCAGTAGTTACAGTTGTCAATGAGGACACTGTCATGCAGAATGTCCTCACTTTACTGGCGGATGACGGACGACATATTAAAGAATTGAGCCAGTCAGCCCCGGGATCGTCCCATTCGAGAGTTTCTAGGGGTACTGGAACAGCTGATAGCCCAATCGAAATGGACCTTGACGAAGAACTCGGGAGCACGCGACGGTTGCTTTTCCCTTCGCCCCGTAAAGAAGGGACGCCGAAGACTTTGGGAGAGATCAATGCCAATGCGGCCAAGACCACCGACAGTCGGCATAACAAGGAAGCTGTTGGCAAAGAGAATGCCTCAGTTGAGGCTCAGAATGATGGACCTGTCGACGATGATATAGAGGCGCTGTTCAACAGCCCTGTTCGCCCTTCTACACCGCCACCAAAATCTAAGGTTGACACGGATTCAGCACTGTTTAAGACACCTACTCGTCCGACACCCAGCCACCGACCCATTACACGAAGTGTCTCGCGGAGTGTTTCACGATCTCTTCGATCCGTGAGAGATTTGCTCTCTCCTAGTCAACAAGCGCTTCTGCAACGAACACCAACAAAAAGTCCCGCGAGCGTTAGGCGCAGCCCGCGACTGAACCTAGAGAACAAACTGGAGAGTGTTCTTGATACTCCCTTGAGCAGAACCATCACACAATTACTGTCTGAGCCAAACTTTGACGTGAACAACACCAACTTCGACTTTTCCAGTCTTCCGTTACTCGACACGGATCCTACCAACATGATGGAGTTTGGCAATTTCCTCAGCACCGACGGCATCATGCAGAGCTCTCCAACAAAGGATGGTGCTCTATCTTTCTCTTATGCCGGCTCAGATAATGTCTGGGGTGAATGGGGTGGTGTCGAAGACGACAAGGCCACAAACGAGAAGGAGAAGTAACAAGAGTTTTATGAAAGCGTGTTTTGAATGTTTTTACAGCTCTGTTGGTCAACAGTTACATCATGAGCATGACGGAAACTGCTTTTTTGAACAAGTACATATCAACTAGACGGCGTTTTGGCGGGTTTGCAAAGACACGAAAGCAACGGCGCTTGCTGTTCAGATTACGGACATGATACCTCGATAGTGGCTTAGAAATGGCATGTTTAGAAACGAATAGCGGTCACTTGTGCAATGAATGGTTAATAAATACAAATATTTTACTCTATGTCAGTACCTACTGTTCTTCGTGACGCTCCAAAGAATGACTGTGTGTGCACTAACTTGCACTGTAAAATTATCTTATCGCTACCTATCCACCATCCACTTAACGCGGTTGGGATTTAGTTGCCTATGATACGACGCGTCTCACCGCGCCCACTTTCAGGCCCCTCCAAACATTCTAATCAGCTCGAGACGATCTTCCTCGAACCAAAGATACGACTTGAGATCGTATCAGAATTATACCTTGCCACCAATTGCCTTCAAGTCATATCAATCGTCGCCCATCATGGCCGACTCCGAAATCCAAGACCGTTTCTCACCCAACAAGCCGCTTGAGCCCGATGTCCTCAGCGAGCTGGAATCCATCATGCGCCTACACGGCTTGTCAGCCGAGGATCTCTACTTCAAGTGGGAGTCGTATTGTATCAAGCTCGATATCGATGCCCAGGCCTTGAACCTCGAATCTCTACGCAACCTGAAGCAGAGCATCCAGGACGAGCTCGAAAACAGCCATCGAAAAGTGCACGTCAAGACGGAAAGGAAGCTAGCCAATGCGCCGAGGGGTGGCAACAAGGGCGGAGATGTCTTTGGGATGCTCGATGGGCTGGTTCCCAGTACGCCCTCTTCGGGAAGCAAGTTGAATAGGGGCTCTGGGAGTGCCATCAAAAAGAAGATTGATACACCCAAGGGTTTGACGAGCTCGCCGGCTACGGGGATGAACGAGCAGCTTAAGTCTTTGAATGGACTCCAGTATGTTCCTGCACTTGACTGAAACTCTCCTTGTGCTAACAAACTGTAGGACTACATCTTTTAGCGATCGAACAAACCCAGGAGAAACAATAGAGATTCTGAACGACCGCCTCAATGCAGCCGAACCACCAATGGCACCCTTCTCCGAACCCCGAGTGAAGCTCACAGCCGCCTCAGACCAGAAGAAACTAGGATATAAGCCATTGGCTATGAAGCTCTCCGAAGCCAGCGAGATTCTCGATGACCGGATTGATAACTTTATGTCTCTTGTCCAGCAACATCACAAGATCGATGAGAGCGAGTTTGGAAGTGCTGCAGCGCAAAGTACCACTGAGATTGTCGCCGTTGGACGCATTGCGTCGGATTCGCCAGAGGGCAAGCTCAATGCTGCGTCAATGGTGCTGGAGACTTCAAGACGAACGGGTATGGGCTTGAGAGTACCCCTGAAAATGGAAAGCATACGCTCTTGGAGCTTCTTCCCCGGTCAGATTGTTGCTTTGCGAGGAACCAATGCCTCAGGAAGCGAGTTCGTTGTCAAGGAAATTATTGATATGCCTCTACTTCCCAGCGCTGCCTCGACACCCTCTGCGCTCGAAGCGCACCGAGAGAGGTTCCGTGGAGGCCCTGATGCGATGGACGAGGATTCGGAGCCTGCGCCTCTAAACATTATATACGCTTCCGGCCCGTATACTGCAGATGATAACCTTGATTTCGAGCCCCTTCATGCGCTTTGCAGCCAAGCAGGCGATACCTATGCAGATGCGCTCATCCTCACGGGTCCCTTTCTTGATATCGACCATCCTCTTATTGCGACGGGCGACTTTGACCTTCCTGAAGAGGCAAACTATGACCCTGATACGGCCACTATGTCGACTGTGTTCAAGTACCTTGTCGCTCCTGCTTTCAATCGCCTAGTATCCTCCAACCCCCAGATCACTATCATCCTCGTCCCTTCTGTCCGAGATGTCCTCTCAAAACACGTCTCGTGGCCACAAGATTCCATTCCTCGTAAGGAACTCGGTCTTCCTAAGGCTGTCCGCATCGTCACAAATCCCATGACTCTATCGATCAATGAGGTCGTGCTTGGTGTTTCATCACAGGATATCCTCTCTCAGCTACGGTCGGAGGAGGTTGTGTCTCGTAATGGAACACAGCCTGGTCTCGATCTCATGGGCCGTTTGTGTCGATACTTGGTTGAGCAGCGACATTACTTCCCACTGTTTCCCCCTACAGACCGTTCCAAGCTTCCCAAAACTGGTACAGAAGAAGGTGTTGCTACCGGTGCTGTACTAGATCTGAGCTACCTGGAGCTCGGCGAAATGGTTAATGTTAGACCAGACGTGATGATTGTTCCTAGCTTGTTGCCGCCTTTTGCAAAGGTATGTTCTCTCAATCCCGACTCGGCTTTTCTTTTACTGACTGTGCTCTAGGTTGTTGAAAGTGTCCTCCTTATCAACCCTGGCTATCTCTCAAAGCGTCGTGGCGCAGGTACCTATGCACGCATGGCATTATATCCTCCCTCAGTGTCCGGTGGAAGCGATGCAATGATGGGCCATCAGATATTTGACCGTGCGCGTGTTGAGATTGTTAGGATATAGAGGATAGACAAGTGCAAAGCTATATGTAATCTAAGGAGAAATGTAAAAGAGGAAGCAAGATTCATGGCACAAATAGTTGTGTTAGGGGGTATTATTAATAGTATATCGAGGCCAGGCGACAGTCTACCTGGAGTCCACCTTACGTCTCTTGTCACTGTCATAACGCTCATCATCGCGCGACGTACTTCGCTTGCGGCGCCGGTGGTCATCTCTATCCCTATCACGCCGCGGCGATCGTGACCTCGATCGTGACCTTCGTCGGCTGTAGTTGTCGTCCTTGGAGCGGTAAGAATCCCCGTCTGTTCGATCCCGATATCCATCATCTCGTGACCTCCGGTCATCCTTCTTGCGATCACCAAGAGGAATAGCGTTTGCGCCACCGGCACTTTTCTCGTCGCGGCGAAACCGGTCATCGTCTGGTCTGAAGCGCTCGTCGTCACCATAATGTCCACCTCCTCTCTTGCGACCATCACCAATATCTCCCCATCGTCCAGTATCCTCAGTGCGCATGTCCCTGTACTTTGTTGCACCCTTGCGACCCAGCTTGGACATGTCTCGAAGCTGCAGATATTCTGGAAGAGCTTCGCGATTCCGCACGTCGTCTTGGATGCGACTGCCCATGATGTCTCGCTTGTCCAACCCAGCTTCCTTCATCTCTTCCTGGTAGAAGGCACCCTTGTGTAGATAACGTTGCTTGAAGGCCATTGTGCCCTTGCCCTCCTTCTCCTCCTTCTGTTTGGCCAAGAATTCCTCGTCCTCGGCCTGTCGCTCCTCCTCGGTCAGGTTACGTCGGCGTTCTACTTCCGCAAGCTCCTTCTCACGCTCCTCGATGATAGCGCGAGCACGCTTCAAGCGCTTGAGTTCTCGGACGCGCCAAGCTGCCTCTTCTGCCTCTGGGTCCAGCCCATCTGTTGTGTCCACGTCTGAAGCTTCGGCATCGTCGTCGACCCAGTGCGTTTTGCCTGCTGCGCGCGCAGCCAGATCCTTTTTGATTTGCTCTTCTACGAGCTCGTCGGCGGCTTTCTTGCGAGCCTCTTCTTCGGCCTGCCGTGCTTCTTCGGCTTCCTGGGCAGGGTCCTTGGTGGTTCTCTTGTTCTTCGGTACGAACTTGAGCTGCATCATCTTTCTTCTGGGCGCTTCATCTTCACTGCTCTCCTCCTCCTCTGATTCGCTTTCCTCCTCGTCATCGTCCTCTTCTTCCTCGCTTTCTTCCTCTTCCTCTGTTACGAAACCCTCCTCAGCGGCGAGACGCTCAGCTTTCTCTTTCGCGATCCTCCGTTCTTCAGCAGCTTGCGCTTCTTTTCGTCGGGCATCAAGGTCGACTTTCCCCAAGTTTCCAGATGATATCTTTCCTGCGCTGGCTGCTTTTGGTGGTGGAGGGAGCGCGGGCTCGGTAGTCTCTTCGTTTTCGCTGGCTTCAGAGTCGGAATCGGACTCTACACCCGTGGCCTTACCAGCGCGGTATCGCGCCGGCTTCACCGGGTTCGCTGTCATGCGTTTGGGCGGCATTGTGATAAAGAAGATCTGCAATAGAAAATGAGGATGAGAACGCGATGCTCGTGACGTTGGAAGCTGGTAGAGATATACATAAAATAGTGGAACCATAGCCGATAAGCTTATCGTGTTGATTACCCTGTATAAATCATCAAGCAGCCACCGATTCGAGATATCTTTCCTGGGTTTTATTTCATATTGTGTGATTTTGATCTTGTTTTAATTTGTTTCGGCAGAAAACTGAATGAGGTTGCTTTATCAAATGTCCCCAGATCTTGTGAAATGGTGCGAAGTATGTGTGAAGACTTACATAACCAACATGTTGTCAACGATGCTAACAGTAGGATAAGCACTATCTGAAGCGATGGATCGCGGTAAAATACACATAAGTCTTCTATCTTCTAAGCTAATATTTCATTGATTCTACCCTTTTCTAATCTATGTGTCGTTTTATTCTATATAGGCACTTTCTATTCGCATCCGATTTCCTCAAGACCCTTAACGAGACCTTCAACAGTTCCTGTCAAGGTTTGGCAGTTGACCACAACGCGGAAGAAACTGCCCTTGGGTCCAGGGGCATAATCTACCATGTATCCTCGAAGAATCATCTTCTCAACCATTGTCTTGGTTCGGAGGGTGTTCTCCTCCTTGTCATCAGACAAGTTTCCTCCAGGGGCGTGGTAGAAGCAGATTTGCAGGCAAGGGGGAGGATCTTGCGAGACCAGGACAAAGTTGTCGCTTTGCTTGACGAGATTGGCTAGATAGGCAGCCTGCTCGAAAGCATGGTCGATTTGCTTCTCGAAACCGGCAGCACCGTAGTAGATCCAGGCCAATGCAAGCTTGAGACTGTCGCCACGACGACCACACTGGAGTGTCAAGTCTGCAATGTCCCAGAAGTCACCGCCGTCGTTGGTGTGGAACAAGTAGCCAGCAGCAGTGCTGTTGGCCTTGTTGAATATGCTCATATCAGGACCCAAGAGGAACGAGCAGGTGACAGGGACGTTCATCATCTTGTGGGGGTTTACCGTCAAGGAGTCGGCAAGATGAGATCCGTTGAGCTTGTGCTTCTGCTTTGACGAGAAGATAGCAGGGCCACCCCAGCTGGCGTCGATATGCATCCAAAGACCAAATTCCTTGCAAATCTTGGAAATCTCCTCGAAAGGCTCATATGAACCCATGACAGTGGTTCCTGCTGTAGAGTTCACATAAAACGGTGTCTTGCCCTCGGACTTGGCTTTGACAACCAATTCCCTCAAGGCATCGGACTTCATACATCCAAACTCATCCACAGGAACAGGCCAAACACTGTTTGAACCAAGACCACAGATCATGGCACTCTTCTCGACCGAATAGTGACCATGAGCACTTGTGAAAATCACAAAGTCATGTTTACCGTTGCCCTCTTTTCTGCACTCGGGGAACAAAGTGTTGCGAGCAACGACGAGAGAAGTCAGATTGGAAGAGCTTCCACCTTGGCATGAAACACCACCAGCTCGCGCTCCAGTGAAGCCGAAGAGGTGAGCCAGTGTCTTGGCTGTTGTCTTCTCGATGATTGTAAGAGCAGGTGAGACTTGGAAAACATGCAGCTACCAAGTGTCAGTTGGGTTTGTCGAGAAATGAGCGGTGGCACTTACATTGGTGTTGAGAACAGAGAGGACCATATCTGATACTACACCAACCTATTATTGTGATAAGCATACATATCGTGTAGGACAGACAGGGTATTGTAAGCGGTACATAACATACCGCATTGGTGCTTGCATAAAGCTTATCAAGAAACCCCTGGTCCCAGGTATTGACACTGTTCTTCAAGACCTGTTGAATAATGTCCAACAAACCATCCTTGCCTTGTCCGTTGTTCGGCAGAGAGAACTTGAGGCGCTGAGCGAGCTGCTCAGGTTTTTGGAAGTCGACTAGAACATTGTCCTTGACGCCGGATGAACTGGCTGTAATGTCTCCCGTAGCGCGGTCTGCCGCAGCATCGTCAGCTGCCTTAATGTAGGGTACGATGAGACCACGAACAGCATCGATAAGCTGGCGGTGTAACGTCAGCGACCAATCAAGTTTTATGGTTTTGGAGAATGGATGAATGTTTGTCTCACATCGTTGACTTCTTCAGCCCTATGGAGGCTGGTTTTGGTCATGGAGGGGTTCCCATTGCTGCTGTTGGTTACAGTCATGGTGGCGTAAGTTTAGATGAGGTAAAAAGTAACAAATAGCATACAAACTCAGATGCAAGACAGTATATCTAATACAAGAGATCTTCTGATATATATGCACTTCTTTATACAGTTATAAGTTTGTCAAGTCATCCAAAAACTCTGATACTCGGAAAAGAGCAGACGAATAAACTCTTTGCTCATTACTCAATCATGTCTCGTGACTCGAACATGATCTCAGTTCTACCGAGTCTTTTCCGGAAGTCAGTCCATGGACAATTAGCAATTGAGGCTCAACACTATCTACACTAACTAGGTTACCTTAGCTCGAGGGAATATCATCAACTCCTTGATCCAGGAATCGAGGCTTCGTTAAATCTTGGCCAAGGTACAGGGTAGCTTACCAAGTACCCGGATGGACGGAAAAGGCCTGAGCTGAAATCTTTCATGCATTCAGGGTCTTGTCAGCTCAACAACTGAAACAATTGGCTCGAACCCAACAACCCTTGTACAATTTCTTTTTGTCTCTCAAACTCTCTCATCTCTGGAGTTTAAACTACAGCCTCGTACTTGAACCTGGGCTCCAGGCCGTGTCTTTCCCGTGATCGCGCCATTATCTAGGTCGTTAACTTCAGCCACCAATTTGAGGCTGCTTTATTTCCACATGGGAACCCCTAAGGAAAAAAAAGTCTCAGATCGTGTGTCTGAGACCTGGCGATCACGAGGCCCGTGAAGATTTTTTTCTCTTTGCCCTGGCTATCTGTACCCTTGTGAAAATTTAGAAAGCGGCATTGTTATGCCGCTGACATGGATGGACTCGGACTCGGATGGGACAAGGTAATTAGTTCAGTTCGTCCGCACTGATCATATATAACTGAGACAATGTCCATAGCTCGAGCCTCTAGTACAGGTACAGGTACAGTATGGAGTACGGATACAGAGTACGGCAAACTCTCGTAATGATATGATGAGACGAGTTATGAATTTTGATTCATCGGGTCTTGTCCGTGCGCCAAAGTCAAAGCCAATTCGATCTCAATTTTTTAGTTATGCGGCGAGAGAACAAGAACCGAGAGCTTGTCGATAGAGTTGTGCAGCGTTAAGAATAGATACGAGCCCAGCTTGATGGATAAGTTTGCCTAGTAACTTGAGCCATCTCTTTAGCTTATTGATTAAACGTTAGAGCGTGGGGAATGATGCCTAACCACCATAAATGACAACGGATGAATCATATAAGTACCTACCTATGTAGAGTAAAGAAAGACCAAAGGGGAAGGTTAAAGGTTATCAAATTGTCATTGGATCTGGCAAGGGTTTTCGTTATCACAGTACCATCTCAGTCACATCGGTTACAGTATCAAGCCATCCATCCATCCTTGATGGGCATGGATAGGACATCAAAGCCAACAGCATCTGTCTGTTTGTGGCCGATAGCGGAGAATAATACAGATAGAGACGAGGCCATCACATCACTTTACTGCATGCCGCTCTTCCGTTGCACATGCATTGCATGCATGCATATTCTCTTTCGATACTCTATACAGATTCATGATTTTAGGCTTTGACTCTGCTTCTTGATGGGCTTGGCTTGCGAGCTTGTCACTTGATATCGAGTGCATCTGCATGTGCTCTCACACTCACACTCACATCTTTTGTCTCTCCACATTGATTGCAACTGCAACTGATCGGACCAATCTACATTTTCCTGCAGCCCTCAGGCGATGGAAGACAACAGCTTCTCTTCCATTCGATAAGGCTCTCACCTCTCCTCCTCCTCATCCCGTCTCGTCTCGTCTCCCCACATTTCGGCCGTTGGGATCATGGCTTGGCCGTTTTTTTATCCCAAAAGCTTAATGCAGACCGGGACAACCATTGGATAAACAGGGGCTTCGCCTACAGGATGGCTGACGCGTTGGGAGAAGAGAAGCCTGAAGAGGAAATCGATCTTCGCGTAGACTAAATTGTGAAAGGGCAGAGCAAAGTGAGTGAGTGCCTGAAATCCCCCTGATTTTTTGGTTGACAGACAGCCCCAGCCATGGATCACATCCACCCCTTGTCAGGTACTTTCTCGGTTGCCTATCACATTGGATCCTCGCATACCAGCTTTTCGGGATGGTGGGCAGCCACTCAAGTGACTGTCCAATACAGTAATTACTCTCTGTATCGACAAAGAAGAGACAAGATCATAAAGTTGATACGTGATGACAGTAATTATCCTCTGCAATATCATACAAAATCTAGCGTCTATAAAACAGGTTATATCTCCCTCACCTGTTCATCTGCAGATCACATAAAGGTCCGTCCACCGGAGACCAAAAACCCAGCTAAGATTAATGCCAATGCCAACTGCTAATGCTGATGCCCAAATCGAGACACCATTTTTATGCATCCTTTTTTACCTTTTACCCCTGCGCCCTGGACCTTAGACTAAGGCACCTAGACTAGAGGAACGCCACAAACGTCCACGCACAATCCCTGCCCTGCCCTGGCGCTAGGTGGTAGCTATCCAACCTTTCCAGGTAGTAGCTACCAGCTAACAGCAACTGTACGGTACGCTACAAGTGCAGTACCGTACGGGGGGACCCTGCCTAGACTACCTCTAACCTAGGCCTTTGCCTTGAACTTGGGCCGCGGCACCTTCAGCCGTTTTCCCGCTACCAGGGGGGAACCATGACCGAGCTGTCCAGCATCTCGCAAAAGCCTACAGAAAAGAGAGAGGGAGAAAAGAAAAAAAAGTAAAGTGAAAAAGAAACAAGAACAAACCCCTCGCTACTCTTTCCATTCTGTCATTTTTTCTTTGTTCCCTCTCCTAGGTAGTCATTCCGTTGCCTCTTCATTGTGTCATTCCTTTCACCAACGACTCTCCCGTCCTCTTCCATAGGTTCCAGGTCACTACTTGTCATCAGCTAGCTGCCTTACAGTACCCAAGCACCCAGGACCCCTGGCAACCCAACGAGACGAACTTCCCCTCAAGACAGACAAGAAGGACAACGACAAAAGGAACAAGGGAACTTGTTTGCTTCTGTGCCAGGTTATCAGTTCAATCAATCAACCACTCGTTCATTTATTCACTCACTCATCCATTCAATCAATCCATTCGTCATCCTTTTTCACCCTGGACTGGGCTGTCTCAGAAATAGAAACCCCTCTTCTTCCTCTCACTCATTCAAAGGAACTATTACCGCATTACGCCCACCCAAACTCTTCCAACCTTTCCATTAGAATTATCTGGCCAGAAACTCGGACCTCAGAGCTGTCTGATCACTTCACATAACATCATACTGCATTACGCTACGCCTCAGCATCGACCCTTACTTTCATATTATATCATATCCAATCGATACCTACACTCAAATCAAAGCTCACGCCTCGCAAAGAATTGCATTGCGACAGTTCACGACTACGATTACCACGATCATAACGATACGAGCTACGGATCCATATCCAGATCTACACAAATACTGCCCACTACGATAAGACGATACAACCAGGAATAAGCTACCACCTTGGTTCTTACACCACCGTACCCCAAAGCCCTTAGCGACGCGCCCGTTTCTAGATCGTTTCTAAAGAGCTCCATTCATCTCTTAGCTCCCTCCACAGCTGGCACGTTCCGGTGCCTACATCATCTCGGTAGCTAGAGCTGTGCGACAACCGACTGCACAACCAGTCTCCCTCTCTTTTCTCCAGCATACTCACCACTCGATCACCTCATAAACGACACAGCGTAGCATTCGATATGACTGCCCCGACACAAATGCCCGTTCCTATATCCATCACCATTTGTGGTGACGGCGGCTGTGGTAAATCCTCCATCACACTACGCCTTGTTCGTTCGCAATGGACTTCAGATTATGACCCAACAATCGAGGACTCCTACAGTGTGACGCGCCGCATCGATGGCGTTACATACCACCTCTCCCTTACCGATACAGCCGGCCAGGAGGAGTACCGAGGCATGTGGGCGTCTTCCAACCTTGGCGCTGATGCTTTCCTGCTTGTCTACGATATCACCTCCAAGGACTCCCTGGATGCACTCCAACACTTCAACGAACTTATCGACATGGAGGCAGAAACCCGCCTCGATAACGCTGACCGCGCACGCCGCGCTGGTCTACGCTCTGGCCACGACACCCGTTCCCGCACCATCCCTCCAGTTAAGCTTGTTGCCGGCAACAAGTGCGATTTGCAAGAGAGCAGACAGGTTCCTGCAGCTCAAGGTCTCGAATGGGCGCGCAAGCGCGGTTGTGGTTTCATGGAGACGAGTGCACGGCTGGAGGTGAACATCGAGGAGACATTTGCGCTGGTTGTACGTCGCGTGGTCGAGGCAAGACGACAGGCCGATGCTGGCAACAACTCAGCACGTTCAAATGCGCGTGGTATGACAAAGCCGTTGACGCCCCTGCCCACCGACAGCGAAAACGAGAAGCGTGCCGTAGGAGTGCGAGGGCCGACCCTCCAGGGCGACCACGTCGGTGGGAAGAAGGATCATGGTTTCTGGAAGAGTCTGCGGTGCTGGTAAACAAGACCGACAAACTAAATGGGTACGGAAATCGGGATACACAAAAAATATGGGCGGAGGAAAAGAGGTTTGGTGCGTCATTGTTGGGAAGGATCTTTCAGAGGCTTCAAAATCATCATATACCAGGGGATACCTCGGCGTCTGGGCGAAAGGCTTGGGTCTTTTTTTTTTTTTT